ACATTTGAATGGAAAGCCAGTGTTTCCTTACCTTAACCACAACATAATCAATGATTGAATGCCTGGCTTGTTCATTGACATGCTTCACTGATTCGATAGGCGCCGATCAATGTCAAGGTGATCGCTATGTTCAGGTTTCAGCAGACACACGCACATGGATGTTAATCCTGACATTACAGCGTTCGTTACAGTTAATTTGCTAAAGCCCTAAACGATAATGAAACGGATTAGAAAGTATGTACAAAAATGATTACTGAATACCACCAGGAAAATGGCGACGGTACTTTTTTCCTCCATTAAAAATTCTATAAATCTATGTTCTATGATACGCTACTTCCCTGTCTAAGCAACCATTAGCATTAAAATGGACCTGTTGTCTTAAAGATTGTACAAAAAGACACACAAGTTAATAGCACCTTTTAATGGTTTATAGTTATTTCAAGTAGTCAAATAATGATTTAAACTGCATCATGCAGTTTACCCTGCGTTTCTTTATCCCTAGAGTATATATCATTGTGTCATGGACAACAGTTAGAAATAGCTACTTAATCACAGTTCCCAAGTTTGATAATTTAGATAGAAGTGCTTTATTTCAACATATTGGGGATATAATTTATGTATAATTTTACAGCTGCTGATACAGACCTCTACAATTTATAAACTGGGGTTCGGCTACAGGTAAATCGGCAATGGTCTTTTACAGTCACTAAGATAGATAATCCATTAATGAAGGTAAGAAACTGAACAGGTGTTGAAAGACATCCGAAAATGATCGATATGGGTGAGGTGACACCCCAGACTGGGGTGAGTGTAATGGGGATGTCTTTTGCCTAGAAACTACAGGAGGGCTGACACATCTAAACTCTGTATGGAGAAAAACAGTGAGACTGTCATTATACTTATGGCATAATCAGACTACAAGTAAATAATTAATCTGAATTTGTTATATAATAAACAGAATCTCGAACTTGCGTCATTGCTAGATGTGTTCTTGTGGAGTTTTGAAATATATTTTGAGTATCGCCAAACTTTCTGTTTGTGAGTCGCAATCCTGATTTTTACAATTTATTTGATATGTATCTCTTCGTCACCTTTTCCTTATTTGGCATAACAAATTACTTTTTTCTTCTTATATAAAAAGTTCTCTATTTGCTGATGTCTGTGCTACTGTTTGCTAATGTCTGTGCTACTTCATGATAACATATTTTTTTAGAATCATTTGTCAAGTCGATCTCAGAAATTCTCCCATAAATTAAAGGTTTGGGTCTTTCATGTGATTATGTAAGATATGTAACAAACTTCCGAAAGTTGCTAGGGTTGACTCAGTGATATGAAACAGCTGTATGATGTTAATAAATCATTATTCAACTCTACTTTAACTAACTCTAAATTATTAAAAGGCCAAGTACTATTAACTTTCGTTTCTTTTGTACAATCTTTAAGATAACGGTTGGTAGACACTGCTGGTGTACTCCAAGTCCCCGAGGTTAACCTTCAAATAGTGGCACGGTTCTGAATATACACAAAGTACTTTGTCAAATTTTGCAGATGTCAATCCAAAACAGGCACGATTTGGAGAACACTCTGACTAAGGTTCAATAACTCTGCGTTATCAGGACGTCGTTGGGGGTCTAGAGGTAGGACTTCAGTAATAGTTTTTGCAATTATTCGTGAAGCTTTATATCATAGAAATCCCGTTACCTACTATCAATATTTCATCACTGTAAGGCGCCTGCTGGTAGTACACGATTCACATGCTTAAAAAGTTCAATTCAGGCCTGTTGCAAAATAAACTAAATAAAATTAAAGGTTTAATTTTCATAACTAATTCTTTCATTGTTTCATAAAGATGAAATTGGATTAAAAACCAAATAGTATCAGGACTTGTAAACATGTTGTCTCCAGATCAGAACATTATAAGGCGAGTACGTTCCTATTGCACCCATGCGTGGCACCGTGTTAATCAAAATTGGCGACCTAATGACGAGATGGACTGCTGACAAACCAATGGCCAAGGTAAATTCAGATAATTGTTATACTTTGTAGTCATCAAATTATTTGTCAAAAACCACTTAACATTTGTGATTCATTATTTTACACAGTCCAGGTCATATAAAAAATGAACAAAATATAAGCCTCATCTAAAGTGTTGCTAATTTCGCATGAAATGATGTTAATATCAAATGTCACTGCACACGGGACACGGCAACATATATTATGCGCGTTGGACTTTTTTTTCTAATTGGTACTGAGTTCATAACTAGTTAACCAAGGTCAGTATGTCATTCCATCTCCACCCCAACCCTGGCGGCGCCATCATCTCGTTTTTGTTGATCACGCATCAGTATATATATAGAATTGTACGAAAGCCACACATATGAATATCACCTTTTAATACAAATTTTGAGTTAGGGTAGACCAAAAACAAAGCAATTAACTGCATCATACAGCTGTTTTTTTTGTCCTAGGACTGTCAGAAATACTGATGACCTATAGTTTAAACCAAAGAGGTGACTGAGGAAAATCGCAAGAAATATCAAAATCTAGACGGGGTGGTGCACTAGACCCATAATTCGTGCGTAAATTTCATATATCTGATAATTTAAGAAGAGTAAAACTGTCTATATATAGTATCAATGTGAGTATAACTGTCTATATATAGTATCAATGTTAGGGTATAACTGTCTATATATAGTATCAATGTGAGTATAACTGTCTATATATAGTATCAATGTTTAGTATAACTGTCTATATATAGTATCAGTGTTAGGGTATAACTGTCTATATATAGTATCAATGTTAGAGTATAAGTGTCTATATATAGTATCAATGTTAGGGTATAACTGTCTATATATAGTATCAATGTGAGTATAACTGTCTATATATAGTATCAATGTTAGGGTATAACTGTCTATATATAGTATCAGTGTTAGAGTATAACTGTCTATATATAGTATCAATGTTAGGGTATAACTGTCTATATATAGTATCAATATTAGAGTATAACTGTCTATATATAATATCAATGTTAGAGTATAACTGTCTATATATAGTATCAATGTGAGTATAACTGTCTATATATAGTATCAATGTTAGAGTATAACTGTCTATATATAGTATCAGTGTTAGGGTATAACTGTCTATATATAGTATCAATGTTAGAGTATAAGTGTCTATATATAGTATCAATGTTAGGGTATAACTGTCTATATATAGTATCAATGTGAGTATAACTGTCTATATATAGTATCAATGTTAGGGTATAACTGTCTATATATAGTATCAGTGTTAGAGTATAACTGTCTATATATAGTATCAATGTTAGGGTATAACTGTCTATATATAGTATCAATATTAGAGTATAACTGTCTATATATAGTATCAATGTTAGAGTATAACTGTCTATATATAGTATCAATGTGAGTATAACTGTCTATATATAGTATCAATGTTAGGGTATAACTGTCTATATATAGTATCAGTGTTAGAGTATAACTGTCTATATATAGTATCAATGTTAGGGTATAACTGTCTATATATAGTATCAATATTAGAGTATAACTGTCTATATATAGTATCAATGTTAGAGTATAACTGTCTATATATAGTATCAATGTGAGTATAACTGTCTATATATAGTATCAATGTTAGAGTATAACTGTCTATATATAGTATATGTTAGGGTATAACTGTCTATATATAGTATCAATGTTAGAGTATAAATGTCTATATATAGTATCAATGTTAGGGTATAACTGTCTATATATAGTATCAATGTGAGTATAACTGTCCATATGTAGTATCAATGTTAGGGTATAACTGTCTATATAGTATCAATGTTAGGGTATAACTGTCTATATATAGTATGAATGTTAGGGTATAACTGTCTATAAATAGTATCAGTGTTTGGGTATAACTGTCTATATATAGTATCAATGTTAGGGTATAACTGTCTATATATAGTATCAATGTTAGGGTATAACTGTCTATATATAGTATCAATGTGAGTACAACTGTCCATATGTAGTATCAATGTTAGGGTATAACTGTCTATATATAGTATCAATGTTAGGGTATAATTGTCTATATATAGTATCAATGTTAGAGTATAACTGTCTATATATATAGTATCAGTGTGAGTATAACTGTCTATATATAGTATCAATGCGAGTATAACTGTCTATATAGTATCAATGTGAGTATAACTGTCTATATAGTATCAATGTGAGTATAACTGTCTATATATAGTATCAATGTTAGAGTATAACTGTCTATATATAGTATCAATGTTAGGGTATAACTGTCTATATATAGTATCAATGTTAGAGTATAATTGTCTATATATAGTATCAATGTTAGAGTATAACTGTCTATATATAGTATCAATGTTAGAGTATAACTGTCTATATATAGTATCAATGTTAGAGTATAACTGTCAATATATTGTAATAAACAGATACACGACAATGTAGTAATGTCATATACATTTATTTTCTGATATGATAAAAAGATGCACCCAAAAAACATGTCTGTTTTGTGCAAGGATGTTCTGGCTTCATTGAATTAATACATGCTTTCTTGACCAAGATACCTTGTGTTGGTCTTATTTGCATTTACCTGAAGCTAATTGATACAAATTTTGCCGAATATTTACAGAAATTCAAGAATATATCAGCAAATTTATGAAAATTAATGTTCATTGAAAAAATTATCATGTTTTCTTTACTAATAAGTTAATAATCTCTATTTATCCGTGAAGTAGAAATGGAACATTGTATCCTGTACCTAAACATTTCGGTTCCTTGGTTACTTCATTTCAGTTTCCTCCCAGAGTAAAACCCTTTGTGCACCACAATCTTGGCCAACAAGAGTGATTAATACAAGTTTGTATTCATTTTCCAATTGTTGTAAAATATATCAACTCTATAGAAAACTTTTAAAATCAGGAACTTATTTGAAACATCAAATCAGGCTACAAAATAAACAAACCATCCATGTATGTGCCATGTAGATCCTCCTGAATATACTGCAAAGCCTACAGATACATAAAAACAAAAAAGTCATTAACCTAAACAGGTATTGTGTCCTTTTCTTATAATAATTGCAGAAAAAATCATTTCAACACTATAGTGTCATTGAAGAAAATAAGCTTTATTTCCAGATAATTTATTCTTTCGTGTAACCTATTACATTTCTGTATACAATACTTATACATCATGTTGTCATTAGGGGTGCATAAATCATTTTCAAATACAACTTCAAAAGATTACCTCCACATATAATAAACATAAATTAAGGTGCTTTGTGCATATCTTCATTATCTTAAGGACTGTATATACTTATATGTTATCTTTATTCCCATTTGAATTCTATTAATTTTGCACAAATCCACTTTAAAACCAACACAACCATTATAAAGATAAAATTTTATGAGGTCGTATCACTCTGTGTTGTCGTTTTCTTTGCCTTTGAGGCAATGTCTTTCACTTTAGGGAGTAAATCTTGCATTTCCGTGGTTAGTTTAGCTTTCTCTTCTTCTTTATCATCACCTTGTAGTTTCAAATGTTTAACCACTAAATCTGAAAGAAGATGAACCCAAAAAAAAATCTTAAGAAGATGTGCAATGATTTTGTATTAAACTCATTCTGGTCATGATTACCTACAGTTCAACAAAATTCACATCAACAGTTAAAATCTACAAGTCAAATCTAGATATGTTAAATACCTCTGCTATGTTATTTGACCAATATTTGTAAAGAAAAAAAGAATTGATTTAAACAGACTACAACAATACAAACATAAGTGCTAGCATGCTTGGCACTGGTCACTTGTCTGATGTAGGTGACAGTGTTGTTATTGACACATTACACTTGAGACTTTTACTGGTTGTGCCATAAGTACTACTACTTTCTATGAAGGTTAACTATGTGATGATTCAAGAATTGACAGCTTGTTGAACACCAACATATTAGCATACAACTGCCTCGGAAAAATATCACAATCGGATAAAAGTTTCTTAGCGATTGTTCAGTGATAACACTCTCTCAATCACTGAAATCTCACACATAAATTTCAGAGAGATTGTATGTCATGAAGCCGACTTAACCCCTATTGAAATAAAAATAGATAACTGCCTTGCTGTTTGATACGTACCTTGAAGACTAACAAATATTTTATGTTGTTCTTCGTCCATGTGATCTTTGAGAAAGAGGATGATCTGTGGGACAGACTTGCCAGGGGCATGGATCAGACACTGGGTATAGGCCTGGAAGAGTAAGACTACAGCCAGATGGAGGGTCATGGCAGGATCTGATTCCTGATTCATCTGCTCTAGTAATACTTGTCGGTGGTTAAACACCAGCTGTCTGTAAATACCAGAAATATCAAATACAAAACTGATATACATGTATTGTAAATTGTACAAAGTAGGTAAAATTTGGTGATTTTTTCTATATTACAGATGTTATTTCATCAAAATGTTCCTATAGTAATTCATTCCTTCCCAGTTCCTTAAAATATTCCAGTAACATTCCTGGACCTGGAATATCCTTGATTTAAATCAGATTATCATATAGCCATCATTAGAGACCTGTTTGTTTATATCAAAAAAAGAAAGAACAGGTTGTCTATCTTTAGTCTTAAACTTCCAACATAAATCCTGTGGACAAAGGGATTTATAGCAGTGCATTGAGATAATATATGTTGACATGGACATGGATAGGCCTATAACCAGAATGGTCTTAATGGTGGCAAGATAATGATTTATGGTTTTACCTCTCCTTCCTTTTATCTGGTTTCTTCAAATTAATGCCTAAATATTCAGGTCCACAGAATTTGTCGAGGAGAGAAAAGAAGTCCTCAAGGCTCTGGAAATTAAGAATGTCAGAGTTGTCACATATCTGCAAGACTAACGTAAAATGTAGCAGAGAAAGTATACAAATATACCTAATCAGTGGCAGGAACTGACAATCATTTATATTATAATCATAATGCCTTAGTAAAAATACAGACAGGTAAATTCTGATAATATTCTTTCAGCTATCAAGTTTTGAACTGAAGCCTCCAGTTTATTTCAGTAAATTTGGGAATCTCCAGGTTTAAATTTTGGAACTAAACTGTAGATTTTTGAAAAGAGAATTTTATCATTTTCATATATATATATACTGTAATTCTGGTAAGGTTTTCAAGCACAAACAAGAGTAAATCGATTATCATATCCAATAATCCTCTGTTACAGTTTTGAAGTTTTAATATCTTGACAGCAATCCAACATCAGCTGTTCCACAGAAGACTTACCTTGCCGCTTAAGGAGGCATGGAACTTGACAAGCTGAGGTTGAATACTGTCTGGCAATTGGCTGATAATTTTCGCTCGAACCTAAAACAAGATGAATACATTCACATAGCTGCATTTTCATACAAATCAGATATCATTTTGTCTGTTCCATTGCCATTTACCATCAGAAAACATGATTTTTTATATCACTTTGCCAAGTTGACATCACATTCTTGAATATTCAGTTATGTTGGGAGAAGTGAGCAAGTCATTATTTGTAAATGTTCATATCAATGATTGTATATCTTTACATAGGGCTCTCATGCAATTTATAATAACTCCGTTTAAATGATGGTTGCCATGGTGACCATTTCCAATGAGATGAAGATTCTAATTTCAGACCGGTTCTAATTTCTGTAAAGACTATTTGTGGCAATTACACATCATTAGTGGAGGTCCTGTCTGAACATGACACGATTCAGAATTTACTTAATGTATCCTTTAAAACTTCAACATTTTCGCTTCTTTTCTATTCTTTTCTATTATATGAAATTTGAAAATTCTCTTACTGCCAAATCCAAGATGGTTGCCTGTCACCGGTTTTCTGATCATTTCGAAACATAAAAAATATCCATAATTATGGACAAAGGGAAACCTACATACAGAATTTGAGAGAAATCTTTCTAGTTTTTGTCAAGAAATAGTGATATTTTAGAGTCAAAATTAAAGATGGCTGCCTATATTTTTCTTAATAGACCAAAAATGATGCATGCAACCAACATATAATTTGAGAAATATCTGTTGTGAACTTCTAAAGAAATAGCAATAACAAACAAATCCAAAGACAAATGGACACAAAAAGAGAGAACAAGAAGGACATTATACATCAGACATAGGATGATTTGAATAGCCCATCATCTCATGATTGGGCTAAAAAACTAATATAACTTTTACACTAAGCAAACAATCCACATGTGTAGGTGTATTGAACATCGTTTCATCTAAAACTTACTTCAGGAGTAATTTCTGATTCATCTTGAACAGACACCATGTGATCAATCGCCAAAGTGTTGACGACCATATTGGCTATGTCACTGCAGAGGGTTTTCAGGATGTGTTTAATAAGCTGTGTCTGGCCCTCATCTACAAAAGTAATATCTTGATTAATTTACAACTACAGTTTTATATTTAAGGGTATATCATACATAATTTGAAACTGAATCTCTTTCCCAAAGACTTCACTCCTGCAATCCACTTTGGTTAAGGAAAAGATCTTGAATGAGGCTGGCTAAGTAATAGAAAATTTTACAAAGTTAAAAGGTCCACAAATGCCTTTCAGAGTACTAATGGCTGACCATCGACAGTTTTTCAGTTCAGCTTAGGCCTGTAAATAAATTTCAAGAAATACCAATTATTGTGTATGTGTGTTAAGGATGTATTGATTTCTTGTTTAATTTGGATCAATCTCAGACATTTCAACTGGTTAAAGAGAAATCAACCTCAGTTGCAAGTATTAATGAAAACAATATTTACTGGAATTTAAATATGAATGATGATAAATGATGAAGAATTTTGTGAATAGAAAATATTAACATTATATTATGAATATAAATACACAATTCAAGGTTCTTGTATGATATAATTATCTTTTTTCATTTTACTTTTTACAAATTTTCAAACCTTGAAAGAGAATGATTCCCTTTTCGAACAGTTTACAATTAGTCCAAAGACCAGACAACTTCTCTTGCAAATCTCCATGTGTCTTTTTACGACTGGCCCCTGATAGTGAACCAGACTGTGAGAGAAATATGGACTTCGCCAGCTCATGAAACTGTTTAGTTAAAGGCCTGAAAAATCAAGTTTTCTTTAAATAAGCACAAAAAGTAATATAGATGACAATTTTAATATATTTTCAATTAGAGATGAAATACAAGAAAAGATATAAAAATGCTTTGTCTTCCAAATTTCTGGAATTATTGTAAAACCAGAGAGTGAACCCCTTATCCTATTTAAACACACATGAATCTGCTGACCCTGACTTTATAATGAAAACTTAAAAAAATTCTATTTTCTATAGTTAAGGTTGTCTTTTAAACTGGTCCAATTTTCAGATTTAGTGAAAAATTGATGCAAAAAGGTTGTATTTTTTAAGGACGTCATGTCCTTTTTCACAAATTTTCAAGGCAGAACCCCTCCTAAATAATGCACTTAACAGTATTCATGTGTGATATACCGTGGATATCTACCTATGCAGATGCTGAGCTATCTCAGTAAGAAACTCGTCTGGACAATCCCGTAATTCTGTCTGCTTTCTTAAAACATCCTCCATTTCCTCTATTGCCATGAAAGAGGATTCCATTTGCTTTCCTTTTCCTCCTGTGTCGTCATCATCAGAACCCTCATGCGTGTCACCTCGTCCTCTAGCCCCTTTCTTTTTCAGTGATTTGGTTTTTACTTCACGGCCCTGTGTTCCTCCCCCACTCTTTGTACTACCTACAATAGCATTGAATACTGTCTAAAACACATACATTATATAGTACTTCACAAATTGTAACAATAAATATCATCAGTTTTTTCTAAGATAACATAGTTGCACAGAAAAACAATATCTTACTACCTAGGTTTATCTTTCTTTTGTCTCTCTTTTTTCATTTATTGAAAGGTGGGTTGGGGGAGTACTGTAAGATTTCTTTGACATAAAATTTAAATTCTTATTATCATAATATAAAGAATAAATAATGCCTGAATAATTCTCTGGATTCTAAAAACAGATGTTATGAGCTTTACACAAAAGAGTGTGAAAATTCTTTATTATTTACTTTGAGCTTTCTTCTTTCTCTGATCTTTCCTCTCCTCACGGCCAGTCCCTCCATCATCCATTCCCGACAATCGAGCAGAGGACTTTTTACCAGAATCACTGGTATCTTTGAACACATTCGGATTTTTTCGGGATTCCTACAGAACAAAATGAAGAAGTTTTCAAACATTTTTGATCCAATATTCTTTCCCCGTTAAAAACAAACAATAAAATTTCACTGGATTATCTGTCTTCAAAGAATTGAAGAAGCTTGTATAAAATGAATGACTGCTCATAAGAAGGCTGGTACTGATAGGAAATGCATAAGAAACAGATTTGACACAAGCAAATGTGCTGTATATTTGAACAAAATAAAACATTTAATTTCACACCTGTTTAATGTTGAGATTGATAAGATATGGTGAAGTACAGAAGTATAGTTTCATGTAACAAAATACTGTCATCAGCCAAAAAAAACCCTTTCTCGTAATAAGCCCGCTTAAATCTATCGCAGTTTCAATAGATATGACAACAATTTCTATATCATTGTCCAGTAATTAGTAACTTTCCTAATTTGCTAATTCAGAATTTGGGAAGTGAATACCAATTTTGACATTTCTTTCTTTTTTGATTGTGAAACTGTCAAAATCTTGCCCAACCTGTTCAGCTCTGGATGCAACAATGTCCTTGAATTTTTCAGCAAAGCCTGTGATGAATTGTTGACTGGACACTATGGTGTCACAGCTGACCACCACTGATGTTATCCGTTTTGTACACTCAGTCAACAGCTGGTTAGCATCTTTCTCACTGAATATGGACGGAAGTAGAGGCTGAAAACAAAATGTATCATCAATACTTAATTTTATGTTTTGATAAAAGAGACAAGGCTTACAGTAGTAGAAACATGTATGGATTATGTGATATACAGAATTTATTCCTGACACAGAAGCTTGTCCTTACAATACTTGACCAAGACTCCCTTGTCACCCTATGGTAATGATCCAGAACCTGGACATGAAGTTGTATATATAACCTATATAAACACTTGAGCATGAACCCAAACTTTCTGTTTGATAAAAAAAGTTGATCTTTATTGAATGTGTGATACACTTTACCATTTTTCTATCCTTGAGGATTTCTTGAGCACAGATTTGCAACTTTTGTACAACATACCATGATGTTGACCCAGGAATTGTCCTGAAGAGCTTCCTCCACACTAGCTTCGATCTGTTCCTTGATCCCTACACCAGCACAGCAGGTGCTTAGATATGTCAGAGGCTCAGATTTAAACCTTTTCTTGATGAAACTTTTAGGGTCGGAGATTCCAAGGCGAGATAAAGAATCATATTCTATAGAAAAAGAAATTTACAAAACATATATCAGACAGTTATGTCTGCTCAGTCTTAAATTTGCTTTAAAAGACGTAAATACAGTTTCTTAAATAAAAATTACTCTCTTTGGTGAGCAAAAAATTTAAAATGAAAATGTTAAGATACTTTTTATTACAATACTGAGAAAAGCAACATTTTGATAGGTTTAAATAAATAAAAAAAAAAGGACAAAATTTTGTAGCACCATTTTCAATACATGAGGCATTATGATTGTTCATGTTATGCCATCAAAATCAATTTCTGACTGGTGCAGCTCAGGAAAAAACACACTCCTGGAATAATACTCTCTAGTGACGTACATTAATAAATATAAGATTGGTGAATTCACTATATAGACAAAAACTTGTATCTACTTTTGAACATCAAACTTTAGCCCAGTGTTGGTTTTCACCCAATTGACAAAAGGGTCAACATGTGAAATAGAAAATGCAATGAAAGTTTCCCCTGGTAAATTAACAAGAACATGGCGCCGAGACAAATATCACAGGTCTATGTGATCAATATCTTTAATAAAATGTCATACAATTTTCATTTACATTCTTCTTACCTAGATAGCCATTTTGTTTGTAGAAGGAATCAACCCACTGGTTCTGAGTCTTTGTATAGATCTCAGGGATGTAAGCAGCGTTTTCCTGTCTGACTCCACTAATGGTCCCTGCCAGTCGCCCTGTACTAACTAACTCCTCCAAGATACCTACAAAAAACATGGTATTACCTTTACTTCATATGTAAAGTATAAGTGAAATGCCAAAGATCACATATGTCCACACCCAAGAGATATATAGGTGGACTTATATAGAAGTACATAAATAGAACATTTCCTACACTGATTAAGGTTAAACCTATAGCTTGTCTGGTTAAAGTACAGATTTTCAAAACACACTGTGTACTTAATGTAATGCTCTATATCTTAATCGAATTGTGTTTAGATATAAACAACATAATGAAAAATTTCAAAGATTTCTTTTCAAAAACACTAAATTGTAATGAAAAAATTATACAGTGGAATAGAATAAAAATCCTAATCATCAAAAATCGTGATACAATATCGATATGTATATAGAATAATGGGAAACAAGAACAAAATATTTGAGGGATATTTCAGTAAAACATCTATCTGCACCAGGACTTGAGGTTTTGTTTAGGGGCACCTGCCATAGAATTTAATTATTTGCTAAGAACTATAAACAGCAGTCATTTATTTACGGAGTCCACGGGTCAAGTAGATGATTTAGTGGAATATCAGTTCTTTATTTTTTATAGAGTTATATAATATTAGACAGATATAATAATAACTCATTCACATCCACAACATGTGAAGTTCCAAGTAATAGGAAATACTTATGTCATAACAGAAGGTAATTTTCTCTTTATTCACAAACTCATTAATGATTTGTTTGTTACTTAAAAACTTGATGAAAGATGTCATTTGACAACAGCACTTTCCATCAACAAGAAAAGAGACATGTACACATATCTAACGTAACTAAAGCCAATATCTCATTCACCATAAAGATACAGATACATACTGAAGAAGAGTCTGTCCTGAAATCTGTATCTATGTAGTATTGTACCGACTGTGGTTGGTCTGCAACAAAATCATCCATGTCATTATCAAACAGCACATGTGAGACATTACATATGATTTCATGTTATACATCTCAATCGCCTTAACATTACCCATTTATCACATAACACTCAACATTTTTGTATGGGTGTGGCCTTGGATAGTGATCAAGCTTTCAAATGAGAGACCATCTTATATCTATACCTTATTTATCTTGTTTAAGACATGCAAGATAAACCTTTGTCCTGTGCGTAGGAACAAAGGAGACAGAATATGATAATTTGTACCAGTGGGAATACATGTATTAGTACAAGCGCTATCTAGTATAAAACATTCAATAGAGTGTGTTATTTTTCATTTCTGTTTCTTTGCAATTCTCTTGCTTATGACTGATGAGCAACAGCCTCAATGAGTATCAATGTTCTGAGGGATATTGATATGTAAACTGTATCTTGTACAGTTTTCCATACCAGAATGAAGTCTGAAGTCTACCAGTGATGCTTCAACATTGTAAAAACACATAGAATTTTATCACTACCTTTTCTTGCAGAAAAAACAAAGCTGAAATGGTGAAATTCAAACATTAACTCCGAAATTATCATTTGCATAAACTTCATAGAAGGATTAAAATACTGTCAAAATATACATTTTGTCCTAAAAATATTGTGTTAAGCATGATTACACTAATACAGCAACAGTTTCTGTACAATGTTAATATAGCAATTAACTAGTGTGAATGCGGAAATTCATCATTGTGTTTATTTGTTAAGGGATAGGGTTATCAATATTGCGTTAAAATTTGATTGCATCAAAATCAGCAATTTGCAGTAAATGGGGAAAAAAATGTAATTTTTTTATCCTATTAAACTGATAACATTTATAAGAAACTATGACCTTGAACCAACCTTGTAATAGCACTAAATGCTCCTCTGATACGAGATTTCATTCTTGTGATGAAGGCATCAGTGAATATGACATCTGGATCATACGTATCCACTTTCCCTTTGATGATTCTACCCATTCGTTCATGTATATGCTGTAAATTATAAACAGAGAAAATAAGCTTCTGTTGGATAATGATTTATACAAAAACAGACATACAACAGACTTAATATTCTACTCTATTATGTTTATTCTGCGGTAAACCCAGACAGACAACAAATTATTCATGACTTAAAACTCTTAATTGGGGACATAGGCTTATAAATATAGGTAATGATATAAAATCTGGCCCAAGCTTTATGAATCTTCCTTAACTTTCCTATGGGCAATATTAAGTTCAGAAAAATTCCTCAAGTTAAGGAAGATTCGTGAAACTGTTTACGCTAAACATTTGATTAGTTAGAACAACATTAATTAAACATTGTTGAACCTGTTCAAATTATACAAAATTATGCTCATGAAAAAAAATTAGAGTTTAAACCTTCAGGGTCAACATTGACATTGCCCAAATAAGTTCACAACAAAATGCTTCCAGGGAAGTTGGGGGGGGGGGGGGTATAAGTTATAAAATAATTATCTTCTGAACACACATACTGTAATACAATACATGTTTATCTATTGTTTAGAAATAACAGATTTGATTTTGATCTTCATAACTTTGAATACCATGACGAAGAAACCAGCTCATAAGCATACCTACATAAAGAGGGTTGTAACTGTCACTTAGCAGAAAATTATTGTTTTTATTGAAAAAGTCTGTATGTCAGAACTACCAGTTTGTTTCAACTGATTAGAAATTTACTGTAGTTGAGAATTTTACTGACTGCAAAGTCAAATTGATTTAGGCAGGTTTATTACAAGGCTTATCATCAGATAAATATGGGAAATTTCAATATTCTCAATGCTGACAACATATGACATAAATACCAACCTCAGATAGGAAATCAGCAGGAAGATCATACAAGGTTGTCAGTTCTGCTATGGTCACATGACCTTGATCCTGGAGTTTGTCGTTCACTTCCTCAGCTAGGTTGTCAAGATAACTTCTACAAATGAAACAACAAAACAACATTTTCAGGGCTCAAATACAGGTAAATGTTTCTGGCAATAATGACCTAACATATCCAAACTTCTACCAATGCTGTACAGATGCAAGTATACAAATGTGTTGATGGGCAGAAATTGGAAGAAACATATCCAGCATTGGACAAGCAAACACACTTCCATTTTCTTATATTGTCAATGCTTTACAAAGAGAAGTATAAGAACATGTCATTTTTGAAAAAATGCCATTACTTACTTTGAAAGTTTTTTAAAATTTTATTTTTTATTAAGATTCAATTCATAAAAAGTTTCATAGTGCAAGTGTTTTCAACAAATCAGTTTAGAAAATGCTTTCAACAACTGCTCAGTCTTTTATGTTTTAGGTGTTTCTTTGCTGGGTAAGGCTTTATATGTACAAACCATTATCAGATAAAGTTGTGTACTACAGATGGTTATATAGTCCACATGGTGTGACACTTAACTCAAACATCAGGTACTTTAAAAGATTGATAAACACTGTACCTGGACACAAGCTGACCAAGGACCATCGACAAATTATGGTCATGTTTGATGATCTCGTTGACTTGGGTTTCCACATGTCTGAAGTCAACATTCAGGATTTGCTGTAGTTCTGACAAATTGATTCTTCCACCATGAACCATAACTTCATCCTTGATTTCTTTAGCCAGCTCCTGAGGAGTGAGGTATTCTTTGCCATCGATTGTATATATCACTTCAATCAAGTTCAACTCTACCAGTTTGTTAACAATCTCCACAACATTTCTTTCTGAGAGTCTAAAAAGTAAAGAGGAAAGAAGAAAAAAGCAAATTTAATCAAACAATGGATTCCTTAATTAAATATGCATTAGAGATAAACAGATTTTTATTTATGTTTTTCAGTTACCACCGGTAGTTGTTATAAGGAAACATCATTCATTATTACTATCAGCTGTTTTCAGAGTTATCCTTTGGTTAAAATATTTGTATCAGGAGTCATATTTATGGGAATGGATAATATCTCAAATTGATTATTCTGGATATTTTTGCCTGAAAAAAATGAATTTAGGTTACACCCTCTGGTTCCTTTCAGAATGAACCTAAATACACATTCAGATTAACACCAACATCATATCTGCCTTCAAACACAGAAACATGTCTAACTGAATTGGGCTAGAGCTTTAGGCTCCCAGTTTTGAGACAGTATCATCCTGGTGAGTGATCAGAATTTTTTTCACTTAAATGCATATTAGGCAACTGCCTCCCAGGGAATATACCTTACCTAATATGTTGTTTAAGAATAACAGCATGTTGTGTCATAGTTTTAAGAATTGCTTTACTATGATAAATTTGATACATGATAATCATGATTTGATATATTTGCTTAAAATCAAATATATCATTTTGTTCAAGGATATGTTTAATGTAAACACAATGTGAAATGGTTTACTGGACAGCTGATGCATGTTTTCAGTTAAGGTTTGTTAACTAACTAATGTTAATGTAAGAAAATAAGTCACATGTTTAAGATGAAACAATAGCTATAAATAACTGATTTTTTTAATAAAATGAACTAATCTTTGCTATGATTATCATTTAATAGATAGCATGATTGAATGTCTACACTGGCCTCTAGTTCACATTCACTGCTTGCAAAACAGACTTATTATGATCTACAAAATAATATATGGCCTTCTTGCACTTCATCCTGAAAATCTCCTCCCTATTGGCTTACTCACTCATACAAGCCATCACAACCCATATGCTGTCAGACACATACAAATCTTCGCTGCAGATAGCTATACCCCCACCCCCCTTTAAAATCGCTTGTCATAGCATTTCCTTGAGGGTTGGCCTAGTGGCCTCTCTATGTCGCAACTTTTATATCATAAGACAGATACATATATATAATGAACGGGGTGGACTTATTGGAATGGGAAAGTTTCAATATTACCATTATAGACCGATATCCATATTTTACATATTGCACAACAAATCATCATCATTACATTATTAAAAACATGTTTATTTTATTGTTACTATTTTCTGTCTGTCAATAGTTTTCCATCTTTGTATCCTCACATTGTTCCGGACATGTAAAATTGAAGAAATCCTGCCATGATGGTGCATGATATATAATGCGCAAGCATTTTCCTATTTATTTTTCCCAAATCATGACCGACACAATTTTTCGTAACTGTACATAATATATACTGTTGTGTGTATTGACAATTGGCAAGCGGCGAAAATAAAAATAATAAAGAGTAAATAGAACTATTTCTTACTTCTGTTTTGCACTTGTTAGTTGTGCTCGCTGAAAATCTGCTTGCAGACGTTTCACTTCTTGCCACAAGTCAGCCATGTTGACACTTTCTGCTGAAGAGTTCTGATAGGGGCAGGTAACTGCGTTCAGAACACGATGAGAAATGGGTTTCGAAGAGGATGTCGTTGTAAAGAATGATATGTGGAATTAAAATTGACGCGATGGTCGCAACCCACGATGGACATACTACGTGCCTTTGCATGACTTATTTGATACTTATTCAAACAAGAAAATCGTTATCAAATGATAGAATTTTTCACAAGATGGTAATAAATCTGTTGTAACAAGTACAATCCGACACGGTAGAATTCTTATGTGCGAACACAACCGAAAATGCATAAAATTTACAATGAAATCGTCGCAGCTTTCATTTATATAACTAATCTGTTGAAAAAAAGAATGAAATGCAAAAAAGAATAGAAAACTGATCTAAGCAGTATGAAAAATGAATGTTCCGACCGCTCCTTGCAACCAAACCAGAATCTGATCGGTTGAAGAACTAAATTGTTCATATTGCTGTCCAATGTGCTTTCTATCAAGACTGACATTTCAAGGTCTCTAAAATCTCAATTACATACATATACCACTTCTCAAGTATCTTCTTCGTAATGATTCCAGTCTAGGTACACTTTAACTACTGCGTTGGTGTGAACTAAGTAAATTGTAAAACGTATTTTAGCAGATAACAAATAAGAATTATGAAATATATTGAAATTTCGAGCTTTCTGATGTTTGAAAGGTTTATTTATATACAAACTGAGGAAAGAGTTTTTGTACAGACTGGTATATTCTTTATTAAAATTGGGAACACCAGGGAGCACGTGTAGTAGAAATGACGATATCCCAGTGCATTTTATTCTGATAAAAGAGACAAAAAAAAAAAAAAAATTAAAAATTCTTCACGTTCATTACTACTGTCAAGATATATTTGGTACTAAACATGATTAGTGAAGAACAAAATTTAATGATCGCCCAAATTTGAAGTCGGTAGTATTAATTATTCAACTTTCTCGTGTCACATTCACATACTCAAGAAAAAAGAAAGAAAATATTACAATGCACTTTATTTAAAAAAAAATGGATGAACTAGACTGTAACAGAAATGCAATGATTAACACACGACATATTTGGAAAGGACTTGGAAAGCAAGATTAGGGCCCGTATTCATGAAATCGTTGTCATGCTCAAGCATGCATTTTGTGCTCAAGCCTTATGTCTTGTTTAAGTTAAAGATTAATAAATAAGACTGATTTTGCTGAAGTTTTATAAACAATTTTGAAAGGAATTAAAGTCAAAACTATATTCAAGGTTTAGATTTGACATTTGTATTATTATATATTATTTAGGTTAATTATAAAAAGGTTTGCTTGAGCACAAAATCAATGCTTGAGCATAAGAACGGTTTCATGAATACGGGCCCTGGTGTTCCCGAAACATAAGCGTCTTTCTCAATAAAAGTCAATCCACGAAATGGAACGTTCTCAAAACGCGAACCAGATTAAAACAATGAAACTTCATTACTTATTGTCACAAAAAGGAAGAAATATATCCAAGAATATTTCCCCGTCTCTATCAATTTGCAAGCACATCTAAAATTCCTGTATTACATTCACTTTACTGTAGAAATAACTACAACATATAAACATCACTGGTTGGAGAAGCAGGCTGTCACTATACAGAAAGGGGATGTCGACATGGTTTTCACATAGCTTAATGATAAGATTAACAGACTGCAACATGTAAATAACATCGGTTTGGGAAGCAGGATATAACTACATAGAAAGGAAAATCCAGGACACGTATGGGAATCGAATGGACTGTCCCTGTTGGTTTCGTTGTGAGCAAAGGTAGGATAATCCATCGCGGAATATAAGATTCATTTTAGTAGGAAAGACCTCAGACAACCGGAATTTCGGGACCTAGTGAAGCGTGCGTTTAAAATAGCATACAATACATTCAACATAAAACTTAGGAGACCTGCAATAAAATTCAGTGCATGTTAACATCCATCATCATAGGAAAGTGAAGGTTATACATCACATGCTTTTAACAGCCCACTGCACAGAGCTAGTCTCCATTCACAGACAAACATGATCAAACGGTGTAATGGGCTGTTGTATGTGTTTCCTGTCATCTAAACATAACAGAAATGTGTGGAAGGAAAGTAAAAATTGTTCGTTTCCATTCCCGACTTCCAAACAAAACACATGATTGTGTGCAAATACACCAGCGGATAAGCCCAAGGTCCCTGGTCTGGTATACGTAGTAACTGGATGTTATCGTCATTACTAGTACAACAACACTGTATAATATCACGGAGACGCCAGTTGTATGTTACCAACTGTGTACATTAATTCTTTTTAAAAAATTAAGCAACTTTATCCCTTTACTGCTAGTGTCAAGTAGTTTTTTAAAAATTTTTTATCTTTATCCCTTTGAGGGTGTTTATTCTTATTCATTGGTTGAAACCTTGCATATTTTCTCTATTTCCTTACAGGATATGTAAATTTATGTACATGATACTGAAATGCCATAACATGTACACGGTGTAGTATGACATCCAACCAAATCACGTTTGAAGCAGTATGACATATAGAAAATGACCTAAATTGTACTTTGTGTGTCTAAACACCTAGCTGTGGATACAGTGATTTCACTTTCACTCTCTCCACCACTGGAACATATCATGGTGAAATTGCAGGTTCCATATGTGACACCTTGTGGACAAGACGAAAAGACTAATTTGATTCTATGATGTACATCAAACGAATCCCGAGGTTGCATAACGTTATATAGTAGTGGCTTTGAGGTTTGGTATCGCTCCTTTGTAATCTTCAAAGGGAACGTATCAGCTTGTGATTGGTCAGTTATTTTCTCTTGGAACCAACCAAATTACTTAGTTTGTGCCTTCCATTTTGCCATTTTTATTGTAACCCCTTGAATATCGACAATGTGTACATCTCTTTATTTGTAATCCTTCTTTCAAAATGCGTCTATACGTCACGTGATTACAGAAAACAAAGTGAATTGAGAATGTATGTGTTTTGAATGTGCGGGTCCCTATGTAGGGTAAAACACAGAATCTTTCTTCATTATTTCCTAAATGTTATTATAACGAGGGTCAATTTGCCTGTAGCCTAGTCAACCGAGCACATGGTTACTGTCAAATGCCGTTTACTTTAACTATGTACACGAACTGGACAATACAAGTGTCATGTTTGACCTTTCAATCTAATTTGTGTCCTAAGGCCGGATCGGATCAATTGTTTGTGAATAAAATAATTTGTATAGGGTCCGTATTCACAGCATTATAAAATATCTGGTAGGAAATGTGTATAAAGAGACAGCCGAAGCATATGATTTTTCAGTTTCATTCACTCCGAGTACCAAGAAGTATTTGATCGGGATCGAGTATCAACCCTAGCATAGGATTCTGACGACAGAAGTGTAAAAATCCTTATTAGAAAACAACTGTAACTTGATAGTACAACCATAAGGCAAAAACAAAAAACAAAAACAAAAAAAAGATCCATGTATGAACATCTGCTTAATAGACGACATCGATCCGTTATGTAATTCTAGAGAAATCGAAGTTATCAGGTTCTCAAAAAGCGAACCAAGTTAATACAATAAGCAAACTAGGCAAAAAGATATAACACAGGGAAATGGGATTCCTGCAATTACGCATCGATATTTTTAACACAGCGGAAACACAATATCCATGCTTTATTATCATTAGTATGAACACATTTCGAAATTAGTTTAAATATTTTATGAATATCTGGATCAATTACTTCACAGCCAACCGATCTTGGTGAAATAGATCAACCAACAGGGACTTGTCACACAGACCATGGGCTGGAAATTTATGACAAGGCCCTGTGATCATTCCAGTTTAATGGCAAGTGCGTTGTTTACTTACATATTCCATCTTCCGTGACGTGATTGTAAGTCAGCCACGATATAAACTGCCTCGTCTATTATATAGCCTCTGACGATATCCAATTACCAGCCACCCACAAAATATTATAAACTACATATGTATCCTGGGTGTATTAGAAGCATGAATTTAATAACGTGTTGCTATCGGAGCTCAGTGAGAATTCGATGAATCACACTTTTAAAATCGGAGTAAATCAAACAGTTTCCATACCCCAAGCCTTCAAGCGTGTTCCGATAAAGTTACATACAATGTGTGTCTACCTGAATCGTCACAGCAATGCGTAAGTTAGCATTCTTCTTCGTTGGAATACAGGAACTTTTGCAACGAATGAATATTTGGTGTAGTAGTCAGTTTTAATATGTGGCGTCTGTTTCGGAGAGGAACACTAACAAGACCTACATAGGCATTTTTGTTCGATATCTGACGATATTTGAAAAATATGTTAGCTGAAAATAAAAAGGAAACCCCCTCCTCTCTCTCTCTCTCGTTGAAAGAAAATGATATGGCAATGTGTATATTATAAATTTCTAACTTTTAATTCTTCTCAATGTCATCATGTGACTATTGTTATATATAAATTTGTGATGTATTATTTTGAAACAAGTCATTTATAAGTTGGTAAAACTTGGTGACTCATCCCTTTGTCATTATATGCCAATAAAATATGTTCAAACTTAACTATAGGAATGCAGACGACGTCCGTGACATCTGGTACATAAATGTTCTTTGAAAATGGCTTAACAAAGTTAAGTTCAGCAAGTATATTACATAAGACAAGTGAAAAATACAGACTGATACAGCTAGGCTAAACTTAAACTGAAGCACTCGTCAGTGATCCACGGGACCCATGAGGCAAAAACCCGTATAGATGGAGAGGTGCAGTAACCTTATACAAATTTCATTATTGGATGATTTCAAAGGAGGTGGCATTTATCAGGCAGTCGTAAATGTATTAGTTTTATTGCTATCATAAGCTTCAGCTTTCATATACGAAATACAATATACAAATATTTAGACAATACATGCATACCCAATTTTAAAATGGATTTATTACGATACGTTTTAACCCAGATTTCCAATTTGTGGCGGTTAGTGTTTCTCGTAAAGCTCTGGATGACATGCTGTAGGCCTCCCGTATGTTGTTCAGTGAAGTAACTACCAGCTACTACAAGGAAGTTCCGCCAATAATGACAATGCTGTTTAATGGACAGTAAACCCAGAAAACAAACCTGGAAAATGCATTTATCTATTTTTCTTCTCTGAGTTAATGTGATAATGATAATAAAGAAATTATTTTTCGTCACTTCAGTATGGTATGAAAGAGGATGCAATCAGAAAACATCAGGCAAATCTAAATAACTTTTTCTATGAGTTATTTGAATATACGAGTTAACTGAAATGAACAAATAAAACAGCAAGACACAATGAAAATGCATGACAGAGTTTTAATACAGTGATTGGGAAATGGTAATACAGTTGCACTGATACGTTTCACTGTAAAACTTCAATAGATTGTCACTAGTTTCTTGTTTATATATCACTAACGTTTATTAAGAAGCCAAGCCTTTATTAAATTTAACAAACTCGTTATAATGAAGTTCGATATAACGCTATATAAACATATCTCAACGAATATCAACCGTTTTCTTTACAATCTCTATGAAACGTGACAAATTCTGGAAGCAATAACGAAATCATAATGCTAACATACAAAAATGCATATATACATGTACAGTCAAACCTCTCTATAAAGGCTACTTAAGTGAGCAGATGAAACTGACCTTTATACACAAGTAGCCTTTATATAGATGTTCAGTTACTATAAAATGAATCCCATAGGAAACCAAAGAAGAGGTATATATACAGACAGGTTTGACCCTGTTTATATAAAGGAAATAACTGAACGAGATATCACCCCAAAATGGCACAAATAATAAAAAATAAATGTAATATAATATACGTGAAAAAACAATAAGATCCTCAGGTACACAACCATGGAATGAAGAATATGTGTAAAGGGAAGAATAATTTTGGTAAATACCGATTTCAATAAACAAAAACGGGCAGGTCACAAAAAAATCAAATCTATCTAAAAAGAGAAAAATAACAACTCATGTACGTTGCAATATACACTTATATACAAAACATCATTGTCTCAAAAATCATAACCATTTTTTTATTAAATATATTTCATTCGTAATGATATCGACAACTTTCCGGCAACTTTCGGATTTCATTCCCGATGATTGCCGGAAATCTTTCCCGACCCGTCATAACAACCGGTGTCATAATATGAAAAGTGATGTTGGTGCCCATAGTCAGTCCAGAATGTCCCATTGGTCATTGACTTAAGAATATATTCTTGATTACTATCACAGGCACTTTGCGCCGATCTACAACCCCATGGTCCGGTTTTCCATGGTTTCATGGGATTTGGATTTGTGCTAAGACCCTTTTAGAGTAAAGGTTAATCGTTGAAATTAATCCATAACTAACTTATAGGTATAGGCTGTCCTCATAATCCACAGCCATGAGCAAGAGGGAAATTATGTTCAGCGCACCACCGTGCTAGTCACAAAAGCTCTGCGATGCATCTGAACAAGCTCATCTTTGGTCTTGTTATAGTCCCACTCGAGTCTCTTGAACGATCAGACACATTAATGTAGCACCAATTTGACTTGGATTACCGTACCGAAAAAGAAATTCATTTCATTTTCTTCTTTGTCTAGTTCAAATTTCACCGTTTTTACACCACGGTACATGTCAGACTGCATCCTCGGCATCAGGAGAAAATCGCATTGTTAAATAATCCGCAACTGTCCGATTTCACCTGGCGCCGAGGACAGTCAGACGGCAATAGTTCGACACAATCTGACCACATTGTTATCGGATAGTCTACAGAATTACGTCGTACTTATCTTTAAATCACAATCCATGATCAAACAAAAATACGAACACGTTTGTTTAATTATTAGATCATTATGGGTATATAATATTATAGGTATGGAACTTATCTCATTTATGTACAAATAATCCAACCCCCATAAAGTACTTCACTAAACAAACACGTCCGGTCTCTCACCTGGCTATTGTTGTAGGGTTATTCGACATATGGCAGATCATTCTGAATAGGTCACGTATGTTTAAGTATTTCAAGTAGGTATACATATCTATATATAAATAACTTCAGGGATCCCGTCCTTCACAAAATACTTCACCAGCGACATGTTGGTAGAATCATGGATTTAGATGGTATAACCCACTTTGAAATGTCACAATATATAAAATGTAACATACTATTTTCGTATCGGGCTGCGGGCCAATTATTGTGTAAAATATAATACTTTGGTGTAATATTTCATTGTCACTGTAGCTAGCTGTAGACAGGTCACAGCTGAGCTCTATAATAGATAGCATGTTGGACGAGGGGTTCGGTGATATCGTGTAATTTCGAGAAAACGTCTTTTTACAACAGAATTGTTAATTTCGCTGTAGAATTTGAAGTTGCCCGAGTACCGTTTAAATCCGACACTGAAATGATACGTTATATACCAAACCACATAGACAAGTCACAATTGTATAGAATCCATGCATGCGATCCGACCCATTTTATACATATTCTTTTGTAAAGTGTCCTTCTGAAAAAAGGTCTATTAAAAGGTCTTGACATATATTCTAAACAGGTATACATGCCATGGTCTGTCGTATCAAAATTATATAACATACATACGGAATATGAGGCTGTAAATCTATGTAAACTCCCTGTTTATATAGTTATCGTCACAGATAATGGTGGTAATTCATTTTCCTACACGATGGGCTGGTATACAAACGTACAACAGCCATATCTATCGGGAAAAAACTGTGACCAGTGTGTGTGACTTTTGTCGTTAGCGGTCTGATGATGATATGGCATTAATATCACAGTGAATGCCATATTTTACACGTATAAACACCATGCCGCGAAAAATAATAGTCTGTGTTCAAGGGCGCAGTATAAACGGGACTTGGTTATCCGATTCAAAATCAAACTGATATTACACAGCATGCAATAGTGTGATGTTTAATTATAATAGTTCACAATTTTGGATTGCCCAAACCAAATCAACATCGCTTGCTTGCAGCACTAGTTTCAACCATTTATAGTAGGTATACATAATTTCCACATTCCTATCCTATGCATCAGCAAATTACTTTAATTCCGGGACATTAACTGAACAACCTTGTAAACATTTGTACATTCTGTTGCAGTATGTAATAACATTAAAACAATAGCTGAACCTTCAAACTTAACATGTATGCTTTTAAAGACCGCCTTCATTTTTTTAGTAGATCGTCAGAGTTGGTCCGACAGATTAACAGGGCTTGGCTCAGATATCTGTTTAACACGGGAATGGCTCTTTAGCAGGAGACAGTGTATTGATCTGTGTGATAGCGGGTTTCCGACAGATTTAAAGATAGTACGGTACGTAGAGTGTACGAAGAGTTTTAAATTTCGCACAGCACTATAGCCCACCCACACCTGGTGGTCTAGTCACCACCAGCAGGAATGAAAAATAACACGACCTACTTAAATGCACCTATATACCAAATAAACACTACCTGCATTTTATATACAAATACATACATACACAGGGAATGTCTCCCCAGCATTCAGGTAACTATTTTCATTTCACTGAAAACTCCAAACAATTGAACGATAAACTTGAGGAAAAGGAATAAAGATATGATCTTACTTTTTCAATATTAGACCGATCCTATCTTAGCGACATTTGATTATAAGAAGACTTTCAGAACCTGTACTCTATAGGTCTAGCATGCCATTTCCCCAACACAACATATAAAATACAAAACTGATATTTGTCGAGATATAAGCTGATTATATTAAATAATATATCAAGGATTTGTGTGAAACCACCGACACGCAACGTCTACAACACCGATTTAATCTCTCGGTTCTCTCGACATATAAAGCCAACTAATCTATTATCGAGCCCATAAATCTATCACAAAATCCTTAAACGCGACTTTTAACCACGACTCTCACGTTTACAGATTATACAAGTATTTTTCTTTTCCGACTTGATGCCGGATGTACAAATCACGTGATATAAAAATGTGTATCAAAATATACGTAACTATAAACTTTTGCATAATAATATGCTGAAAACACATTGTAGCACCACTCAAAACACTGCATTAAGTATGATCATATTCCAATAAAAACATGTTCCGTTGGGCACGTAATACTGCAAGTATCTTGGCTTAATTCACAATATATTCACATCATTCCCGCTACGAAAACGTAACATGTTGCTACCAAAAGCACTATCCTGCTATATCTGTAAATTACGTCACGGACAATGACGTGCGTTTCCATTTGACGCTTCTATCGCGTATCCACTTCTGGGAACTGCAACGACCGGAATGTTTCGCTTAAAAAAAGCATGCAGTTTATCCATCTATTAATTGTGAAGCGAGATTTTTGAATTTTGCAATGATTTCAACTAAAATAACGTCGTTTTCTCAAACATCGACGTTACTATTGTTCACTGAAGCGTAACTGAATTGCACATCTTTTGCGAAATAAGATTTTTTAAGCCCCAAATATGCCGACTTGATTGCATCACGTTTCATTATGGCAATACCCACGACAACACAGCCAATGATGGCAAGAAGAATGCCGACAACGATGACACCTGGGTTGGCCACCTGCGCAGACGCCATCGCAACGCACACCAAGTCACTGTTCGGAATATCCCACAAGTTTTTCCCAAGGTTCTGCCCATCGTGGCAAGTCATGTTTTGCTTGCCCCTGATATTAACATCAGTATTCCTGAGCCATTTGGTAAATTCCACCAAATGACAATCACAATCCCACTGATTCCCGCGAAAATCGACGGTAAATCTGTTATTGTTTTTGTAAAGTTGGTCGAACATACGAATCGAGTTCAATGACACTTTGATGAAGCTATTGTCTCTTAGATTGATAAGCTGCAGTTTCGTCAAGTTTCCGAAACAAGGATCGAACACCAATGTTCCCAAATTGTTAGAGTGCAAGTCTAAAATTCGAAGACTCTTTGTGACCTGACACAACGTTGATGTCGCGTCTGACGTAAATGTCCACAAATCGTTTTTCCCCAGGTAAATCTCCTCTAAGGCGGATAAATGTGAGTTATTAAAAACGGCAGAAAGGCGTCTCATATGACGTTTGCCAGAATAGTGGTCCTTCATTGAATCTGTCAACATAAGTGTCTTGAGATTTGGAATACCAGAGAAGATAGCGGTATGGTTCAAGTTACTTACGGTCCAGTTATTTTGAGACAGGTCCAAGTATTGTACATTTGGAACACAGTGGAACGCCTGGCCATGAATTTTTTGGATATTGTTGTGTCTTAGAACAATACTTTTTAACAAAGGGTGGCTTTTAGAGGAATCACCAGCACATTTTCCGAACGAATTTTTAAATAATTCTGTTATGTTGCCTCCGGACACCGTCAAGTGGGTCGTGGTATCCTGAATAAAGTCTGGCAATTCACTGAAAAAAGTCTGGTCGAGTCTTGTCGTCTCCAGTGGTGAACTACTGTGACAATGAATAGAGGTTTCGTTGCAATTACATTCTTCGAGTTCAGGACATGCTACCAAAATAGCCGATGCACGGTTGACAAAGCTGACCAGCAAAAGACACAAATGAAGGAGTATGGAATTCATCGTTACGGTCTGGTGGTTAGTCTATTGCTGAATGTCCAGCTACAAAAAATGCTGAAAGCTCACCTGTACATGTAACACCTGCGATTCATGAATGGGACATCCTTCACAAGTGAAATAAATAATTCCAAAACTTCTCTGAAACATTCACGTTATAAGACAATATTTCAAGTGTCGCTCGAATTTGTTGCAATTCTTTGTCTTCTTCTCCAACGTAAAATAATTCACACTGAGTCACCGCACGTCGCCCTAAGCCTCTGGAGTCAGAAACTTTAGAAACTTTGTCGAAGCGGTGCATGAGTAAAATAAATCCGAAAAAAAGGTCCGGGCCTGATAAATGTTATTTACGATATCGATGTCGTTGACGCATTCAGGCATGTGGTTTATTTGGGCAATATATTCACTGTGTTAAAAGGAGCATAATGTAAATATGTTGTAAATGGAATATTCCCATCACAGAAGACTAAAGGAAACCGCCTGCATGATTTTATACCACAGAGGCGTGACACAAATTCCTAACGCACACCCCATATCACAAGGACTTGACACGAATGCCAAACCCACGGTCGTTATATATTTGTATGTATTATCGTCACTATAATACATATACATGAACCATGGATTGGTAATTCGTGCAGAATCCACGTGTTTCGTGACAGTATAATAATAACAGATTTATTAACAGAGTTGACTGTTAGACTACTACAACTACGGGTATCGAACACAATTTCTTTACTCTTGGTTTTATTTTTTTTTATTTTTACAAAAAAAAAAAAAAAAACATTACACAAACAATCAAGCTTTCTACGAACATTATTACATGTAATATCACAACAAGTAACCAAATGCCGTTGACAACTTCAGAGGGAACACCAGGCGTGTGTTTTCTGATACGTTCTCGCGTAACACAAGTAATGAAAAGTTTTTTCACACAACGTGTCCATGTTGTTAAAGTGGCGCCGTAGTGAAAAAAATAGTGAAATGTTTTTTTTTCCAATGCGTGCACACAAAATAGAAAAAAAGGTAACTGGAACTATGAATGTCGTGCAATTTACTGCCTCTTAAAATAGTGCCCGCGGCAACTAACGACCTTTGTATAAATATTATTCAGTCATAGACCAGCATGTTCCGCTATTGATCTTTTTCAAGCGAGACGATAAATGTGTGCATGTGTATATCATCTAATGTACAATTATAGTAAAGCAAAAGTAAAAGGTCGGGTTTGACAGGTCAAATTTAGAGCCGAGTCACCAATTGAATATTAGACGGCATGAAATGATTTTCAGTTTATGGTCGATTCATTTAATCCACCGGTTTTTACAATCGATTTCAGGTAGTAAATTCAATATTGATTTAATAAACTCGTTTGTGTAGGTTTGTTTGTCGGAGTTATTGCCCCTAGAACAGCCAGGGTCTATTTGAGGGTGAGCTGGTAGCTACCTCGCTGAACTATATACGAGAGGCTCGTCACCTGTCCAAATCAGTTAATTAACGTGTTTTGTCCAAGGACGCAACACTGCCAACACGAACTGACCAATTTGTCAGCTTTCTGAGAAACACAAACCATCATTGGTAGGGAGTGTCGAACCACGCACCTCGGAGGCCAACGTTATAAGCGTCTTAGATATCGCGGCTCCTTTATTTTAAACTGACATTGCATTTCCCGAAACTTTCCGGACGGCGATTGCTAACCCGGATCGAAGGAAATATGTATTTTTATTATTCAATATGGCCGTAACGATCATTGCACGATCGCTCAATATCAAGATTATGCCTGATTTTGACATGACGGAATGTAAATCAATGTGTGTCTGACCACCTAACATCATTATGTCGATTAAATAAATGTTTGGTTTGGTAAAAATAACCTTAACTTTTGAATCGACAAAGAAGAAACATACAAGAAATTTCCTTTCCGGTCTGGTAATTCTTCAAAATGTTGACTTTCCAAAAAGCTAATGTCTTTTTCAGGCTATTGGAAAACAAATAATTGATTTAGAGAGACAATTAACTAACAAATATTACCATTTCTAATAAAAGATGACACAGTTCATGAAAAAAGACATGTGAACCAATGTGATTCAATCGTGGTCAGTACATTTCTTGAAAAAAACGTAAAAATATTTAGAAAATAAAACATTAAAATATATATACATATTTTTAAATCTAATCAAACACCTTTACCGTTATGACAAATACGCGATGTCAAAAGGTGGGTTTTTTTTTTACCAAGATGTAAGAAACTAGGTATCGGATTAAAATGAGAGCTGACGATTTCAGCTAGTTTATTATAACGCGTATTTACGTAATACGTAAACATGAATTGGTCGATATCTCCCAGAATTATCGACATTTATATGTCAATTTTTAAACGTGCTATGTAAATATATATGCTTTGATATCAAGTTTGAATCGACGCGTTATCAAGCAATCTGTTGTAAATTTTTACTCCCCTTCCCACCTCTGGAATATCAAATTACAGATCGATGTTGACAGCGTCAATTCAGCATTCCACAGCATCCATATGAGGTTAAAGATATCTTTCTTTACGTTGTAGATTAATTTCTAGTGCAGGATAGACATCTTCAAGACATACATTTCTGTTAAATTATTCCAGATATGCTACATTTCTTGATTTTCTCGATAACTATCTCATAGATTGTCTGTAAAACTGTTCACATTTTTCACTGATACTTCTTTGTACTATTTAGAAAAAAAACAAAAAGCTTTTGCACTGTCTGTGTAGAGTGGCAAGTGATGCCTATATATTTTCTCAACTCTTACGTTTTGGGTGCAGGAAATATGGGGACAGGCTACACTTCGGTACATGTATATTCCTATATAAATGTAATTCACATACATTTCATACCGAATACAAATGTCTACGTGTCGATAAAATTAAGCCTATCTCTTTTTACCATTAAAGTTACATAGTACACTACACAATCTCGTACTCGTAGTGACCGGACATTTTCAGACCGGAACTAAATACTGTGTCTATTAATTTACATTAACGCCGGTAGGAAGAAAATATTTCTCAAATATTATAATCAAACTACGTTAAACCTCATAACTGAACACGGATTAAACATCATAAGTAAGAAGTAAGGACGACCTTTAACTATAATGAAATTTAACAAAACATTTTCATTTTCTCAATAACATTTTAACCAATCATATTCGTCCTTTCACTTCACTTCACAACTAACTGAACAGCACAGCGATTCCCGCGTCACTTAATGAAGATAACAAGTTCAACGGTTAATATACCGTAATGTAGTTGGTTTAATATTTATCAGAATATAAGGAAATTCACAGACGAAAGGCTGTTAGTGAAAATTATATGGGTAGGTACTACGGCGTCTGCTTCGCAGTGTCAATCTCCTTACATGGAAAGCACAATCAGTCGTCCATATTGAATTTTCTTCCTCCCCACAGAAGATTTCCGCACCGACCAACAAGTTTACATTTCGACAAAATAGTGCTATCACTTCATTTTAAACAATTTAACCATCTTGTTACGTTCAATAAAACTTTGTTGTGGATGAGCATTGGTTTAAGCGAAAAGGCGATTTCAACTGGCTCTTTGTTGAGCGTCTGTCGCTTTTTAATGACGTAAAAATGATTGTCATACGGCCTTACTCAACGATAAACTAACGACATACACCTGATCTAACGCAAGATAATGAATCGACCAACTAACAGTCTCTTCTATCTTACGTATCACAATTATAGGTCTCCATGTACGGGTAACGTCATACCATATTTTCCAGTCGGAGGAATACGAGTAAGATTTTGTCCCTAAATATTGTATTATGAAAATTGTTTTCAAAATTCTTCTGTTGAAAACATACGCAAAGGAGCGTGCATAAAGTGTGTTCCATTCATATGTTAAAGTGTGTAAGTCCGAAGATAATACTATATCCAATTCATCCTTAGCAATAGGAATAAATTAATGACAAGTGACATCAGGGCTCATGTTAGTGGCTTCGGTATTAGCGACAGGATTTACCAGTCACAGTTGCAGGTTTATAGACCATATTCATGTTAAATAGACTGGACACAAAAAAGTTAAGTATTATAAATATGTGTCATTTTTTTCTGTCATTGAAAAAAATTGTGCTTGACACTCCTTGATCTTTGTTTTATCACCAATGTATGCAATATAACTTTTCGGGAACAATTTGCCTGTGCAACCTACAGTAAACGTGGGTAAGACCCTTTGTAACACAGGATTAAAATCAAACTGTCAGTTGTTGTTTTATTGAAAGTTGACCATGATTTTGTACTGACGGACGACAATGCTCTACCAAACTGAGCTGGACTTGAGAATGAGTACCTTATAGCAGAAACTATCAAGCATTTCCTGCCGTATGGACTGTTCTGGTTATTCATCGAACTCTAACCCAATTGACCATGTATGAAACATGTTACAGAAATGCATTATCAATCTTCCATGGCTTCCTGTCAACCTACAGGAGCTTGTTTATGCTCTTTGTCAAGAATGGCCCCATATTCCACAAATGACTATACAGCCCCCAATTCACAGCATGCCGGGCTGATGTTGTGCCATTATTAGGGCCAATGGAGGACACACTCACTATTGATAGTGTTGCTGAACCCAGTGAAGCATTTTGAATTTTCAGAGTCATTGGGACTTTATCTTTGTTTTAGAGGAATATGAACTCTGAATCATACATGATACACTTGAATGAAATTTATTTAATGTGGGTCAAAATTGTTTTCTTATTGTTTGGCTTTTCTTTTGTATCTCATATTCCAAAAGTTTTTGCCCTTTAATAAATGTATCTTTAAAAAGTAACCCCTAACTTTTTGTGCCCAGTGTAAGTAATAATAATCTTTGGACTCTATAAGGTTAATGTCTGGTTCCAACAATGGACATCAGGTAACTGTCATTTTATCAGGAAGCTTTGAACTGACCCAGTTTGGCTCATTGGTTTTTATCAAAGAAAGAGTCAACTTCAAGTGCCAGACAAATATGAGTACAAATTAAACTCTTCTTGATTACAAAGTTGTCTTTTATTATCCCTACTGTCTGATACATTATCAGGTCATGGAAAACCACAAATTTGCATGTAATAACTAAAATGGCCTATAATATATCATTTGGGATCTGGATTTGTCACTAAAATTAGCTGAAACTGTTTAAACAGTAATTGGATCATTATATTATTGAAAGTCGCATAAATTTATGTTAAATTATGTTTTACAAAAAGATGATTATTAGAAGCGCTGGGTACTCAGAAACTTGATGTAGCTTAATAACTGTACTATCTTAACATAGGCTATATAGGCTGGAAGTACTGCATCTGTTTTCATTACTTTCCCACTTGCAAATGTATTTTATATTTACAGTTGTATGATGTTTCATGACTAAATGGATGTGCCTTGGCCAAAAAAAATGAAAAAAATAAAATTTTGAAGTAATTTCGGCTAATTAATCCATACCCAGTTCGCATATAATTGCCCAGTTTGTGTATTATACATAAATGTGTAGTTTTTCCCAACCTTTATATCCTTATTATCCCCTTTTATACATATGATGGCAATGCAATATCGACTACAAAGAATTTGAATTATTTTTTTATCCATTTAAGAATCTTCCTTTCCTTTGTTTTTTTTACAGTTCAAAGCTTATAGTTGCTTTTGTTTCAGTTGATACAAAAAGTATTGCAAAAGAATAAATTTTTTTATTTTGTTTTTGAAGGGTTTGTAGTACAAGATGCCTGCCACAAGGAACCACTCACCGCAAGTCACTGGGAGGGTGACTCGAAATGCTTCTCCACGACAATCGGACCAAAGTCGTCCAGATTCTAGAACCAGGCAGGCTTCACCAAGAGGAACTGAGAAAAAAGAAACAAAGAATGTATCTCTACGAATTCAAGGGAAAGATAAAACCACAGAGATCCAGTCAAAATCATCAGTGAAGAAAAAAGACAAATCTGAACAAAATGGTAATGTCAAATTGACAAATGAAAAATCTGAGTTTAAATCAAATGATGCCAGTAAAATTCAGTCGAAAAGTGACAATAGGGCAAATACAAAAGTTCTGAAGAATGACTCGATTTCAAATACTGGCAGAACATCACGAAATCGTGGTTCACTAGAGGGTAATATAATGGTCAGACATGAGAGGGAAGAAAAAGAAGACCAGGCAACAGATGACAGAACTAAAAGGCGGTCAACAAGAAAGTCTGTAGAAGAACTTGAATTGCCGGTAGCAGCTGCAAACTCAAAAGTGATTGAACGTCCAGCAAGCAGACGGTCGATCAAAGAAGCAAAAGATGCAGATATCTTGAATCAAGTTTTGTCTGCAAAGGAAAAAGTAAACAGTGCAGCAAATAAGGAAGCTGTGTTAGAAAGACTGGACAAGGGATCGAAAGTAAGAGAAAGTGAGTTGGAAAACCAGCAGTGTGATGATGTGTCTAATCAGAGTACAAAAAGCAAGACAACAGCTAAGGTCAATAATACTCAACACAAAATAGCATCAGGGAAGAACAGGGTTCCTGAGGAACAGACGTCAGAAGCAATGGAAACTTCAACAAAATCAAAGATATCAGTATCAAATGAAAGTGACGAAGAAAATATTGGCAAGAGGAGAGGACAAAAGAGACCTAATGCTGATAACATTCCTGACAGAGAGGAAACAAAGAGAAAAAAGGTCAGTGAGGATAAAGATATAGATGGTGAAGGAAAGAAAGGGTCAGGGAAGACTACAGTTACACTGTCTGGTGATGATACATTTTCACCCAGGAGAAGTGGCAGAGGGTTGGTTCCCAACCGACGTTTTAAAGACATGGAGATGAACTTCAGTCCTGCAAGCAAACGGCGTCAAAGTGCTGGTAAGAACTTCTTTGTTGTGTGTGAACCAGTGCATTATATATATCATATAGAAAATTATTGTCGTGACTTTCATAATTTCTATTTATGATTTAACCAAGTAGCATTCTCATTATAGATTCCTTTTTTTGGAAATAAAACAATATGAAGAAGTTTATTGAGAACCAATGAATACTTATAAAGAAAATACCAACATGTCAACTTAATCTTAATCAAAATTCAATAAAACTAGGGCAAACTTTGAACAAAAGAAATATTTACATGTACAGAGACTCCTGAAAAAATTACGCAGAGAATAGGACTAAGTGTTCCAGAAGGATAAGCATCTTTTGCTCCATTGAAAACACCCTACACGTAAATCTACATATGAAATTTACACTGATCATTTCATATTGCTATTCACATGTCTCGTGCTGAGTAATTATGGTGATGTAAAAAAATGTTGTCTTTTCAGATGCAGATGCTGACAAATCAAAATCAAGATCATCAGCAAAGAAGAAAGCCAAGGACAAAGAGTAAGCTGAAATGTGATTAGTGCAATATATTTGTATTGTTTCTGACCTTTGCTGCTTTCAGTTCCTTCCATAAATCAAACATACTTCTAGTACTTTATCTAATAATATTCTGATTCAGTAGAATCTTGCTAAGCTGTTGTAGACAATACCTTTGTTTCAAAGATGATCCTAACATTCTTTGGTTTATTATCTAAAAAATGGAAACTTAGTATTGAACAGTGATCATTTAGCCTGGTAACTTTTTAACATTTTTGTGATGTTAGACTTATCAGTATTATATATATTATAAAACCATAAACGTTTGGGGGCACTAGCAGCCCTAAACATCAGCTGTGACTCAAAGTCAGGAGAATGGGCTTATATGAAAATGATATAGATTTTGTTAAGATTTCTATTGATAATTTATAGATAAAAAGATTTTGAAAGATGATTTTGAAAACAGTTTTTAATTGCTGTTTGTGTTAAAGATAAATATCTGAAATTATATTTGTACTATCCTGATGAATCTCATAGGTATGGATGGGCTTATTACCAGGCATGGACTTATTGCAAGGATAGATATAGAAATTTCATCAGAAAAAGCAAACAATTGAAGGACAGTTAAAAAGGTAGAGATTTTTATTTTTAAAATTTTGTAACATGTTACAACTGTAATGAATTATTATATGATATCTTTTCCCAGCATCAAACTTGCACCTGTAGTTTTATCAAAATCTGGAATGGACATTCACACTGACCAGTCGGAGAGGAAAGATGATCACATTAGGGCTGAAGTGGACAAGACTGACCACCAGGATGTGGTGATGGAGACGGTGGACACTAACTGGATTGAGGAAGAAGTTGTACCTGTTAACAGAGAAATTGTTATACGTATGTACATCTGTGAAATGTTTTTAAAGTTTGAATCTTTTGATTACTTCATATTGTTTAAAATACTAAATCTTTCTGAATGAAGAAAGTGTTTTAGTAATCTGTAGGAAGCGTTAAAAATCGAAAAATATAATATGTCATGTTTGATTTGAAACAAGTCTAGTAGCTCAATACATTAACTTTGAATAAAAGAAGCATTCAGAGGTAATTCTACAGAACAGCAATAAATACATATGGGCTTATTTCCAGGCATGAGTTTATTGCAAGAGAAAAATATGATGCATGCTTCCTTTATAGCTACCTAATTTGTAACATATTATGTTGTAGAGCCCATTGAGGAGGATACAAGGACTGTCACTGTGATAGTTGAACAAGACCCTACAGAGCATGCTCTCTCCAAGGAGCAAAACACTACCCTTGACAGATCAGAAGCATTTGTGAGTGAGGAAAATTTAGAAAACATTGCCCAGCAAACTATGACTCTGCTGATAAGAGAAAATGAGTTAGGCAGCTCTGGAGAAAATTTTATGGTAACCACTTTATCTGAAGACATGAATGAATCGCAGACTCCTTCCTCTGGTGAAACACATGGAGTACAAGTTGATTCAGGTATTGAGGAAATGGTCATAGAGGCTACAGTAGAAGAGACAAGTTTAGCTGCTGGTGTGGAGAAGGCTGCATTGGAGGCTACTGTGACGGAGACTACCATGGAGACTGGTGTGACAGACACTGCCATGGAGACTGGTGTGACGGACACTGCCATAGAAGATGGAGTTACAGGGACTACCATTGAGGCTACCGGGACAGAGGCTGCCATTGAGGCTAGTGTGATGGCGACTGCCATGGTGACTACAATGACAGAGACTGCCACTGAGATTTCTCAGGAGGCTACTGCAGACGTTACCACGGAAACTCCAAACAAGGAATTTGTAGCAACTGTTAGCAAAGAGACAGATGCTCATCTTGTAACTGGCAAAGAAGTACTGGTGCAAAGGAAAGAAAATGAGGATATGTCTATGACTAATAATGATAAAGCAACTGAAATAGAACAACCTGACCAAACTGTCAAGAACCTAGAAGGTTACAAACTGATACGATTGCAAGACATGGTTCAGGAATTGGGTACAAATGCTAAGGCATCTGAACTTTCAGCAACTGCTGTCACTAACTTAGATAAAGACGTTGATGAGGATATAATTCGGAAAATTTTATTATCCAATAAGACTTTCAAAGATACAGATGAAATAGAAATTCAATTCATTGGAGGTGATTCTCAGGAGGAAGTTAATGAGACAAACATATTGTCAGAGAAAATAATTTCAATGAGAAACTTAACCAAGAGTAGTAACGTATCAACAATTTCTACGCAGACACCAATTATTTCAAGTCGAGTTGCTAATCTTCCTGGAAAAGAGAAAAAAGCAGCGCAAGCATCGCCATCCAAAATCAAGACAATTCGGGTCAATATACAGCGCCCTGATGGGGTAGAGGAGACCAAAGAACTGGACACAGAGGAAGGAAAACCACAGGAGTTCGTGATTGTCCACCTCCCTGAAGGCACTAAGGTTACAAGGCCACAGGTCAAGGATGACAAGAATGAGGTAACTATCAATGTATCAAAGTCTGATTAGCTTAACATTGGTAATCTGTTATTTTTGTCTGGTTAGTTTAACATTGGAAATCTGTTATTTTTGTCTGGTTAGCTTAACATTGGTAATCTGTTATTTTTGTCAGGTTAGCTTAACATTGGTAATCTGGTATTTTTGTTTGGTTAGCTTAACATTGGTAATCTGTTATTTTTGTCTGGTTAGCTTAACATTGATAATCTGTTATTTTTGTCTGGTTAGCTTAACATTGGTAATCTGTTATTTTTGTCAGGTTAGCTTAACATTGGTAATCTGGTATTTTTGTCTGGTTAGCTTAACATTGGTAATCTGTTATTTTTGTCAGGTTAGCTTAACATACTGCCAACAGAAATTCGATTTAGGTTTCTTGTCTTCAAATGATTATTTCCAATCTCTATAAATTTGAAGTCAGTTTTGAATTTCTGAAAATAGACTTGACAAATTTTTAGTGTTACATGTTTTTAATAATCAGGCCTTGGGTTACCTTCAGTGTTTTCTTCCACATGTATTAGAAACAATATCAATGCTATGGAAATATAAAATGGTAAAACTGGTTTCATAGATGTTGTAGAAGAAGTAAATTTACATTTTACAAAATCTTACTGTTTTGTTCCTCAAAAAGTGGAATTGTGGAGAGCTATATGTTGAGAACTTGCATATATACATTAATTTTGATTTCAGATATAGCTGAAACTTTTAAAAATTTTGCATTTGTTTTATTCATGTTCATTTCACCCTCAGAGGATCGATAAAAGTATTATATAAATGAACAAATTTTCATTCCCATCTTAACTTTGCTCTTCCTGTTCATTAATGAAAAGGGCGAAATTCAAATGGAGGCAGAAATTTCCCATTAAACAGTGTTCTTATATCTATAACAAATATGTATGTAGATTTTACTTTGACTATAGAAGTGGATTTCTATTTTGACAAGGAGACTGTGCCTTTTGACCAAACAGACGATGGTACATTTATCTGTGGCATATGTGATTATACCACACCAAAGAAGGCTAACTGGTACAAACACAAGAAAAAACACATGGGTAAGCTTACAGTGTTTAAACATTGACTATCACAGCTACTTTATTGCACCAGAATCAGATTTCACAAGTCTATAACCTAGCATTAGTGCCATAGTTTCAAGTGTAAGCATTTCAAACCTCAGAAAGTCTTGATTCATTTTGTAGTGATTTATTCACAGAAGTTTGTACTGTAACTACAGACAGAAGTCTTATGCTGTAAAGGGTACTGATAACTCATTGTATATTGTAGCTCAAAAGCCTCACTCCTGTAATAAGTGTGGGTACCAAGCAGCTACCAGCAGTAACCTCAAGCGACATCTGGCCATACATGACGACATTCGTGATTTCCAGTGTGACTTCTGTTTCATGACGTTCAGACAGAAAATACATCTAGAGAGGCATGTCAAATACAGACATGAGGTTTGTTTATAATCATATTATATTGAAAGGAAGATTGGAATGATCTGATCCAAATATGATAGTATACGTGTTGACAAAATTAACTTCCTTTTATTAAACCCTTTATTTGTTGTTTAGGATATAAACTAATCACTTTGTGTTTTTGTTTATGTGTCTTTTCGCAGCAAAAAGATTTTGCATTGTGTCTTCTAAACGAGTACTTGATTATATCTTGGGGTCAAAGGTCAGGGGTCATAGATCCCATTTTAACTCTTGTAAAAAAATACATACTTTTATATAATATATATTTCCTAAATCCATGACTGAATTGTGTTGACACATGCACCATATTTTTATATCATCAAGTTCTACACCTTATTAAATTTCCATGGTGAAGATTATGATAAAATAGTCAAAGGTCACTCCTGACTGTGACCTGATAAAGTAGTCAAAGGTCACACTAGACTGTGACCTGGTAAAGTAGTCAAAGGTCACATCTGATAGTGACCTGGTACAGTAATCAAAGATCATACTTGAAGGTAACCTTGTAAAGTGGTCAAAGGTCACACTTAACAGTGACCTGGTTAAGGGTCAAAAGTCATACTTGGACAGTGACCTAGTTAGGTGGTCAAAGGTCACACTTGACTACTTTTGAAATAAAAAGTTGATGTTTAAGATATGTCATGAACTCTTACACTAGCAGATTTTGTTCCTTGTGATACCATGATATCACATAATCTGATTTTCATGGTCATCAGTATTCTTTTTTTAATCAGTCGAAGGAATATTACTGTTACTGGACAATCTCACCAACACCATGTCCTGAAGGGGTTAAGAGATATTTCCAGCTCAGTGTGTGTCTTCTAAACAGTCTTTCCAAAGTCATTGCCTTGTGTTTATATATTTTGATATTTGATTACTTCTTTATTTCACAGAGTTAATGAGAGAGAAAGGTTTTATGAATATCAATAATTTTTGTGAAATTAAAATCTTCTGAATTTATTCTTGAAGAAATTAAGAAACACAGAAACACACTGAGTGATACTTGAGTGTTAACTGATTTACGGAAGAGTGATATGAAAAATGTCCAGCTGTAGGGTACTTTTATTTGAAAATGGTTTTTATGTATTACTTTCATGTGTGTAATACTTCTGTTATAGGTAAAGAAAGTTAAGTGCCCCCTGTGTGACTATGTATGTGCCAATGAAAATCCTGATCTAAAGGTCCACATCAAGAGGAGGCATCTTCCACAGGATTCTCAGGAAGGCAGTGTCCGTGCCTTCTCTTGTGAGGAGTGTGGTGCAATGGCTGTCAACAGAAAGGATCTAAAACAGCACATGAAGTTTCACAGGAAGGGCCCAGAGCTGAAGCTGTACTGTGAACACTGTAGTTTTGTGACAGACTGTGAAAGTCGTTTGAGGCGACATATGTTTATACATACTAATGAAAAACCATTCCAATGTGGTTTGTGTGATTACCGAGGCACACAAAAAGAACATGTCCTTCGCCACATGAAGTCACAGCACCATATTGACATACAGAAGAAGGGTCGCAGCTCCGATGAGGCTTCGGTGGATGGTTCGACAGATTCCAGAGATCTTCTCCTTGACAAGAAACCATACAAGACAGACTACAGCAGCCAGGAAAAGATATTTGCATGTAACCATTGTACAATGAAATTTGCAAAACTTTTAAATCTGTATAAGCATTTACATGCACAGCACAAGGCGATACTGCCTGAACAGGGAGAAGATGAATATTTGTGTGTAGTATGTGACTACAGAACAGGAAGTAAAAAGAACTTGTTAGTCCACATGCGCAAACACAATGTGCAGGATCAAACTCCACCGTCACATGTTTACTCCTGTGTATTGTGCAGGTATATGAATCCAAAGCGCAGAAATCTTTTCCAACACATGAAAAAGAAACATAATATAGAGATTGTAATGAGAGATGATGGTTCGACAAGTTGTTTCCTCACTGACAGCAATTCCACTGTTTCGGGTAAAGATGATAGTGTCCAAAACATTCTGACTGTTGGCGATATTGTCACCACCACAACTGACGACTCACAGTTACAGATTGTGATGGATGCGTGTGAAAAGAGTGCTGTTCAGGTGCAAAATGTGATAAATATAGAGGATATAGCAAATTGTGTGTCCAACCCCCAATCTAACGGGAACAATATAATCATCTTAGAACAGGGTCAATCTAATACATTCGTACAACATGAAGCTGCTGAGGCCATTGAAGGACTCCAAGCTCTTGCAGAACAACCCGGCATCATGGAAAGCCAGGAAGTCATTGCAGACCCTGACTCTCAGGCATTAAATGTGGAAGAGGTGCAGACCTCTAAAGGTCTCGGTGAAAACATCATGGAAACAGAAATTGTTACCATGGAAACAGAAATATTAAAGTCATTTCAGCAAGAAAATGTTCCAGAAACGAAAAAAGAAAAAGAATCAGACATACAGTTATCAGAGGATCAGCTTATGAACTTGTCCTCTGGTGATTATGTTGAGATTAATGGGGAGATGTATAAGGTTGAAATATCAGCGGAGGAGGCAAATAATGGAGAGTTAGATAATAGGGTAACAGAAGGGGAGGAATTCACCCCAACTCTTGTTGAGGAATCACAAGAGCAGCACGTGGCAGTGTCAGACGAAAATGCATTCCAGGAGTTTGTTCAGCTGATGACAGAGTGTACAGATGACAGCCATACCACCTCCATAGCCAGTCATACTACAGGTACTAGTGAAGCATTGACAGATAGTCAGACAGAGAGCACAGCTTTACAGAGTGTTTCATCCGATTCCAATGCTAACAGCTCAGAGCAGGACAGTTTAACAGTTCTGGCTGAAATAACCAACGCAGCTTCAGAGGTTGAAACCGAGTTTATTACAATACAAGGCAGTGCTGTAATGGACCACACTGAGCCCTCTAATGTGATGACAGTGGTCAACAGCACTAGTGTGGATGAAGGGTCAGCAAGTGTAACAGAGAATCAATGAACTGGTGATGACATTGTTTAAATAGATTGAACAGTGGAACTCAAATGGAATACCAGTAAATTTATGTATCATTTAAAAAGCAAAAACTATTTGTAGAATAAATGATTTCATGAATTGGTTAAATAATTTTTTGTTCAAAATTGTCCTTTTATTGGATGTAAATAATGGGTGGCATGTTTTTTCCTGTTGATTACATAGTGCAGATGCAGGTTTTTAAATTTTTTTTTTCACTGAGTTTGGATGGAAATTTTGAAAGAAAATTGATGAATTGGGAAGGAATTTTCTTTAGTAAATTGGAAATTTTGGGAATTTGGCTTCATGAAAAGATTTTATTTGGGAATGGGACCCATTATTGGCCCCCAAAACCCTTGAAAAAAGCTTTGGGTGAAATTTCTTTGAAAATAATATATTTATCCGGCAATAAATCCATATCTACAAATAAGACCACCCATATTTTTTAGTGTTTGACAGGATTGATATAAATATTATTTCATGAAGCTCATTCCCTAAGTTATATATTCATACCCTAAGGTTACTGCACTGTAAAAGGGGTGTATGATATTGTATATTTATAGATATAACCGTCATTTGAAATGTTTATTCCGCCATTCAGGTTTGTGCAGTTTTGGATTTCAGGAAGTTTCATGGCAGCACCTATGCAGAAGAACGTTGAAAAAAAAAAAAAGAAAAAAAATATACATATATATATATATTTTAAATACTGATAGCTGTTTACCGTAGATATATGAAAGACAATTCCTAATGTTAGAACTAATTTTGAATTGAAGTAAAGGCGCATGTGTTGACATTATAAATGGCAATTAAATGGCCTGATGTTTTCTAGTCACAGGACATATTCTGTACAGTGAAATAATTGATCAGGATACCTGTTCTTTAAAAAAGATATTATATATACAGATATCAGACGATTCTTTCTTTCTGCCCTCAGGATGCTAACCGTTCAATTTAATTGCAATTTGTGTTTTCAATTTGAAAGTGAATTTCGGGTGTAATTTACATTATCAGTGTTAACATGAAAAGAAATCAAAATTGATAATGTTTATGTAATTAAAAGTTTTAAAACACATTTGTGAATGATTATGATTATTTCATGTTAAAGCAGGAATGTGATGAAGGATTTTAAAAAATCACCAAAAATGTTAGGAAATGTATCTGTCGTCATTGAGAACACGTAACTGCAACATCTGTTTCAACACATCCTCACTTCTTTCATTTTCAAACCGTTTCAAGATTTAACCAGAGTTATTTTTTTGTTTTCAGTTTGATTGATATGTTCCACATTTCTTGTTTTTAATGATACCAAACACCTAGAGCTACTCTTGATTTAAAACATGGTAAATTGGGGTCACTTGTAACCAACACTGCAAGAGGTCACAGACTTTACAGGTTTTCTTTTTTTTTCTTTGAATAGGTAAAAAAAAATATTTTGTATAAGAAATCAAGCTGGCCACACATCTTCTCTCATCTATTAATATTTTCTCTGGAGAAGATCCAGATCTGGCAGATGCAGAATGATTTTATGTTTCTGTGAAATCATTAATTTTTGTGAGGTTATTATTTTCATTCATTTGTCGGTACTCTTTAATCAACAAATTCGTAATGTCCAAAGAACTGTTGAAATTAATATAAGCAGATTTACTGTGCTATATTTAACCATGAAATCAAGTGTCTTCAGAATATTGATTTTTTTGTAAAAGAATGAAGATAGAGACCCACAGAAATATCTGAGATTACTAAAGGTTATTTTGGGGATTTGAAGAATGGAATATGCTCTTTATAATCTCTCTTTCATTGTGTATCATTACACTGCTCAAGTTTGTTCTTAATATATTACATTAAGAAATAACATCTGGAATTACAGAAAATCACTTCACGAGATTTTGTCTTTTGATTCATTGACTTCATAAATATTGTTAGTTTGTCAACTTTGTCTGCATTTAAAGAGAAATTAAGTTCAATATAAAGAGTGTGTAATGCTATCATGACTTATATCTAACCTAGTCCTGCTATGAGATTTATTTTTTTTGTATGTTCTTCTTTCAAGTGTTTTCCTAAGGAATTTGCGTGTTTTTTTAAAAAAATGAAACCGTTATTTATACATTAACTCATTGTTGAAAGTCAATAAAATTTAAATGAACTATGGTTGTTTTTTTTTTTTTATAACTTATATGAACATACCTCATATGAGTTCATGTTTCAGAGGTCAAGGGTCAAGGGTAGTATTACTCTTTATACAAATCATCAATTCATTCGGTGAAATTTTCCTGATAACTTCATTTCATGGGAGAGTTTTGATCAAACTTTATTTTAAGAATACTTTGTCGATGTTCCATTTCTAGGTCAAGGTCAAAGTCACCATTATACCATTTGTAGAGATTAGTCAGCCAGTTATACTCGTGGCATATAATGCCTTACAAATATTTTCTAATTTGAGATATTGATGGTTTGTATTGTAAGGTCAAAGGAGAAATTTTGTAAGAAGTTAAGAAGGAATTTGACCTCTTTGGATTCAATGTGTAACTCACAAATTTTTTGAGATTTGCATGTGATTAAATTTTATGAAGATGGTACATGATAACAAAGGACCAGGGATTACTTTAGATGTCTGTCAATCAACATGCCAGAGCTTCACATATGGACATGTGATCATATAATAGATACTTGGAATTGAAAAATGCATTGTATAATCTATAGTATTTGATCTTCATTACAAACAATAATAATCTATTCATCTACATTACACTCAGAATTAAACTGGATATGTTTGAAAGATGTTGATGCACCAAGAGAAAGCCTCACATCAAGGCTATAAGCAAATATGTGGGCTGACATTCAAGTGAAAGACATTTTTGCAGTATATCAATGTGGGTCAACACTCCAGAGGTTGTCAAGTAATTCAGACAAACTGAAAGTTCAACAACTTTAGCAAATATTGACCGACTTTGTCAGTCCCATGTCGTCTTGCATAGCTATAGACTTGAGCCATTATTGAACTGATCTGAAATATCATTGATGTAAAACAGTCTATCACATTTTGACCTGATGGTAATGTTACTTGATTGAAACTAAAAAATGACCTATTTCAAAATTTTTGCAAATCTCTTAGCTCTTGCAAATGTTGGCTTAAATCTGACAAAAATAATTTGGCAGAAATGTATCTATATTAAGCCCACCATCATCATTAATCAAAACACCCTTCGTCAGTCTGGCTATAAACAATTCTTTTATCGCTATTTCTGGAGAAGCACAAGATAAATCGCTCTCATATTTTCCAAAAAATTTCCATCCAATTACTGTCAGTGATATTTTAAGAACATAATTTCCATATACAGATTTATGTCCTTAAAACAAATACATAACCAGAAAAAACAACCCTCTTTAACCAAGGAAAAACACTTCATAACATGTATACAATTCTGAAGAACTCTCTATCTAACAGGTAAAAATCAACCATTTCTATACATTTCTTTTTGTCCAATGGTAAATGTTTATCAATATTTTTTAACATTTTGTCAAATTGTCCACATTTACCAATATTTAACACCTTGTTGTCAAACAGTCAACATTTATCAATATTTTGTAACCTTCATCAAATTGTCAACATTTACCAATAATTAATACCTTTTTGTCAAAAGGTCAACATTCATCAATATTTTATAACATTTTTTCCAAAGGTCAACATCTACACATATTTTCTATTTATCAATTATAAACCCTAAAATTGGCCTTGAACACCTACCTGGTATCCATTCTGTTTGACGAGCCAAAATTTTGAAAGTTTTTAGCACTTGTTCAAAATGCTAATGGTAAACAAAATTCATTACAACATATGTTGAATGTCTGTCGCTATCACTGTATCTTTATATGACTTTGTAGGTGACATTTGATAGACCAAACCTCTTACCACAGACACCCCATATATATAACTTTTCTTTTCTGTATGTTTTATGTAATGAAATATGGGCATAATTTCTGACTTTGACTTTTGGTCTCGTGGTATTGTATCCAGCTCAACTTTTCTCCAAATGTCGATCAGGATCTACCATGAACACAATTCTGACAAAGCATTTTTCCATTTCAACTTGTGGCTTGAACTTTTGGTCACATGACATCTTACTCGACTCAGATAAACTTTTCTTCAAAATGTTAAAAGTTTCAAGAAGTTGAGGAAACAAAATTTGATCTCTGGCCTAAAACCCTGACCTTATTAGTTTGTCATAGGACCATTCACATGAGGATTAACTCACTTCTTTTCTGATTCAAACTGATTTTCTCTCAGGAATATGCATGTGAAACATAATATCAAAAGACTTCTAAAACATATTACATGCACTAATGAATTTTCAAATTTCCAGATAATATAGCAGTGGTATTATTGTGTTAAAAACAAATTCATTTGGAGACTTCATGACTATATTTTAACTATCATCATGACAAATAAAAACACTTCAACAATTAGCCCTTGTTGTTTATTGACAATCCACATTTCAATTAAAATATGTTTCATAATTGATAATAATCACATTGGTGAATCACAGTTACGGTTTTCTGCATACAACACTGCACATACATTTAAATGTGCTTCATTTCACGACATGATGGCACATACACTGGGCAACAATGATCAAAACACAAACATGGGACTTTAGAAAACAATATTTGAACAATAGAACCTCTTAAATCTGGAGTCAGATACTCTACAAAATTTTCAGACTCATTTTGAAACATTCTGTATAACTTACAGTGCTCTTTATTATTTTTGTGAGAGGATTGTTCGATACAAGATAGAAGACAGACAAAAAATATACATGTACACCTCTCTCTTTCTCTCTTCTTCCCTCAATCCCCTCCAATGCAAATCTGAAATACATTCTCGTTTTTAATTGCATCTAAATATGAAATGTAAAAGTAATTGTTTGAACAAATTGCCCCATAGAAAGAAGAATGTCACATCACTATGATATAGCTTACAAAGTTTAAAAGTGATTCATCAACTGGATCTTTATTTGTTGGTTTGGGTTTTTTTTTGAAAAATTGGATCTTTTTCCTTCATTTCTCTTCCTTCCTCTATTTTTGCCCTTAATTATATGAAATTTAAAATTTTAAGAATGGTGAAAGTAATATTTAATTACCAAATCCAAAATGATTCCCTCTCTGCCATTTTGTTTTTCTGATCAGTTCCACAATTAAAACGGCACCACTAGGAAAAGTGCGGAACCTACACATGAAATTTGAAAAAGATCTATCAATGGACAAAGATGCAGGATGATTTGAATAGCCAACAATTTCATAATGGTGGGCTGAAAACTGAGGAAAGATATCTATGACTATAATTAAAATACTGAAACTAAACAAATGAGTAATTCTTGGAAAAGTTGTCAATCTAAAATGTCTAAGGAAAATACAGCTAGATGTGATGATGGCACAAAAATTAAAAAAGAAAAATGAGATTTCTAGACAAAACATAAATGCTGTAAAAATACTTTTTAAATTTTTCAATTAAGAAGGCTGTTCAGAAACACACAACACGAGATCACAAAGCCTATTAAGTATAAAAGGAATTGGTTGAAATATAGGAAAGAAGATCTCCAGAAAGGGCAATTACTCCTCAAAAACTCAAAATGTCTTACAGGAAAACAAATGTCATGGTTTTAACGCCCACCGAGGTTAAAAGAGATCCCTTGTAATCTAAGAGATAATCTACAGAAATAGAAGTTTATGGTAGATAGGAAAAGGAAGATGGACAACACCATAGCATATTACCTCCCTCCAAACTTTATGACATATTTCTGACAAAAAACGACCTCCATGTACAAATCTGTATTTTCCATTAAAGGATAAGAGTCATTTTTCACTTTTCCATACCCAGTAGCTAAAACTGCACAGTCAAATTATTATAATCATTATCTAAAATATCATTGGTGGGTATTATTTGTGACGATGTTTTTTTTTTCTCTAATTTATAACAAATAAGAAAAAAAATCTTGGGTTTAAACTATCCTTTTAACAGTCACATGAAAAAAATTAACATCTCTATATACTTGACAAAATGCAGCAAAATGAACACAATATCTGAGCAAGTTTCTTCCTTATGAAAATGTGAAGTTTGAACAAATACAAGAAAACACTTCTAGTAAAAAAAATGATAAAATAAGGAGAGAGAAAAAATCTGTCTGAAACAAAACAATAAAGTGTCAAGTATTGCAAGGTGGAAAGACTTGCTAGCTGGACTAGTGATTTTCATGACAATATTTCATTATTTATAAATGAATACATAAACACACTATACAATAAAAATTACAGAAATTGATTCATTCTAGCACAAAATTTTTAAAAATCACAGCGACATGCACTCCACCACACACACACCCACACTCTACCACCACACACACACCCACACTATACCACCACACAAACCCTCATAGAGCACTGGAAGAAACCTTACAGTTCATTAGAATTTCTTATTATGTATTATCACATTTGTTATTTCACAAATTACAAGATACCATGGTAACAGGTTTGGAAATTTTAGTAACAGTAGACTAGATGGTCTGACATTTCTCATCACAATAGCCACACCAGGGAATGTACATATTTTGTAAAACACAAGTTAGACAAAAGCACATTTTTTCTTGTGGTTAGGAATGAAACAATTAATTTCTAACCTATTTTTCAGTCAGTTATTTATAAAGCATCATACAGATATTTTGACAGCAATAATAGGTATGGTATTTAAATGTAACTTATAAGAGTCTTTTGTACAGATACTTCAATTTGAAATTTTTAAGAAATGACATTCATTTTCACGAACATGCTAAATCTTATATTTTTCTTTCGAGGATGATTTTAAAACAGCCTTTAAAAAATCTTTACCCGTAGGGCTGTCCTACATAAGAACTTTAAACATTAAATAAATGTAAACACAAATTTGGTTAATATTTTTGGGCTTTTTTCATTGTGTATTTGTAATCCAAGATTTTGATTTCAGATTAAGTATAAATATATATCTCCAGTGCCAATCATGTTTGAAATTTGGTAAAATATTTATTTGAAAAAGAAAAATATATACAAGGACTGAATGTTGGAAAATAATTGTTGACATCTAGCAGACATTTGATGACACAAACTTTGTGGTTATGACAACAGTGACAACAATAATTATTGATAATGACAAGCAAAGAATGCTTTACCCATAGTGAACTGAACTTGGATTTGCTTGATTTCCTGTACATAACACACTGTATAACAGGTTTAATGTGCATCTTATTTTTGCTATATTCATGACATATGATGAACAAAAGAGTTGAATCCTAAATATACGTTCATCAGATTTCAGACCTTTTATACATTGTACTTGTACATCTCACAGCTTTATACAAGTAGCACCAAAGACCATTAGACGTATTTAAAACCAACTGAATGTGAAAACTGACATTCAGTATCATAATATTAGAGCTACACATAATTAATATACTTAATGATAGAGGATTGCAAATAATTGGTTTGCAAAATTACGTCATCCGATTATTAAACAAAATTTTGTTACCCAACCTGGTATTTAGGTAAATCTTGTTATTAAGGTATTGCGAAAATAACCTGTTACATATATGATTTTTTTTCTAATATACAGGATGTATTGGATACTTCTCATAATTACATACTGCTTAAAATGTTCATATATTATTTACATCATAATTACTTGATAAGACACCATTAAGAAAAAGTTGACAATACAGTTAAAATAATGATTGTTAGGTCAATAAACAACACAATACCTAGAGAGAATGAGATACCTTCTTAAATAAAAATGAAATTTACAATGAAATAATGATCACTAGTTTGTGAATTCTAAAACGGATAAAAATGGGAAGCATGTAAAGAAGCAGTAGTACTAATACTTCAGGAACACATTAGAAAATTGATTGTTAATTGGCAAAGTCATATAATTAAAACATAATAAAACAATTTAATTGGAGATACTAAGAAACACAAGGCTCATATGGTGTCAAGCAGAAAGCAGAACATAGAGAGGTTAAAATACACAAAAGCTGCCAAAAGAAAAGTCTATATATTCATGTACGCTGGTTATACATGTATTTATATAATTGTGTTACATCAATGGGGTGTTAGGAGACATTTCAACAGAAAAAAATCACAGAAAATTGTTTCAATACATTTGTTATGACAGAATCAAACAGCTATGTGACCAAGACATGCAAGAGAAGAAAGAATAATACATTTTATTGTGTAAAATTTTAACAAAAAGCAGGTCACAACCAGAAATTTTAAGAAAAAACTTATTCCAACAGCCCAGATTTGAAAAGTGAGACTAAGGTTATTTCATTTACTGTTGTTGAGTAATAGTATGTTCTTTGATTGATCTGACATTGTTTGATCCCTACAAACAATCTATGAAAATCCTCTTAGAATCGGGTAAATGGTTTTCAGCACAATTCAGCTCTTGACAGTAGTATTATATAATCATACACATGTATATATATATTGAATGCAAATATGTGTAGGAGATTTGCCAACCTCTCCCCACCCCCTAAAAAAAAAAAAAAAAACCTCAAAAATTTGCTGACGTGACAGGAGTTGTCCACAACTAGATTGGTATGATTGTACAAAGAAAGCAGAATCAACTTTCAGCTTAGTTTTCTTTATGATACAAAAGACAACAGGAGGCACTATAACCAGAGGTAATGGATGAAGGGACAGGGCATGTGAAAAATATAATGGATGACAGGACAGATTTTGTGAATATTTAACAGATGACGGGACAGAGTATGTGAAAAAATAATGGATGACAGGACAGATTTTGTGAATATTTAACAGATGACAGGACAGATTTTGTGAATATGTAACAGATGACAGGACAGATTTTGTGAATATGTAACAGATGACAGAGCACCTTATGAAACAGCAAAGGAATGTGATTATATACACTTGTGATCTCACACAGATATACTTACTCCACGATATCATGCACCAATAGTTGCACTTCTGACAGCACAGTAAATTACAGTCAGTGTCATCCATATGTCAAAAGACTGTCACTTGTATGCAATGTATACCCTGTATATTTAGCCCACACACGCAAATCATACAAAAATAACATATAATAACATAAGTATTCAGAAATTCAGAAAACATTCAAATATTTGACCTGTTTAAAATTCTACGAAAGTCAGAAATTGGAAGCTGCAGGATTCATTGGCCAGTGACAATCACATTCACCTACTGTTGCCCAAAAAATTATCAAAATTTGTTCTGACACAAAATGTGAAAAATTTCATTAATTTGTTCATTTCTTCACAAACAAAGTGCATCTGAAAAAGCTTGGCACACTGAAAATAGAACAAGAAAAATTGATCATGAAACTGTACAAATCACCCTTAATGTTCATAAATTGTAACACAGACAGTTTTTGGTCCGGGCTATCTACCATCAGTCGCACAGACTTGTTAAGTCTGTCACTTGACTTTGATCACACAGTCGTCCATCTCATTTCATGTATAAAATGTCATGAAAATATCACATTTGGCACGTATCACATTAAATGCATCTTATACATTTAAATATCTTCCTCTCAGCAATGTCACTATAATCTATTATGCTAAATTCATGTCTCCTCTTATACATCAAATGGAATTTTTTCGATAATGACAAATATCAATTTCAAAAATATCTAAGCCTTTGTTCAGAAAATTTTTCTCCATAAGATTCTCCTTTAGTCTGATTTCAGTGGAATAAAGAGCATTTATTAATACAATTTTAATCTGATGATTTCTAGGTCAAAATTTCACTACTGGTAGCTTTTCCTCCTCCAATTTTCTTGCACTTATATCACATCAATGTTGACTGTTAATGGTTCTGATATTTGGATCCCATAATCAATGGCTTCTTTATCATATCCACAGCTGAAGTTTATCAACTGGTTATTCATCTTCCTCGCCTCTATCCCCCTCAGATAATGTGTGTCGCTGCTCATCAAATAGGTTTCTGGCATAATTAATTTGTTGAGATACCTGTAAAAAAATTGTTGAATAAATACATCTTAAGTATGTTTACTTAAGTAGTAACATTTTTTATTTTTGTTTTCTTATTTTTATCAATCTTACAGCTTTTACAGCAAAACGGAGCAGGTAGAATAGAGAAAGCAATCTATTGTCCCCAAAACCTGGAGATTTCAGTGCCTGACACTCAGCTTCCCAATATATTCTATGATTTAAAATGAGTTATTTTTATGGGTAAAATTTGACTTTTTTTAAAATAAAAAGCTTGAAGCAAGGAGGATGCATTTTTCACAGAAGTTTTAACATGAAGTTTTGTTTCCTTATTAATTTTATTTTCATTGTATCTCATTTTTTTCACTGCTTTGCCTGATCATATTTGAATGCCTCTAAAAGAACAACCAGTTCAAAATGTCTTTGTTACAGAGACTTTTGGTGAAGAAAATGCCATAAATCTGTATATAATGGGACTAGAGATCTAAACTAAATATGTAGCATTGTCTCTTCTTTTTTTTACTCAGATTATTGATTTAAGTTTGCCTAGAGTTACTTGCCCTTTGAGCCATGTGCCTTTTATCACACCGGATCTGGGGTCGTTTTTGTGCCACCCCAGATGACCTCTCGCCACCATCATCACCCTGCTTGAAAAGCTCAATGTAAAATCTGTCGTCTGTAAAAGATTGATATCCACTGTCAGGATCAGTACACTTAAGGAGGTCAGCTTTATAACAAGACAAACTTTAAAACTAAGTTTAATATAGAAGATTTTTTCTCTCAAATAAAATTCATTTGCATTTCATTTAAAATTTATCTTAATATTAACAATTTAATAGCTAAACTGATGATGTAACCTCTATAGTTGATTATTTTTGATGTTGAAACCAAATGTTTCACTTATGATAATATATACTTAAGCACTCCTGAAGGAAATTTTCCAAACCGTTTTAATTCTGATCAACATATTTCTGCTAAACTGTTTGTTTCAATCATTTCAAAAATTCTAAATACATGAAATCTTTCGTAGTTTCATATTTTTTGAGTCACACATAAATTTAGAAGAAAATTGAACTTACTGTTCTCTGTGACTTTACATTCAACAATTTCTCGATGTGAGACTTGTAGCATGATGTTGTCAGGGTGTAGACGTCCTTTCCTCAGAAAGTACACGTGCTTACTTGTGATAAGGGCCTTCAGGCCCTCCTCCTTCCCAGATCGCACTTTCTCTAAGGCAATGAAACTAAGACAGAAGGAAGATTTAAAATGCACTGACATTTCAAATGTAGGACATAGATTATTTGTATTATAGCATTAAGTTACACTCACCAATTTATTTTCATGTATGACTTGTTTTCATGAATTTCGTAATTGAATCAAACATGGTAACACTGATTGCAGTGAATGAGAAAGGGAGAAGAAGCAATGGTTATGTTTTCTTTAGCATATAATTTCATTGAAGTTAATCATTGTGAACATGTAATGTGCAAAGAGTTACAAGTCGCCAAAGATATTTGGTTTATAGTATTACCAGCATATAACATAACACTGGAAAATAATGACAAAACATGCATATGATTCATATTTTCATTAATTGAAATGCAGATTAATAAAGTACTGTATATCCCCTTTCATTTTTATGGTGAAATAATTGTTCATAAGATCTTTTTACACCTCATAACACCTTAACTTACAATTCGTCCTGATTGTTTTTGTTGAACTTGTACATGAGTTCCTGTGACCTTGCCTGAAGATCAGAGAAAGATGGCAGTAGGCCACCAGGACCATGGCAACAACGTGGCCATCGGACACGATCAGGACACTTGTGGGAACTACTGCTACTTGTGTCCTTCACAGCATTGGCTGCTCCTGAGGCTAGATCAAGGACGCCTGCAACTGGCTTGGTTACAGTTCCAATCATACCTTTGCCAAATCCTGTGAATAGGCCCTGTAAATACATCAGGTGAGAAATCCTTAGACTATTTCTATTTAAACAAAACAGGAGAGAAATTTTGATGTGACGATGTGAAGTATACAGTTCTATATACCTGTATCTGAATATATGGAAACAATTTCGCACCAGTTCAGATGTAAAAAATGAAACAGAACAGACAGCAAATGAATATTCTCATCTTGTGTCCAATCAAAATTTTCACTTTTCAAAAACAGGAGTACACAGGGGGTTTTCATGAGGATTAAGATTATCTGGAAAAATACTGACATGGCTAGAGAGGTGACCCATATTATTGCTCAGTGGATTAAGGAATACAAAAATTAACCATTGCAGTGAATGGCAAGCAAGTTCTCCAATCTGTGACGAAGAGATAACAAGACAAAACTATTACCAGGGCCATACCTGTGTGTTAGCCTACAACCGGCATTGTCACTCTCAGATTACACATAATACATATTTCTGTTGCATTCCGTCAGTGATAGAAACATGCTTATTTTAGCATGTACATTGATGTAAGCTAAATAATGTGTTTTAGTTATGAACCAGTATCAAAACAACTAATTTTTTGTAGTGTTTGAAATAATGATTTTTTGAAAAAAAAGAAAAAAAAAAAACTGCCTTAGTGTCAGTAGCAATTTGGAATTACTTTTCCATCTAAAGCAATTTTTTGTGCATAACACTTGGCACCAAAAATCAATGTAAGGTAAGCACAGTTTAAACACAAAATAGTTCAGTTTGGATAGCACAATATTCAATCAATGTCGGAGGAATAATAGAAAACTGATACTTTGCTTCGAACAGAAAGACAAATGCTCACTAAATTTTTCTTTTATTATGCTCAACAAATTACAGTACATCTTCAAGACAATGGTCTTGATCATGCATTCTCTACACATCAGGCCACAGAATTACTCAACACTTTATCATCCCATGAGATATCAAAATGATAAAATTTGGCAATAATTATAAAATATGACTCAGATAAAGTAATATGGATGGATCAAATGTAAATATATAGTCCACACCATTAGCACCAGTGAACTATAATAAAAAACATTGGTGGTCCGAACACATCGTGGTAACACACTCGTTTTCACCTAGGCATTCGAGGTTTGATTCCCAGAAGGAATGTGAAAAGGTATGGGGCCATCTGCCAGACCATGTGAGTTTTCCTTGGGTACTCTGGTTCATGCACTTCCATCAAGGTCAACAAGAGTGATTAATAGCTTGTTTTGCAATTGCTGTAAAACTAATGATTTAAAATCTTATATTTATATTTGAAAGAAACATCAAATTCTTTGCTATACTCACTTCGACTCCCTCTTCTCTCACACCTTCGTAGGTTTGAGTGACAATACTGGTTAGTCCTCCATACAGCCCGTACCCAAAGCCTTTGATACCAGCCACAAGATGGCTGCCTCCGCCTCCGCTGTGAGTACGGATCTGGTCACGTGTATCGTTGTGCTTGGTGTCCATGTTGAGTGTCCCAACACCATCAGACAGGGATGTCACAAACTGAATTACAACCATCAAAATGTTTTCAAAATTTTAAAAACACAATAAACCAAAAACGATTTATCTCCAAAAATAAAAAGGAGCATCAGTAAAGCAGAAACAAACCAAAATAGGATATTTAATGCATTAGCAATACAATAACTGATTGAATTAAGATTTCTCACGTTACTTAAATTTCTTACATAACATCTCAGGTGATTACAGTTACTCTATCAAACCTTTCCCTAAACCAATTTGTTTAATGGTTTGAAAAGGTGAACCAGGATTGTTTGTTTACAAAATACAGATGGAGCTTACTTTGCTTTATGACAAGCTTTGAATAAGCCTTCCAAGGCCTGTATGAATATTTGCAGGTCTGTCCCATTTTATACCTGAAATATTACATTTAAACTTTAGACACATGAACCTGTTCACATAAATGAACAAGTCCCTGGACATCTGTGGATGTCCACTATACACCTACCTTCGCTGCTGAGTTGGAAACCCCGTGGGTGACATTTTTTAGCAGCCCACCAACATTGCCGTCCTTGATGAGTCCAGATATTCCCTCAGTGACATCATTGAACAGTCCCAGTGGATTGCCGAGGAAGTCAACAGAACCAAGAATCTTAGCAGCCTGACTTTTTAATTCCTGTGACACAATAAGTAATTAAAAACTTATTTGTTCAACATTAAGTCAACATCTTTGGCTGTTTAGTATATAAATATAATTTCATTGTCCTGTAATAAGTCCACACCTTTTTGTTAATGTGTAAGGTAATGTGAAGACCTCTGGGCTTTTCTTGGGATAGATAAGTAAACTTCAGGAATAAGTTCTCTAAGCCCTGTTTTAATTTTCATACATGAATAGTCTAACAGCATGTTTTTTGGTATACGGAGAAGAAAGATATTTTCTACATGGCACCACCTATCTTGCAATGAGTGTAATACTTACATTAGTATAGTGGATCATGAGCTCTCTTGTCAGGAAATCTATGGTCTCAAACGGATGGTGTCTGACAAAGGGATCTGAGAAGATAAAAAAAAGGGTTAGAAAGAAGTAATGTGATCTGGTTTGCCTTATAAATATAACACTATAACTTTTTATGCAAATGAAAACAAAACGTCAGACCATGATGATTTTCACCAGTTCATAGGCAAGACATTCAATTTCAAGTTGTCAATCTGAAATGATACCCTTTTGTTCACATTGTGTTTTACAATGTGAATCCAATATAACTGCAAGGTGGATTACATAAAGAATAAATGACACCAATATTGCAGTTAACAATTTTTTACCTAGATCAACTTTGGCGTCCTCAAACTTGACAAGTGGGATTGAGGTGGCGTTTTTGATGTGCTGGAGATCCAAGGACAACTTATTGGCTGTTACCATACTGAGACTCAAACGACTCGTGTTGATCTTCAGGGTCCCAAAATAGTAACGCTTTGATTTCACTGATGTAGCAGCTACCAGAGCTCTGCATAAAACAGAAACAAAATTAAATGCGTCCAGTAAAGGGGGATATAGTGCCAAAGCCATCATGTCTTCTATCCAATGGTGGATACTTAAGATTCTGGACCGCCTTAAATGTGTTGGTTTATCCTACTACATAGCATTAATATGAACAGATTAAAAACAACCACAAGTGTAAAAAACATACTTCCTGGTATCAAATTCCCTCTGGTCTGATTTTTGGTCAACTTTTTCTTCAGTTGAGTCCGAGCTGTCTGACCCTATAAACTGGATGATTTTCCATAGCAGTCGTTCCTCAAGCTGCACACTCATCTTCTTCATTGTGATAAACAAATGCTGCAGAAGCAAAATTTTGTTGCCCATTACAATAGAATATCTTTCCTTAACCCTTGTAAACATCCTTAAAGCATAATATCACATATCAAACATTTCCTAGATTTATTTCCTTTTATTTAAAGCTGCCATGAAGCTACATGATTTGGAATATCTTTAACACCGTATGACTGGTAAATACGATATTATGGTAAAAAAATTGCTTCTTTTGAATTATCATTTCATCAAGTGTTATCAAATTTCAAATTACCTGTTAATTTTTAACTACTTTTGATGTCATGATAAATATATGCCTTTCAGAAGGATTGCAAGTTTACCTCGGCAAACACTTTCTACTTCCATATTAACAAATGAAGTTGTTCAACAATGAATTACAAAAATCAATTGCTACTATGCAGCTTCTTCCATGTAATTCAGATTATAAATTTCAGAAAAAATGAGAGTGAAATATGTTATAAAGCTGATTCAACCTGAAGCTTTGATAACAATGACCCACCTTGTAGATGTCTGCATTCCACTTTGTGTTGGGTATCTTGTGAACGGCCATGTGGAGGGCATACGTTTTGTCAGGCCCTTCCTGTTTTGAAGTTGGTGTCACATATAACATTACAGGGCGCTGGGTACCAAACAGTTGGTTATCCATCTACAAACAGAATAACAAACGTCTAAAATGAAATTATTGAATTCAAGATAAAACACATAGATTTGAAAAAAAGGGGGTCAGTTAAGATGTGGAACATAATAGGAAAAGTAAATTTACTGTATTAAATTATTCTTATATGTAAAGAAGTATGACTTTGAGGAAAAGTTGAGAAAATATGACTGAACTGGATTTCCACATGAAGGAATGTAAAACAAAATACTAATTTAGCGCTGCTTTCATTTTGTGCTCAAACCATGTCTGCTGATAACAAGTTCTTTTCCTTTCTTTGAATAGATAAATGGCACATTTCATAAGGGAAAAAACATCACTAGGAAAAAAGAACAAAACAAAACGAAAAATGATTGCTAATGAATATTATTCATATACACACCACACTTCTGAAAACTGTTTACTTTAACTTTGCATACATAGATTGTTACCTGAACACTTGCTACACTAATGTCCATTTTGATACTGGAGGGTGTGGAGCAGTAATCCATGATAATATTCCTCATAGAGATGTACAATAACTCCTCAGCATTCTTATTTACTAGGGAAATCCCTAATCCTCCCTTCAGATTCATAGAGAGCTAAAAAAAGAAATGCTGAATGTTGGTTTGGAGCAATAATATCATGTATGATATAAAATTGAAATAAGAATGATCTTAAAATATTTCCAAATATATAAGTGTAGAAAGGACTTTGTTTAATTTGTAAAAATGAAAACCTTCAAAGCAAGATATTACTGGCAGTATTTTTTTAAAAATTTCTGACGACACACATAATATTGACATCCATGACTGAAGTTTTATCAATAACTAAATACTGCTCGATATTGATTGAAACACAATATCCTAATTTTCATGAAGAATCATCTTTAAAATGTATACATTTCATTTTCATGGCAGTTGTAAAGGATGAAATCACCTATAGAAATATGATTCAAGATAAAGAGGGCAAATTCCACATTCCCTTTTCCAGTCATTTCAATGTACTTTTATGCATTTTTAACAAAAAAAGGTATACTTTGGATTTAAAGCTACTTCAAAGTATGAAATTCATTACATCATGGAGCCTAGACTCGGCTTTTGACAGAAATCTTGATTTTGATGTAGGATTTTTTTATATGAACATAATTAAACAAATCCTTTTACTGACAAAGACAGATCTGTCATAAACAACAATGACACGGCATTAGTACACTATTTTCTTTAAATGGTCATGCACCAAGCTCTCTGTCTGATTTCAATTATTGATCCAAAGTATACCTCCAAACTGGTTTTAGTTTCAAGTTGGTCTTTGATCTTTCCTTGCTTATCTTCGGCTTCTTTGATATCATACACCTCCCATCCATCATCATCAGCGGAGCCCCTCTGTTGGACGACTTGCTGCGTAACAAAATCATAAACAGTAGCATAATGTCGAGTTTGTGAAATAAAGATTGCAATGAGAAAAATTATGTAAAAATATGTTTATAAATCAAATAGGTAAAATGTAAACTGAATTTATTCTTATCTCAGCAAATAACATATTTCAACTTTGTATATATTATCTACCATGTTTATCCACAATAAGCCTAATCATATTTATATGTTGGCCTCCAGAGTTCATCACAGGATAAATATGGTACTAAAAATATTTGCCATACCCGATATAATCTGTAAAACTAAAGACCTACTCTACCTTTTTCTGTGTGTCTGTTATCTCCAACACTCTGATCGGGCCATCCATCATGACCCTGACTGAGAGGTGACCTGACCCAGGATGGAGGCGTTGGCTTGACATTTGGGCCTGTATGGGGACTGAACTGGATGGGGGACAGGGGCCTAGTACTCCTACAGCACCTGGAGACAGGAAAATGTAACACACCTTACATAAGAAAACTGAGAATTCAATGTCATGCAAATTCAAGGAACAGTTTCCAAGAGGAATTCTTTCAGTGTAGCTTTGAAAGTAACGATTGTGTAGCTGTAAATATAAATTCTTGTCATTGATGGAATAATACAAGACAGGTGTCTATGTATTATCAAACTGATGAGTAGATAACACATGCTGACTAACCTGACAACAATAAGGAATATGGAATAATGGTGATCTCTTTGACAGGTAGAAGGGATGATCACACAGCAGCACCAAAATCTACCTAACTATCTGTCAGGTTTTTCAATGAAACAACTAAACTTCAGCCTTTAATCTAATTAAGATACATACTAAGGCTATTTACAGAGAATTCAGTAAGAGCAGTAACTTATACTTTTCACCACACGATTTGTAAGCTTAGATTTTCATAGAACTTCATATACAAATTATAATCTTGTGTATTACAAAATATATTTCTTTAAAGATTCCTTGTCCTACCTTCTTGAAGAAAATCTCCGAGGGCCTGAACACAGAGCACACCACTTCCACAGCACAGCTTCCCCTACACAATAATGAATGATTCAAAACACAATTATCAATAACGTGTCAATCAGTTGTAGTGGTTACATGTTGTACCAAATAACAATTATCTCTTCTGCATCTTGTGTCAGCAGTCATTATACAAAGACGAAGAAAAGTAATGAAAAATCACTTACATCCATGAATGACCACTTCTGTGTGGATTTTCTACGTTCGTCTATCTTCCTCAGTGTGAGTAGCACCATTTTTCCGGGCTGTGGTGCAATGTCTGCGATATCCAGTACAAGACGATTGGATGAGGTTCCCTGCTTACGAGGATCCCGTGGTGGCATGGAACCCTCATGCTCCAACATTCCTTTTGTAGTCATACGCCACAGTTGGGACCTTTTCCCATTCTCCTACAGTTAAATAAATAGGCTGTTATATTAAAAACATATATAACACAAGGATTGGACTCTCAAGTTTTTAACATTAATATCAACATTAAAGTGACTTATAACTTTCAATAACTGAAATCACTGTTAAAACTCCTTTGTATCTGGTGCAAAATTACTATAATAATCCTGCAAAACGTCCAGGGAGCCTATACATTACTTCAAACTAAAAGTCAAGGGGTGGGCTTATTACAGGTTAGTTAGATTGATGATTTTACTTTAAAAAAAAAACAAATAATACATGGGCTTTTAGACAGATAACTATGGTACTTTATCCTCAATTTTTTTTCAACTATGTGATTAAATTACATCTGATCTCATTTTAGAATATATAATTGTTCCAGTACAAGATGTAGTCAAATTTTGTAAACATTGATGAAAGGCTGAAATCACACTATCATAAATATTATGCAGTGTTTGTGTTTTTTCTCTATTTTGTTGTATAATGATCTATACCTGTTGACTAATAATCAAACATTTTCCTAACTTATTTGCTTCCTTATCTTCATGACTTACCTTTTTCTTGAACACAATGTGGTTTTCATGAATACAGTCTAGCACCAAGTCTTGTTTGTTCTCATCAGGAATATTCCTACATGGAAAAGCAGGAAAAGATTAAAAAAAGGTAGAAGTCGACACATGTCAGATATCACTTCAATGAACTGGTAATGTATATTGTAAAATCATTAATTTTTGTCGAATCTATTCTAATTGAATTTGTGGGTTCTCTAAATCCATGACTTTAAAATGATAAACAGAGAAATGTTGAAATAGATTACAAATGAATAGTACAAAATCAAGTGGTAACAAAAATGTATATTTCCAGAAAACCACAAAATTTGAGCCCTATGAAAATGTATGATTTGACAATTTTGACTGTCGTAATGTAAAAAGATACTTCACAGTTCTTAAATAAGAAATATTTCTTTTTGTTTTTTTTTGACAATATATGATTTCTATACTAACAAAATAGGATAATGATACCTGTATATATTAATATAATGGGTAATAATTTAGGCAGGCATGATTGTATTGTCAGTGAAAGCAGGTTATCATTTACACTTCATTTCAGAAAGGTGTTTTCATAATCAGTTGAATTTTAATGAAGAGGAACCTAATTTCATTGATGCTGTTAACGTACATAATCAAGTAAATGTACCTACGAAACGATATTTCTTGAAAATTCACAAATTTCAAATTACATGAAAATCACAACATTTGCTAATAAAACATGAAAGATCTAGTTGCAGACCACTGTTACCATGTTACAGATCTGATGATTCCATCATTAAGAAGATTGTTATTGAGATTTCATAACAGACTTGATTTATACGCACTGGTTAAACGAAGCTGTAGCTGCCAGGTAGATGAAATTTTGATAGTAAAGCTTTTCTCCCTCCTCAAGCTTGTTCATATTGTAGGTGGCGCTAGTTCCTCCCTGTACATTTAGCGAGATAGATGGTGCAAAGGTCGGCTCGTCCCAAGCATAGGCCACTGAAGATATAAAATAAGTTGTAATGTTTCAAAAGATAATTCTTTATAGAATGTCATCTATCTATATAACAAATATCCAACAATCCTTAAATGTTTGTAAAAGATGAAGACTGTAGGCCTGTGTGTGATAGTAAGCCCACACATAATGATATCAGGTCTTCAGACATGTCAACAAAGGTTACTTGATTGTAAATAAGCCCTTTTCCTAGCCCTCAGACCCTTGACTCATGGGATGATGGATATGGTGAATCAAACTATAAATTATTCGTGTAAATTTGACTTACAAGCTGAACATTCCTTATACAATGATCAAATGAAATGTCATCATAATACCAAGAATATTATTTGATTCGTTTGGTTTAGTGTTTTTTTAATATCCTATTAAAAGCCAGGGTCATTCAACGATGTGCAAGGTTTGGATGGTGGACGAAATTCAGGGTTCCGGGAGAAAAAAGTGACCTTTAGCCAGTACATACTGGCAATTGCCCCACAGAGGTCATGAACCTACGACCTGAAGACCTAGAGATGGAGGGCTAGTGATCAAGACAGTCAGATGCCTCAACCACTTGGCCACCACAGGAACATCAATTATAATGACTTCTCACATGATTTAACATATGAGAATAGTTTTTTAGGTATCTTTCCAACATCGGTACTCAATAACTGTGTCATGTTTAGGTACATTTTTTATATCTTACACCATTGTTACCAAAAAATCAGACTCACGAGAGGTGTGTGGTTTGATGTTTGACATCAGTGTGACATCCTCTATGCCTGTCTGGTAGTATTTGATGGGTACTTCTGCCTTGTTGTCTATCCTGAAGGGTGGTGGCATCTCTTCTGCATCACCAAACACAATGAAAAAGGTTGGACCCTGCATCACTACCTCCACCTTCAGTAAGTGGGAGACATCATCTGTGGTTCTGAAAACATTATACCAGATCAACCTTTAATTCAAGTCCGCAGTAACAGGTTTTTTGTTTCGTAACTGTGAGCCTTTGTAATAGAAATTCATTACAAGGTCATTCATTCAAACATGATAACACTTCATTCAGTCATGCTATAGGCCCAATATCACAACTTTTGGAAGTTACTTTATTGAGAAAAAGCTGTTTAGATTAAAAATTGATACTAGACGATTGATATTCATATTCATAATTCATATATATTCATAAACAGACCTCATGTTAATGTGGAAGGAGTCAATGCAGTCTATCCTAAATCCGCCGGACCACCTACAGCTTGGCACATCCATTAATCGTACACACAACAGCTGGTCAAGATCCAGTCTTGGCCAATGAAATGGCAGCTTACACCCAGGCAATGCTGTCAGGTGACCATCAATACTTCTCGTTAAGGTCTGAAAAATAATTTCTGATTTAGATCATTTGAAAAATGTTTTTGCTGAAGTGATTTTTCAAGATGAGTGAGAAGAAATAATTATTCATTATCCAAATGAAATAAGAAACAAACAATTTGTCAGAACACGAAAAACACATATCCAATTACTGAAGCAGAGAATTTTGAGAGAGCTTCTTTTTAACTATTTTCCAGGACATATTTGTTAGCTAGGTTTATTGTCCCATGAACAATCCTGGACATTTTGAGGTGGAGTTTCCTTGTAGTAGCTGGTGGCTCCGAACATACATAATGCCTGTTACATACCATTCAGATCAACAATTAGTGTAAAGACCAAGGTCATAACCATGACAGTGCAGTCCTTTTTCTCAACTTCCCATGAAACACCAACTGATGTGGGTTGGGAGTGTCAAATTGTACCGTGGATCTTTACCTGAGGCTATGTAGACCAACACTCCAAAGACTGAGCTATCACAATCCCTCAAAAATGGATAAAATCACAAAACATACTTTGAATATAAAACCAAGAGAAAGTCTGATTCTTGACTTTTGGGAAAAATTAATCCTTTTTACTTTATGATGTTGACAAAACCGCATCCATTGCATGTTTCATAAAAATAATGTGTAATTCTATTTTATCATATTTTGCAGGAAAAGATCACACTATCAGCACTTTCATTTCTATTTGCTTTTGACTTACCTCCCTTTTGCTAATATGCCTCTGCACTATGGCCAAATTGTGACTGGACTGATTGTCAATTTCAAATCTTGGTGCAAAAGTCACGATATTTGTGTCTCTGTATTTCCCCTTTCCCTGTCTCACCTCTATACCTATGTTGTAAACCCTGCAAATCCAACAAAAAGAAATGTCAATTAGCACAAAGATTTTCTGATTTTTGTTTTAAACACAAATTTTCAAATTTACAACAAATTCTATGCTGACATCAATTAACCAAACTACTGTTTAATATGTCAATTGACTGTTTCGTCAAATTCAACTCTGTCATGTTAAAAGTATTAATATATTAATATATTCCCAGTCAAAAAAAAAAAATTTGAAATAGGAAATTGAACAGTAATAAATAAATTCAGAAAAATCTGTTTTATAGAGAAAAAGAAAATTAATCAATTCATATAAAATCTGGAGTTTTATCATCACAAAATTATGTTGGCCAAAATGTTCTTTGGTTAAAATCTCATAATGGTCAGTGATAAAAGTTTTAAAAACATTTTCATAACATCAATGAAAATACATCAGAGCAATCAAACATCATAAAATCATAATTTCACTGAATTTATTGAGGAGGTAATGAATTTGAAAACATAATTCGTGAAATTTTGATATGCAGGCAAATACAATGTAAGCAAAAATTTGACTATCATGCTTCAGTGATAAAATAATTACAAGAAGTTGAAATAAAAAATAATTGTAAGAGTTATTAAAAGCAGATTGAGTATTAGTATATTTGCTGATACAATATGTAAAAGTCCTTGTTTTGCACATATTGTGTAGAAGTATATCTAATGATGAAGTATGTACAAATCCTTGTTTTGTGGACACAACCAATCAATCCTAACCAATTTCCACAACAAAAAGCTTCTAATGCCCAACTCTAAAGAGTTACAGATATGAACTGGATTATTGGTAAATGTCATTTCTTTTTTTCTCAAAGATTATCAGGCTTTGACCTAGAAACACATTTCAATCAAATAACCTGCTTCTTGGACCTTTGGTTTACTAGAAGAAGTCTTTTGCAGGTTTTGACATTTTGACCCCTGTGACCTTGGATAAGGGTCAAGGTCATTTCTTTTCACAAACTTTGTCTTGCTTCATCCTAGAAACCTATAAGCCAAATATCATACTTCTGCATGTTTTGGATAGTCAGAAGTTGTTTTAAAGTTTTAACAAATTTAACCTCTGTAACCTTGAATAAGCGTCAAGGTCATTCCATTTTGCAAAGTTTTGGGCCAGGTAATATAAAAAAATCCAGCAAGGCTAGAAGCTACATGTTACTACAAAATTGGGATTAAACAGAAAGATATTGTAAGAAAATCCATGCTCTCAACACATTTACATGTAAGTGAACAGCAACATTTCCATGTACTAGGTTTGGTGTTCCAAACAGTTTTCAAGCAGTTATGCTGTCAACAAACTTTCACAAGACCATAAATGAGCGAGTAAGTTTAAATCTACACTTCACATTATTAAGCCATTTACAGTACATCAAGGAACAATATCTAGAGCTTTATGGTGGAAATTAATTCTGAAATGATCTTTACCACCTAGCAATTGATAGAAAGTTCAGCAATATGTACTCCACATTCTCTGTCCTTACAACAATACAACAAAAAGTTGCTATATGGAGTTTAAACTCCAGACAAACTTTTAAATTAAGACAAAGTTCTATAGATAAATCATACAATTACAGTGACCTACTTATGATATGTGCTATGCCATAATTCCAAGACATGTACCATTAACTACATCCAGTGATCCTAGAAATTACATAATTTTGAAGTTGTATTCAGAGCAGACTCATTCAAAGAAAAATACAGGATCACCAACTTTTAGAATGGGACGATCCACATCCTACAGTACATGAGACACATGCAGTTGTTACATAAACATTTTTCCTGGCAGCAGTCAAAGAATAAAATAGGCATCACAGTAATTTTTACTCTCCTGAAATGGCTTTGGCACATATCTTCAGGGTAAATTTTCCTAAAAGTAACCCATGAATGAAATTAACTTCCCTCATCTATTTAAGCAAACATTTTCCTTGTCGCCACACAAGAAATGTACAATCTTGCCTCATTCCATGTAACAGCAATGTTAGCAGAAAATTATATCTAGTGCTAAATAGGTTAGATCAGCCTGGCCAAAGTAGTAATGCAGTGAAACTACCGTGGTTTGGGCAACTGGTAGGTCAGATTCTGGCAAACTAACCTAATAGTGAAAATTAAGATAAAAAAGACTAAAAGTCATTAATCCACATACAAATCTCAGACAGCTGTATGATCCAATGATATTTCAATTGTTATCATAACGTTAATTTTCTTAAATCGGTCTACAATTTCAAGGGTCAAGGAGAAAATGAACAAGGTTTTATTAAGCGAGTTCTTTGCATCTAGATTCAGACTAATAAGGAAATCAATGATTACTAATTACATTTTTTTCCAATAAAAATTATTGCACACAAATGTAAATTGTAATATTAAGTTTTCTTCACATGATGTAAGTTTTTTTGGTCCAAACTTCACATTAAATAGAAATTCACATCTCTCAATTTATAAGAAATTACAACTTACAAATCAAAATTGCTACATAACTCTCAAGCCTTGTTCATAATTGTTTTAGATTTATAAATGACAAATATCAACAAAAATTGAAAAAAGAAGAAAAATGGAAAATCAATTCTAGAGAAAAAATATGCATTCTAAAAATGATATTGATGTTCTAAGATGAAGTACATTCCAAATCTAAGGTACCAGCAGAAAAAAAAATGAATAAAAAAATCAAATTAAATTTGATAATGAAACTCAACATGCAGACCAGATCACAGAAGTTTAAAGATAAACCAAGTCCAACAGTCACCCTGATGTAGTTTTTATCCTTGTAAGGACTCTTTACTCTGGTACAGCTGATACAATTCCGTGCAATGAAGCACCCGCACCTTGCTGTCCAACACCAGAGGTAAGGGAGATAACTGTGGACTTACTGGAGCGCATTAGTGATAGCAATGGTAAACCTGCGTTTGGTCTGATGTTGTAGCTCTACTAACCAATCAGGACGGTTCTGCTCTTTCGGCACCACATACAGCTTCCGCATTCCTGTACCACTCTCCAAAGAAAACCGATGACACCTAGGGATCATAAAATGTAATGGATGATTAGGAAAGACAGCATATGACAGGTTTTCTTTGCCAGTCAAATTTTTGTCATATGATTGCATTGCAAATTTTGAACTAGCAAATTACAATTGAAAAAGAATTACATTATATTTTTTTAGTTCTGAGCCTTCAAAAGCAAAAAACTATGACATGGCTAAAACTGAGATTTTCTGGAATTCATGGCGAAGTTTGCGAGTGGCTAAAATATTCTGTTATACATTGAACTTAGCTTTCTTAAATAATTATATTATATATGAGAGTAACCCTGAATGAATACAATTATTATTACAGCCTAGTCCAAAATTGGATCTATCATATCATTATCTCACTATTGTTTAAATCATAGAATTTACAATGATTTAAACACTTCTCATTTTACCAGTTAGGTATGGCATTTGGTCCATGGACAGACTTTCCGACTCTCATGGTACACCTGTAAAAATATGAAAAAATTGCTTTTTAAGTATGCTGTTTCCTGCTCTCTGAATCAAAATTGTTTTCAGTGAGAAAAAAATCAGACTTCAGGGAGTCCTGCTTTATCTTGCTTTGTCACACTTACAGATTTGACAGCTCTTTCTCATGATAGCTGAACAGCAATGGAGTAACACTGCGAGCTAACTCGTGTTCCTCAAACTGTCCTGCTGAGTCAATCTTACTGCTCTCCTGACGGAAGATTAGTGGTAATCCAGACTTGTTTACCAACCAATAGGCAGCCATGATGTACAACTGTGAGAAACAAAATAACGGTATCAGTGCCATATCACATGGCAAATCTTACTTGAAATCTGTAATCTAGTGCTTATGGTTACAATGGAACAATTATCAGTACAGTGGAATGGACGGGTAAATGACGGAATTGTTGATTGGCAATAACACATTACATAAAACCCAACATCTCACAGCATTGACCAAGACTTTTATATCACCAAGAAGTATTCTAAAGATGTTGACTATTTCTATTTAGGACAGCTTTAAGGTTGAAAAAACAATTTTTAAACCAAAAATAACTGCCAATAATTTCAGTACTCACATTAACACAGCCTCCTTTTCGGGACACAATCCGTACAAACAACTCTAACTTTCGTTTCTTACAGTCGAACAGCCTCAGTTTGACTTTGTAATAAGTTGTGTCAGGAGGGACAATCAACTCGGAACAATTAGAGAAGTTTTCAACGTAGATGCCCAGCTCCATCGCCTGACTGGGGTCAGCCTGGACAGATAAATACACATAATGATAACTCTGTTGAAGGCATTAACAATAATTATGCTTCTATTGAGGCAAATGGTGTATCTAAATGAAAAGTGTATACCACAAAAAATAATTTTTATTCTGGTCTGTTTATTAGATATTAGTCAAGGAAATTCACTTTTTGGTTTTTTGAAATTCACTAGATAGCCCTGTACTTACCGCATGTAAGGCAGCGCTCTTGCCAGGTTTTACTGTGCCCGAAATATCAGTGTCTTTTAGGTAATAGTTGAGGTCGATTGGCAGTAGGCTGTGTATGATGACGGGAGGCTTGAGCGTGATCACATGACCAGGAAGTACTGGCACTTCCTGTGTGAAGTTCTGTTCCGGGTAGTGTTCTCTCTTCACTGCAGCACAGAACCTAAAAACCACAAACCAAACATACAACTTAAAAATACATCCTTACATACAAAACATGTTCTAATGTATTATATGGAAAGTAGCCCATCCATGTGTTTTGTAGTTTTGGTAGAAGTGACAACAAATACTACATAAAGAGTCATCTTGTAAGCACAATCCATATCAATCTTAAGGTTAAGTTTGTATGATGGTATGTTTACTCCTTGTGATTATCTTAAATCGTGTTTTATTTGAATAAACCAAAACCTTAATTCATTTCAAAAAAATTGCAAACAAGCAAGCTTATACTAATCATTATTGATGAGCAGAATAGAAGTGTGAGGGACCTTATTGTGGCAGAAAACTGGAGCACCAAGGGAAAACCCACAAGGTCAGGCAGGTGACCCCATACCTTTTCATATTTATTTGAGGAATCAAACCCCAGTCACCTAAGTGAAAGGCAAGCAAGCATGTTACAACTCCGCCACCAGACCACTCAAATGACTTTCTTAAATGAGTAAGACTATGCAAATACCAGGCTTTCCCTCATCCCAGTGTTATAACTAAGTTTTAAATTTTGATATCAAAATTATGAAGATGTTAAGAAAACATTTCACAAAATGAATTCATACATTATCTTTAATTAAGACAAGACAGCAAATCTGCTGATGTATTCATATGGGTGGTTTGAAAGGCATATCATCTATAGTAACTAGCATTACACACCTGTATGTTTCTTTGACATCCGAAGTCTCACATTTCATTATTTTGTCTTTGATCTGTCCAGCAAGACCAACATGTTGCCACTGGATTGGCTGCTTACAGAACTTGATTGATGAATCACAGGGCCTCATGTACAGCTGTGACATAATGTAAGGTAGTGGGATAGGGACACTACCACGAGGGGGTATTGGAAGGATCTCAACATTTCCTGGAGTCAAAAATACAAATATTTCTCAAAAAAAGCAAATTAGATGTTCTGTGAAAAAAAGCAAACTCTGAGTTGGAAGTTGACATCTTTCAATTTAACAAAGTTAAACAAATTAAAAAGTAACTTTACTTCAAAAATCTACTGATTTTAACCTACTTTTTAAGAGAGCCCTGCATACTATTTGGTATCCTTCTGAGACCTTGAAGATGAACTTTTCTGAATGAATGTTGGTTCTTGTTTTTAGTAATTCATTTATTTATTTATTCATATATTTATTTTAACAAATGAAAGCAAGTACCTGTACTTGAAAAACAATGAGAAATAACAGGAGACAGAAGTCATGACTTTTTTTTACTTGCTACCATCCAACCCAGGACCTCTGTTTTACAAGTCTTAATTTACATTTCAACATACAAAAGAACCCTGGTCTCTTGTAGTCTATAAAGATCTCTGTGTAAATCGTTTTTAATTATTTGTCCTTACTTAGATTTAGAGTTTGAATTTATTTCATATTAGATTCTGTAGTTTTTGGGCTTTTTTCATTCAATAGGACAACAAAATTAAACATCAGGCAAAGACTATTTAATATATTGCCATAATTCCTAGGTGCATCATTATCAAATGGATATCTTTTTAGAAGATTGACAGACACCTACCCTCGTACTGTGTTCCAAGCACCATCTTCAGATCTACAGTACGGTCAAGCTTGTTGATGACCATTAGTGCTGATCGGACAGTGATCACCTTCCTGGCACTACCTTCCTGATGAACATCAAACACTATCCGCGCAATCTGTTGCTTGGCAGGATCATGGCTGGACTCAAATGTCAACTACAAAGACAAATTTTATACATACTTTTCTGCACTAAAATGTTTATGTATTTGTGTGTGTGTGCTTTTTTTTAATGCAAAATTAAGCATTAGCAACCTAAAGAAAAAAACTTTTTTCATCTTCATTCATAAAGTGAAGAGAATCTAGCACTAATGGCAGCTGGTACTGAAATTGTTTCCTAGATTATTTCCTTAGCAGTTACTCAAGATATATCACAAGGAATATACAATAAATATCCATGGTATGAGTGTAAATTTCATTAAAGCTTACACCATCAGTCACTCCTGAAGTAAACCTTGGATGACATCAATGACTTTCTAATAAATAGACAATCTAATGCAATTTTGTATCCCCTATAGACAATATCATTAAACCTGCCTCTCAATCTTAACCAATTACTTCAGTGCGTGGCTGTAACGATTTGTTCTAGGTAGAACACTATATAAATTAGGAAGACTCACCCCAGAGAGTCCTGTGGCCGACTTTCTGTCAGGCTCGGCATGTCTGAAGTACACACCTACTTTGTCCACAGTGACTGGGGTCACTCGGTGCCACCCTTCTACTTTCACTCCAAGCTGGTTGATCTGTAGCTCATGAGTTTTCTGAAACATTAAATTTACTCTTATAAACTGCTTCTAAAACACTTTCTCAAAAACGCTGATTTGACGCCTTTTAAATTTTTGTAACATTATTGCAAAATACCTTTGTAATTTGATTTTATGTTCTCTTATACTTTTTTTTCATTTTCTGGAATGTAAATGTAATCTTAGGCTTTCAGCATGGAAGATATCCTCCAGTAACGAAAAGGTAGATGGTTGGACATAAACTAAAAGATTTCAAAGATACAAAAACTTACGCTGGCTTAAGCAATGGATACAAAGCTATAGGGACTTGTCATTAACCTTGTGCATATAACTCAGAACTTTAAACCTTATGCCTGAAATTTTCCCTCTGTGAAATAAAAACATCTGCTGGCCCTGTCTGACCTTTGTTAATACTATAACTCAAAACTCAAACCTTATGTCTGATTTTCTCCTTCCTGTGAAATACAAATGACATCTGTTGGCCTGGCTTGACTTTTGTCCACTTGGAGGCATTGATATAAGCACTGCCAGACAGATGTCCCTCATTAGGCCCAGTCAGGCGGGTTATTCTGATAAAAAAAACATTGTTTACTAACTATTCTTAAATATATACCGGTAGATATCATCAGGAAACAGATTTTATTTCATATGGAAATCCTTTATAAAGATATTAAGTATGTCTTGAATATATGTTCTTTATATAGGAAACCCCGAGAATAATTTTTTTTATCATTTCTAATGATATTAAGTAAATATCTATCTAAAATATTTTTCTGTCATACAATGCCTTAAAGAATGACATGTGATTTGAGCATGAAAATTTCATTATTTTCGATTCAGTAGTTGTTCTGAGATGTGTCATTATTTTTTTCAATGTAACATGTGAAGAAACAGGATACACATGTATCCTATCTAGCATTAATCACACAAATGCTGAGGTATAGCCACTGTACCCTGTGGTAACTTGTTGACTTACTTAGATGGGTTTGTCGTGACAGTATGAAACCACAGAGGACAGCCAGTCTGGTTGTGGATGAGGAAAGGCACAAATGGTATTCGGCGCCTCTGACTAGCTGTGGAAACAGGTTCCTGTGGCGATTCGTTTGACTGTGAGATGTTGGTTGGCCTGTAATCCACAACAAAAACCATTTATCTGGAGATACTTCTTTATATTAACTGTATGGAGTTGCCAAGAAATATTACTTTCATGTTTCTTTTTGCTCTAGGATCTATCGATATCAGCAAGAATCTAAATTAACTTATAAAATTAACAACAAGAAAGATGTTTGTTTTCTGGGTTTATAACCCTGTGAACAGCCAGGATCATTTCAAGGCAGGATTTCCATGCAATTAACAGGTGGCTATCCCACTGATCAACATACAAGAGGCCCATCACATGCCATTCAGAGCAGTTAGGGTAAAGCATTTTCCCAAAGGACGAAACCACAACTGCACAGATCAGTCTGCTTTGCAGCTTTCTGAGAAACATAAACTGCCACTCTGCCACTGATAGGGACTATCGACCCATGCACCTCAGATCTTCATCTGAGGTTACATAGGTCAATGCTCTTCTGACACCTCAAAAACAAAGAAGCAGTTTACCTAAACATAAATAATGAAACATAGCATCAATATTTTCTGAAATTTAAAGACAATAAAATTTACTGCAATAACTGACTTAGGTATTCAACAAACTTTCAATGAACATGGCCGGATCTTTTGCATTTTGTACCACTCACATGTGTTTATAGTAATCTTCTGTCCATGTGACTTTGGTTTTTCTGTACTGTTCCAATAAGGCACTAGTGATGTTGATGTTCAGCATATCTTGGGCTGCAAGGGTTAGAATTCACGATCAATTTACAATTAATCTCATGTACATGGAACATTTGGCATGATATCCAAACATTATATATGGCATCTCTTACAAAATTGAAGAAAATGATTTTTACAATTAGATTGCAAGGTTTGACATTGATAAGCAGTACCTACCGTTAATCTGGAAATGTGTTGTTTCTTCATAGTTTTTCACATATTTCTTCCACTCCAAATGACACCTGTTAAACACAACATATGAGTGATACTTATTACTGCAGTATAAAAATTTATCTGGAGGAAAAAGGAAAAAGGTACCATACAATAGTTTTCATCCCCTTTAGAGGCAAAGTCAAGTATTTGTAAATACATGTACCTATTTACACAATACACGAATGTTGTGTACTTGGTAATATATATTTGCAGAGGATTACATATAAATTACAATACTAGTATTCAAATATATTGAAAATTAACATAAAAGATTAATTTAAAACATCATGAATGTATTTATGCCTTATTATCACATTATTCACCTGTTATCCAATGAATATAAAATGTTTGTATATATGTCTCTAGTGCAATATACTGTAAATTACTTATGTTTCATGTGGGATTTATTTTTGCATTTATATGTAAGGAGAGCAAATTGTAAATTCAAATATCTCGTTATTATTATGACACTCTTGAGAACATCCTTGTTATTCTAACTAGCTTTCACATACACTTCTGTAGAATCAATATTATACCTTATAATATTATTACAAACAAATCTGCTAGACATATATCAATCCCAGAGTCCAGTTTTGTTTTGGAAAGGTGCTAAACATTACAACATAAAAACTATCTATGTTACTGAATTATAAAATAAATCATAGGAAACTTATCAGATGTTACTGCCGGGATGACTACTGTATAACTAATATAAACACACTGGTAACATTAAACAAAGCACAAACGTGTCTGGCCTATTGAAGTCTTGTCATCTCAACTTACTCTCCAAACATAAAGACATCTGGAGCATTCAGGTTTGTTATTTTGTCTACATACTAGCCTGTACTCAATAGATATAGTTCACAGTATCACAGGACTGAATCACTTTTCAGGTATAGTTACATGACTCTCCTAAGTGATGGTGGCCATTTTGAAACCATCAGTTGCTGATAAGAAGCTTTTCTGAGTCCATGTCTCTAATAACTCATTACTTACAAATTCAAAGTCATTTCTACATCAGTGTTTGTGAAATCATGTATTCATGAATACGTCTGCAGAGTTTGCTAAATAAAGTGATGTACAGTACCCTAGAGGGTTATTCCTTGGCTGGACAAGTCCGAAGTTGATTGTGATGTCATGAAGCAGACAATGACATTGCACCATAAATTGACAATGGCATGCAAGATCCTACATGTATTATAATTTCAATGATAAAGTTAAATTAAGTGAAGTAGATCTGAGACTATGGAAACGATTGATACAGGTTCACAAGTCTTTTATCATGACCGTACCTCCACTGTTCTAGGAAGGGTTCCCAGCCTGACAAGGCCCGATTGTAGAAATCACCAGTCAGTGTGAAAGACGCTGTCCCCTCATGGACTTGACCAAGCTTCTGATGGAAGTTGATTGAACTTAACGCTATTTCACCCAGTGGTACATCCGAGTCCCGGCAGTCGTCGATGAAGCAGAGACAGAAACAATTGGCATTAAGCTGAAACAGACAACAAATGTAAATGTAAAATGAACATGCACATACCGGTATTTGAGGAAACTGTTAACATGGTTATTTCTGCGGAGGTGAATTTTGTGAACTCAATAGGCAACCTGTAAATGCAGAAATTACTTTTGCAATCGATCATCCTTTGCATATCTAATAACACTTTGATTTTTATGACACACATCACAAAATCATGTGCTTTGGTGAATTTACACTGCCAAATGACTTCCAGGTATTTAATATAAATTTCCGAAACATATAAATTTTCATGTTTACTGTAGAAAGCACTACAGCTGAACTGTCTACTACTAAGAGGTCCACATCTGTTGGTTCTGATTCTGCTGTGTACTGTATACTTGGAATTTTTGCCCATTTCATCCATAAACATGGAGGATGAAAATTTGTTACACTATATAACCCTTTTATATAATCATCAGAGGCAACTTTGTGTGTAATGATACAGGGTCAATAATTACCTGGGGCCTTGACACCTTTGTTGTACTGGGAAAGGAGCATGGATGGGTGGATTACTTACCTTAACGACTGTGAGGTCTAGACTTGTATACTACCCATTACCTCTGCCCTGGGAAGGGGTGGTACACCTATTTGACCCATGTAAGGTCTAGATTCTGTTACCCTGTGGGGTAGAGCATGGATAGGTGGTGCATACATGTTGACACCTGTAAGGTCTACACTCTATTGCCTCAGGGTAGGGGAGGGCTGGATGGTATACCTACCTTTACACCTGTGAGGTCTAGACTCTGCTGCCCTGGGGGCGGGGGAGGGATGGGTGTACAGTGCTTTCTTAACCACACAGCTGCTTCTTTCATTTCTCCATCTACAGCTGACCAGGCTTGCTGACAGTCCTCCTTACTAAACCCAAGTTCCTGTAGCTTCTGAATCTGGTGTTCTGATTAACACAAATATATCCACTGAATAATACAGTTCAATTAAAACAAGTTCTAACTGTAAGTGGGCACATTACATAAGTCTTCCAAACGCCCTAACAGTCTGAAGAAAATCGAAATCAGACAACATGAAAGCCTTTTATCCAATTTGGTAACTGAAGTGTTATAAGAAATCTACATACCAAATTCCATCAAAATCCAAGAATATTGAAATTCCCCCCCACGTTAGTTGCCTCTCTAGGGCAGTCATTTTGTCCAATCACAAAAACAGATGTTGCTATTGTGTTTGTAATGTCAGACAACGCCTACACCAATTTTCATCAAAATTGGACATTTATATTCTTATTGATCAGAAGCCTTTCCTTGGTGGACATTTTGTTTTATCAGAAAACGGACCTTTAACATTGTGCCCTGATGTCTGACAACACCTACTGACCTATTCTCTTGAAAATTGCAAAATACGTAAAACAAGAAAGAAATTAACTGATATTACACAAAAGTTATTTAACATTCAAAGTATATCTGTAACAAAGGGTAACCTACTGGGGTATTGATTGGGAGTCTTCTGTGAATCCCTGTTCTTGGCCTGAAGTGCTTGTTTGGGCAAGGAGTTCAATATTGCCAGAAACATCTTCATATCGTGGTAGGACAATCGGATATTCATTGCGTTGAAAGAAACCTGTGAAAGTAATTTACACAGAGGTTACATACTGTTTAGCAAGAATACACAATTATCACAAAAGGGAACCTCCAACACTAAGGAATGTTATATGTTTCATATACTGCACATTTTCCTTTGCATAAAACCATGGGTGTTAGGTAATACCCACCTTAAAATAATTATAAATTAGCTTCATATACATCTCATATCTCATTGAAGAAGTGTTGACAAACTTGTCAGGGGTAAGAGAAAAAATATTACTTAGACCACAATGAGATGATAATGGTACAACTACTTTTAAATTTTTTTGTTGCTGAATTAACAAAACATGGCAGTTTAAAATATTTCTTCTAACTTGAAATCTCACTAATTTCTGCTAAGCTCCTCAGGAACTTTACCTCAAGCACTAGAGCACGGTCCGGGGGTGGGGCTGCATCCTGTATTCCTCCAGGAGAGCTGGGTTTTGGCTCTGGAAGGGGATTGGCATTGAGGTCTATAGTAATAGTGAGAGGGTCAATGATGGACAAAGCAGTTTCCTCTTCATTCACCAAGGAGCAGGAGAACACCTCAATACTCTGTAGGCTGCACGACATCAGCTTGTCCTTGGCCTTGGGACGGAAACTCAGCACCGCTGTACTCTGACACCAAATGCATGAATGTGTTAGACAACTCAAATGTTACAAAATGAATCTTCATGATCATGCTAATGTCAGACATCTTCAGTACTATGTATACTTAACTTGTATTAAGTAAATTAGACAATGCTTGCTACTCATTGTCTCACCTTTTTCAAATTAAAAAATGTAAGTGTTTATTAGATTAATCAGCCTCAGACTGCCATCATTCAAACTCATTGCTTTAATCCACATCAAACAATTTCCACAGATTTATTATTGTATGAGAAAAAAATTGGCTTATAGGCAAAATTGCTAAATTTGGGATTTTTTCAATCCTTTCTCAGGAAAAATTGAAAGTTGGTACGATTTTTTGAAAACTGAGAAAAGTTCAAAATCAGCCAAAAGGCTGAATATTTTCTTTTGAGAGTAGTCCTTACCTTCAGTATGACAGCATTAGTATCCCAGGAAGTACTGTCCTCCACCACTACAAATTGAGTATCTGTTACATTGAGTTTAAACTCAAAAGGGACCTCCAGCTGTAACAGATCATTATTATATTACAGATAACATAAACAGCTCTACCTAATCACCAGAATATCATTGTAAGATTCTAATATTCGAGTCAAAGCAGAATTTCAAACTTCGCTTATCTCTTCAGCTCACCTCGTGGGAACAATGCTGGGAAAGAACAAATTCCAATCCAAGTTTAGAAAACTTATTTCACATCAAATTCAATTTCACATTTATAACTTATTGATATACACTGTCTATTTATAATATATACCTGTTCCACTATTGGTCCACGCTTGGTCATAATGCCTTGGGAGACTGTTAGGGGACTGTAGGCACGGGATCCAGTGGACATCGAGTCTGATAGCTGACTTTCCTCTGAAGCTCCAGAGGAGTTCTGTCTCTCCACCTCACATGCTTCTCGCTCTGAAGAGTAATTCACATAGTCCTTTTACTTATGTGAAAAATGTTATTTTTCCCTAGCTTTAGGATAGGACAGAGAAATCTATACTCGAGAAGACTCTTTAGCCTCAGGTTTGTCAGTACCTCTGACTCGGTGTCATCAGGGTTAATAACAGAACAATAAAATAACACTTGCTGGCTGTTCTATAGAATAATTAAAGGTATAGGTTGGTCGAGTACCAGGCAAATTGTGACACTAATATACTGTACAACTGGTAAAAATTTAGCATTTTTTATTTTAAGGAGAATATTTAATTCTGACCTCAAATTTTTTTTATCTGAACATAGGAGGATATCTAATTTTTGCAGTCATAGCTCCCAATAACATATTTCAATTATGTAACTGCTGATTTAGCAGACAATTACGAGGGTGACTGAAAAAGATTTGACAATGACTGATGTTTATTAAATTGAGTATCGAGTACCATGTAACAAATAATCTGTATCACATACAATTTTACGTGTTACAAACAACAGCTACTGTAAACTTAAAGATATCCTTAAATAATAGGCAACGGTTGAGTTGACTACTTCAGTAACACTTCATATCATAGATTTATTTTCCACATGTTTAATTTATTCATGGATGAATTTCTGTCAACACTTAAGTTAATGCCTAATAAAATAATGAAAAAATCATCCTTGTGAAAATGACCAGTCATATAAAAGTGTATAAAATCTATTATACCTGCAGCAAAAGGATCTTCAGGTTTGGTGAGTAGAAACTCCTGTAATGATAAGAACCAATCAAAAACACACATCAGTTTCATGTTGTGAAGTAAGACCATAAAGTGATTGGATTCCTTTGTCGCACGGTAGTGGAGCTCCATCTGGAGGCTAGTGCTGGTACTTCCAGGTTTCTGGCCATTCTGCAGGATTTTCTCAAACACATTGGGCCGCACATTGGCAGGGGCATCTTGAAAGAAACATAATGATTATTTATTCAGTGATGTCACTTGATCTTATGCACCACATATCTATTCTGAAATTAGTAAACAATAACTGAAATAACTGAAAAATCATTAAGTTATGTACTTCTTGTCAAGTAAAAAAAAAGTCACATTCTCATCCTAAAATATGAAATGATACTTGAACTTTTCATGCTAAAAAAAATTAAGTTCCAAAATTGTGAACTGAAATTGGGCCTAGGTTACTCTATGTCTATTCACCAAATAAGATTTCTAATGAAATAAATAAATTTACAATTACACAAGTTTGACATATTTCCATAATTTGACTAAAATAGAATTATCACAGAAATAATTATGTTTAATTCCCATACCCCGATATCTGGTGTCATAGGCAACAATTTCATGGGACACCAAGTCTACATCCTTAGATTGGTCAGAGTAACTATCGAAGGAGAAAGTGGACGAGATAAAATCCAGTCTGGCTACAGAGGACTCTGGACAGTCTGGCCCCTGTCCACTATGACACATCAGCAACTCTAAAGTCACATTGTTTAAGTCAATCGTCATTGACATTCCCTTCCAGACTTTACCACTCAGCACAGTCTGAAATACAAAGTGAAACAGACCTACAGCTGCAGTAAGATGTTGATATCTCAGTGTATCCTGTAATAAGCCTCAGGAGACAACAAATTCAGTAGGTCACAAGTCCTCTTCACTCCACACTTTGTCTCCATGTTTCTCTCTATGTTTGTTCTTTAACATTGTAACTAAAATAGTTTTCTTTTGTATTTAGTATACTAATTTAGAAATTTCTGCGATGCAAGAAATTTACATCAATTTATTATAGTGAAATAGACTACTAGTATAATGTACTACACATTTTGGAACCCATATTTATTTTAATTAGCAGCATTTCCTTTCATTGTTTCAATTCACAAAAGTTATTTGCAAGCAAATACCCTTTCACTAATTAGGGCATTTTCATGTTTCTACTTCAACACCAAAAGAATTTACATGTTGGAGATTTTATATATGTTTGATACTTGTTCAAAAGACAGGTGAAGAAAGCTGTGTCTTTTAGTGAGATTGAAAACATCATTGCTTTTAAAGTCTTGGAATATGACAGGATATACAACTCTCATTTATATGTGACAAGAACCACAGTAATACTAAAAGTATGAACCTACCTCAATCTTTGGGTCTTGTAGGTGTGACATCATTGGTCGTTTGAATTCCTCCAGCTTCTCACCGAGATTGTGTTCAAGAATTCCACGGATAAGTTTATACTGAACCAGATCCAGAGAACAGTGGACCGAGGATAGAGCTCCCTGGATCTGCCAGTCTGGTGCTGAGTGACTCACAAGATTTTCCAAGTTCCTCTCTATGTGTAGCTTCAGGAGAATCTTCTCTTTTAGAGCCCTAGCCCCCTATAGAAGCAAGCATATTTTATATGAACAAATACACAACATTATCAACTCCAGTGAAATTATTAATTTTGTGGGGGATTTAGTTTCATGGATGTCATGGGTACTCTTTATCCACCAATTCATGCGTTCACAAACTGTTGAAATCAGGGTAAGTAAATTTATTGAGCTATCTGTATCCATAAAACAGGCATTCTGTGAAAAAAAACCTTCAAAAATTGTCTTTACAATACCTGAGATCTATTTGCAGTTGTTGAATTTGAACATTAAAATTTCATTCTCCTGGCTCAGTATATCATATGATTTGTCAGAAACATGGGTGGGTTTTAAATTTTGGTGGTTGCTATCCATTATAATTAAAATTGAAATAGTGTTGAGAGATGAAAGCTTAAAAGTTTGATAAATTGTGGATATACAAACAGATTAATGAAGAAAATCCTCACAAAAACTATGATTTCACTGTAAACCCAACAATGTTCATAGAAACATACTAAGTAAGAACTGAAAAGAATATAGATATGATTTTATTTTTCTGTAAGCAGTTAATGCTACAATAAAGTAAGAAACAAACTGAATATCTATTAACATAATAAAAAACCTTGTTTAAGATTTCTTTAATTCTTCCTAAGTAGTTATAATTTACCTGGCGCTTGATCACACAATCTGTGAATTCCAGATCTTGATTCTGATCCATCTGGTTGTATGAAGCTTTCTCCACCCTCTCAGCAGAAAACAGATCCATGTCTGCCAGCTCCACAGCCAGTACGTCTAACAAACAGTTGTGACGTGGACTATCCAGGAAGTCTCCTCCGCTACTACAAGCTGGTGTCAGATACTCGGCAGATGTCAGCTCTGTACAGCTACTAGCAGATTCAACATTAATTGTGTTTTCCAGATTTAACCCCAAGCTTCTGGTGAATGGATTGTCCATCATCATTACTGGAGAGGTAATGTTAACACTAGATGAAGGTGAGAACATGTCTACGCTAGAGTCTTCTGGTGTTATATCTGGTGAAGAATCTGGAGGAGAAAGGTCTGTGGGATCATAAGATTCTAAGGAGCTGGGACCACTCTGCACTGTTTCTTCCGTAACATCCCCACCAAGGCTTCCATAAACACCAGCTGTCATAGGGTCAAGCATGCTTGGCTGTGGAGGGTTAAATTCATCAAACAAACTCTGAGTCATGACATGGGTCTCTGAAGGAGACGACTCACTGCTGGGAGTAGATGCAGTTGTAGCAGACTTTGATGTAGTTGCAGGCTGTGGGTTTGGATGTGTCGTTGTTGGAATGTTCTGTTCTCTCTTGACAGTCCCTGATAGTATTGTTCCTTCGTCACCATCGTACACAAAGCTGTTTCTCACTGTGAGATTTCCAAGATTCATGACAAGGATGTCAGTGGACTTAGAGCTATGGGGAATGAGGATGATTGGTGCGTTAGCTTCGATATCCAAAGTGATGCGAGCACCACGACTGGCCTTTTCTGCTACCTAGACAAATAAAAAATACAACTCATTGCTGGACCAACTTCGCAAATCTATTCATGTCTGATTCTATATATATTACTCATATCCTAAATCTTAAAGTATCTGTATTTATATTCAATCACAATAGGATTACATAAAGTCTAGTATCTACTTTCATATCTACTATTAATCATTAATTAATGTAACTCAAATCAAGTACCATAATTATCCTGCAGTAAGCTCATGTATGGTACAAAGCCTATTCCATATAATGGCTGTTAGTAGGTTATAAATCAATGCTATTTCTAAGTCAGAAGTAACAAATACAATAGGCAAAACATCCAAAATCAGGACCAGAAATAATTTATATGTTGGTACCTTTTTACCAGCTGATGCTGCCCTCATTTGTCCGAGGATATCCTGCAGCTGTAAGAAGTTCTGTATGAAGGCCACAAATTCCATCTGGAAGTGGTTGGTATGTGTGTACCGCACTGATGCCATGCGAAGTTTTAGTGAGATGTCTTCATCTCTCTCCAGGTTTGGGTCAGGTAAGCCATACCTGTTGGAAAAGAGTGAAATGTGTAACCTCATTGGTATAAGATATCAAACTTTTAACACCAATAAAGATCCGAATAAGGTAACAAAGATGTTAAGTATATGTTAAGTAAAAAAAATTTAAACAACCTGGAAATTTCTGAATATCTATACATCTCTAGGAACCAAACTTAAAACTGTCTGATATGAAGCAAGATAAAAAGAAAAAATCCATGATCTGACTACAGTACTCACTTGAAGAAATCAAACACAAGTGCCTGCTTGCCTACAGTAATGAAACGCTCCCTGTAGAGAGCACCGTGAGGAGAACAGTCCCTGAGGGAGATGTTTCCGAGCTGCCCTGACATACTGAAGTTTCCTTCCCTTGCCTGGATATGAGATGACCATTCGGAGATGTTGGCTCGGGCCAGTTCATACTCAGGTTTGTTAAACATAAGACTCAGGCTCTTCACCTTCAGATTTATCACAGAGTTCACAAACACTTTTGCTTCTTCTGTAAACAAAACAAAAGTTTCATATTCCTGAAATGTTGATCTGACAAATACAAAGCTTCCATAAAACTGCTAGGTAAACAGGTCTCAGCAAGGGTATGTAAGAATATGTATGCTCTTCTATTCATGATTTTGAATCGTTAATTAATGTAAATTGACCCTTGTATGATGCCACTCTTTCAAGCGCCGTTAATTAATTTAATTTGACATAACATGCTACCTATATCTGTTTTGGAGATTACATTTTACCTTGGCATTTTGGTGTGTTTACCTAAGACTAGGCTTCAAGATGGAGAATTTTGTAAACAAAATTAATTTGATATCAAATAATGGTAGAGAAACACAATTATCACTCAGCAGAGGTTTTACAGGGATATCAGTATTGATAAACTTTGTGCCACTAAGTAGTCAATGTGGATGATTAGCATTGATCATACAAAGTGTAGAAAGTCATAATTCTATCAAAAATAAAGTACAGCATCTTTTTGTTTTCTTTTAGTAACGTCTGTAGGTCACATTCTAAATAGAACTTGTGAAACGAATCAAAGCATTGGTAATGGAACATTGAAAAAAATAGGTCTGAGGTTAGGCCTTGTTTGTACTGTTTGAAGCAGAATATGATGTACTGTTGTAAAATCGAGTTGTGTAAATTAGCGATTAATTTTTGTTATATTACAATACTGTCAGACAGACACATTGACAGTAAGAAACGTCTGTATTTCTCTGGAGTCAAATGATAACTGCAAGCTAAACATGGGTAATCAAGAGAATCCTCAGAATTGTACTTAGGGTATACAGTAAACTACAGTTTAATTTCAAAACCTGTCAAAATCTAGATAAGTAGTTCATAAGAATGCATCTATACGTGACACTGGTAGTAAAAGTAATGTGGTGATATGTGTTTGATGTGTTATTGCAGTGTAAGTTGATCTAACATTAAAAGTCATTTAACTGAGTTTTATCCCTTACAATCTGAAGTGATGGACTACCTTAAAATACATTGTGTGTTATATATATATATATATATATAGGATTTTACATGTGTTTCGATTTGACATGTGATTTCTGAAAGATTCTAGGAAATTAAAATTTTCGTGAGCCTTTGCAGATATCAAACGGAAAGAAACTAAAGACCCATTTTATCAGATAATTATTAAAGCAAATATGGCAGAAAATGGACATTTCTGTGTCAGGCTTAAAGGTCATTTCAGGGCTATATCTACAGTTTTCATTGTCATTGTTATCGTAAAACATTTACTGGGATTTACCTTTTTTGATCCCTTACCTTCACTCGGTTTGATTTCTTGCTCTTTTGCACTGGGAGTACTTGGCTCAGAGATACTGACATCATGAACCTTTGCACCAAGTCCGAGGAAGTCGAGAAGAACAACCCAGGTTTGTTGATTTATGTTTGCTTCTAAGCAGTTGAAGTCTACATCTACAAATCTGTTGGTCTGTAAACAGAAGAGTTATAGGAGTCAGACATTGAATATTTAGGGCTTCAATTAGAGAATAAGTTGCTTTATGATTGCCTCTTCTCAGTGACAAACTTTTTCTGTTAATTATCAATTCAAATTTATATGTTACAATATATCATATACACAATCTTATAAAATATTGTTTCCTTGAAAATATATCTATTCTACACAATCAAACTATTGTTTACCTGACAATATATCCATACACAATCTTTCAAACTATTGTTTACCTGACAATATATCTATAAACAATTCTTCTAACTATTGTTTACCTGACAATATATCAAAACATAATCTTTTAAACTATTGTTTACCTGACAATATATCAATACATAATCTTTCAAACTATTGTTTACCTGACAATATATCTATAAACAATTCTTCTAACTATTGTTTACCTGACAATATATCAAAACATAATCTTTTAAACTATTGTTTACCTGACAATATATCAATACATAATCTTTCAAACTATTGTTTACCTGACAATATATCCATACATAATCTTTCAAACTATTGTTTACCTGACAATATATCAATACACAATCTTTCAAACTATTGTTTACCTGACAATATATCAATACACAATCTTTCAAACTATTGTTTACCTGACAATATATCTATAAACAATTCTTCTAACTATTGTTTACCTGACAATATATCAAAACATAATCTTTTAAACTATTGTTTACCTGACAATATATCAATACATAATCTTTCAAACTATTGTTTACCTGACAATATATCAAAACATAATCTTTTAAACTATTGTTTACCTGACAATATATCAATACATAATCTTTCAAACTATTGTTTACCTGACAATATATCAATACACAATCTTTCAAACTATTGTTTACCTGACAATATATCAATACATAATCTTTCAAACTATTGTTTACCTGACAATATATCAATACACAATCTTTCAAACTATTGTTTACCTGACAATATATCAATACATAATCTTTCAAACTATTGTTTACCTGACAATATATCCATACATAATCTTTCAAACTATTGTTTACCTGACAATATATCTATAAACAAATCTTCTAACTTCCAATTCTGTGTTTATTTTTCCTTGAACGTTTCCCTGACATTTCCCACCAAATACTCAGAAAAAATGAATGGCAACGAAAATAAATATTTGAGCTTTATACTGAGAGGACAAATCATGAAAAAATAAATTATGTCTGATACACAACTGATATTTAACAATGATACAGGTGATGATGTTTACATTTGACAGTTAATGAGAAAAAATTAATTCACACATCACATCAAAATTTTATTTTAGAATTAAAAACTGATAAAAAAAACCCCAAGGTTTCCAAAATCTAATCCTTTGTCTTTAGCCTTGTTTTTTTCATACTGAACTGAAAAGATTAACACTTACCTTATCAAACTTTGAGACATACTCTGGAGAGTGCTTGTCCACCAGAAGTAAACTAATGTGTACTAGGGTGTCGTCCCTGGTGTCACATACTGACTGTTTCCTTGACAACATGGGAGAAGGAGGTGGGGTCTTTGGATACAGCCCAGCCCTGGCAATTGGGAAGTAAATGCTGATGTCACAACGAGCTTCATCAGAATTGTAGCAAGTACTTACAGAAACAACATTTTTGAAGACTGATTTAAAAGTTAAAGGATCAGCATATAGATTCCAGCCCTAATTTTGTGAAAACAACTTATCATTATCAACATAAAAAGATATAATGATTTAGTAAATTAAATATGATTCTCAATACTGTAGTAACCTTTTTCTTAGCTATATATATGATGTTAAGCTTTATATCATGTACAGCTTTTTACACCTATGTGAATCAAACATTACTGAAAAAGATTGGTTTAAAGTGTTTAGTTTTTTCAAGTGTCATTGTACTGTGCTGTGTCTATATCATATACTTACTTTACAGGTACATGAACAGCAGATGATCTCGACTTTCTCAACATTCCAAGGGGCTCCGGGACTTGTTCAATCGAGGGGGATAGCATAGTGTGGGGAGGTAACTCTTGGTGGAAACTGGATGGAAGCGAACGGGGCATTATTGGGGTAGGAGCTATAATCATGCTGTCTGGACACGACCTGGACAGGAACTGTTTCAGATCATCCTTCTTATCATCCTTGTCTGCTGAAAAGGCTCGCGACAAAATCAGGTATCTGTGTGGCGAGTCTGGGTTCTCAAGCAAGTCTTCAACAGTTAATGACTCCAAGTGAATGTTTACATTGGAACAATAATTTGTACTTTTCTCATATTTCAAAAGGAAATTATCCAATTTCAAATCTACTAACCCTTTCTCCCCTTCACCAAAATCACCTTTCATTTCAACATTAAACACAGGTACTTCAAATTGGACTCTTTTTGTCATAGGTTTTTCAGGGGGCTGTGATATTGACCTTGTGAAAGATGTAGGTACATTTGTTGTTTCAGACAGGTCTGGAATCTCTGATTCAAGACATTCACTAGTTTTTGAACTGTCAAATGGTCCTGCCGTAATACCTGAATTCTGCTCTCTAATTAAGTGAACATTGTAAGTCATGTTATCTATAGTCTGAAGGAGCTGTTCGTACACTGCTTTGGACAATTCCACTTTAAGCGGTGTTGCGATTTTAGCCGATATGTCCAAGATGTTGCTTACTTCTTCCAAAATTACATTTTTTCGTTTACCATCCTCCTCGAACATTTCTTCACCAAAGCACCAGCCAGCCGAGCTTGTGTCTTCCTGAGGAAGAATATTCACAGGCCCTGGCTGGATATAGTCCACAATCATTTGAACTGTTGTATTATGAATTATTGTAATACCAAATTGGTCCAATGAATGCATGAATGTCTTGCTATACTGTGACAAAGACAAGTCTGTCGGAAGGTCACATTTCAGATCGACTGAACAAAGATTCATATCACGCATTTCCATCAGCATTCTGTTGCGACTGATCCCCGCTACCTCATCCTCGTCCTGTTCTTCTGTAGATAAATCACTATTGCTGATGGAAATCTGTCCAAGCTGGGCAACAAAAGCCTGTGGATTGTTAGAGGATCTAGGAACCACTATCACAGGTGATGCTAGTTGAATATTCATGAGTAAAACTCTCGTCGAAGCATTGTCTGATGATTGTTCTTCTAAATCTGGACATGAAAATGACTGTTGTTTGTTCATAGAAGCCTGCCTGTTAAGACAGGCACCAGACATCCTCTTTCCATCTGGAGACATGAAATCTCCAATCACAGTTTTACTTCCGATCACAGATGTGTCTAACTTACTGGAAATTATTTCCATGGCAACCTCTGCTGCCGCTGTTTTTATAGACTCTGCAAAAACAGACATGTATTCTTTGAATTCTGAAAAACACAAAGAAATTTCATGGAGTATTCTAGGAGAGTGGATGTATGACATGGAAGCAACATGTAGCTCAAGATTTGAAATATTCTGGTCAATTCCTGTCTCATCTTTTGTTTCATCTAAATCCATAGAAAAGTTTTGAACAGTTTTCGACCTCTGCATGCCACGAGTATAATGAAAGGACAAAGCTTTTGCATCAGATTCATTTTCTTCATCAAACATGGATTCATGGGCAGTTTTGTACATGAAGCTGGGCTGGTAACAGGAGGCTGACATGGCTGTGTTGTCCTCACTGGAGTCATAACCCACACTAAACACCTGTTGGTACTGTGGTATATCTGGTGTGATGTCCAGTACATGGAAACCTCCTAGAGACCCTGACAAATCCAAGTCTTTCCCTGCAATGTTACAAACACTCCATTTTATTATTCATTTCATTTACTGGTGTTAGGGGAGGGATGGAGGGGGGTTAGAAGGTGGGGGTGGGAAGGCAGGGGGTGGTGGGGGAGCGGCTTGAGAAGGGAAAAGAGATACAAAATATTCTGAAAAATAGATGCATATTGATGCAATAAAATACGCATTGTTCCATAGCTTCCTTGAAAAAACATCAATTTTTTGGTAACATCTAGACAATATGTGACATAAAAAAAACAGACAATAATTGTTCAATATGGTAATTTCAGAACCTTTTGAAATAAGATATATAAATAAAAAATCTCACACACTAGTCATTATCCATGTCTATTGCTGTTCTACAGCATTACCAAATAAATAACGCTGTTTTTCACATCTAAATCCTGACTTCCAATCATAATTAAACCTTTAAGCTCCTGAGCTTACTGCAAGAGCGAGGTTACAGCGATTTCATTATACTTATGTTTGACATAGAAAATACAATATTTCTCATAATTTGACGGTCAATGTTGAAGTGATTCTAAATGAAGTATACATTCTTTTCATCACTTTCACCAAAACCAGTACTTTCGCATTAATCACATACCAAGTGTTGCTTGTATTTTAGCTGATGACATTGTTGCTGTGGCTACTTTTCGTGCATGCTTGACCCCGCGGACATCCTCCAAGTGGATCAACAACAGACTAACTCGGTGGAACTCTGCTGTCACTTCCTGGTGTGGCCTAGTCCCCTGTAGTCATACCAACAGTACATCCATGTTACCTTGGATACTTCAAGATAAATTGCTTTTTATCTCAAACACACATCTAACATTAGTGGCCATTTCCTGTTGCATTTATCAAACTGAAAAACCTCCTTTGTTTATGAACAACACAGGCTAATTTCAAGTAACACAGGACTTTTGTTCACGGCCGAGGCAATCATGTGACGTTATAATAACACTATGTACTTTGATTAGATTGGTGCATTACACTGGCAGAATAGGCCAATCACATGACTAATATTATTCAATATATCCAATACAGAAGATGACTGAAGATGAATGAACGGTATTTACTGATTGGCAGATTTCCACCTACCTCATCTGTCCATACAGAAACACTGAGACTATGTGATGACAAATTAGCAGACTGCGACCTCACTAATCTGTCTATACTGAGATAATGGGACTATGTGTGATAAATTAGGAGATTTAGACTTACCTAATCTATCTGTACAGAAACATTTGGGCTCTGTGTGATCATAAAATAACAGACTTAGACCTACCTCATCTATCTGTACAGAGACATTGGAGTTATGTGTGATGATAAATCAACAGACTTAGACCTACCTCATCTGTCCGTACAGAGACATTTGGACTCTGTGTCATAACAGATGGCTGTGTCCAGGCTGGAGATGTGGAAGAGGCAGAAAATGAAGAATCCTTCTGTGGGCTGATCGTTTTACAAAAACTCAGTAGCTCCACAATGGTCTCTTGGTTACCTGAACAACAGAGGACAAAACAAGAATTATGCACAATTACATTGTATGTTTTTACCTCAAAAATACATAAAATGATATCCATATCATCTCTTTAATAGGTTTAGATATCCATACCTTAATGTAACTATACTCAAGGTTTAATTGAAATAGTATATTTGCTTTATGAGAAACTAAAAACAAACAGTCCCTGCATTCTAAATCCTAGAAGATATTTAAAGTTAATGATTGGTTTGCTGAGATTTCCTCTACATGATTTAGCTATATACACCATGTTCGGTTTTAGTATGGAAGCCAGAAAAGTAAAACTATAGTCTCAATTTTGTGACGTTAACAGTTTTGTCTTGCTTGCAACTGTAAATCTTGGATATATCAGTAAATAAACAATGCTTATATCAAATTTCCCATTGATAAATTTTAAGTTTTATCATTCTAAATCAACATACATTGCATTATCTATCACATCTAGGCTGTTGAACTGTAGGGTGATCTTACCTATAATATCTAGGTTGTTGAGCTGTATGGTGACCTTACCTATAATATCTAGGTTGTGGAGCTGTCAGGTGACCTTTCCTATAATATCTAGGTTGTGGAACTGTGGGGTGATCTTACCTCTAATATCTAAGTTGTTGAACTGTCAAGTGACCTTACCTATAATATCTAGATTGTTGAGCTGTATGACAATCTTACCTATAATATCTAGGTTGTGGGGCTGTCGGGTGACCTTACCTATAATATTTAGGTTGTTGAGCTGTCGGGTGACTTTTAAATATCTAAGTTGTTGAACTGTCGAATGACCTTACCTCTGATATCTAGTTGTGGAGCTGTAGGGTGACCTTACCTATAATATCTAGGCTGTTGAACTGTAGGGTGATCTTACCTCTGATATCTAGGCTGTTCAGCTGTAGGGTGACCTTACCTATAATATCTAGGTTGTTGAGCTGTAGGGTGATATTACCTATAATATCTAGATTGTTGAACTGTTGGGTGACCTTTCCTATAATATCTAGGTTGTGGAACTGTGGGGTGATCTTACCTATAATATCTAGGTTGTGGGGCTGTCGGGTGACCTTACCTATAATATTTAGGTTGTTGAGCTGTCGGGTGACTTTTAAATATCTAAGTTGTTGAACTGTCGAATGACCTTACCTCTGATATCTAGTTGTGGAGCTGTAGGGTGACCTTACCTATAATATCTAGGCTGTTGAACTGTAGGGTGATCTTACCTCTGATATCTAGGCTGTTTAGCTGTAGGGTGACCTTACCTATAATATCTAGATTGTTGAACTGTTGGGTGACCTTTCCTATAATATCTAGGTTGTGGAACTGTGGGGTGATCTTACCTCTGATATCTAGGTTGTGGAACTGTCGGGTGACCTTACCGCTGATATCTAGGTTGTGGAACTGTGGGGTGACCTTACCTAAAATATCTAGATTGTTGAGCTGTCAGGTGACCTTACCTATAATATCTAGATTGTTGAACTGTAGGGTGACCTTACCTATAATATCTAGATTGTGGAACTGTAGGGTGATCTTACCTATAATATCTAGATTGTGGAGCTGTCAGGTGACCTTACCTATAATATCTAGATTGTTGAACTGTAGGGTGATGTTACCTATAATATCTAGATTGTTGAACTGTCGCGTGACCTTACCTATAATATCTAGATTGTGGAACTGAAGGGTGACCTAACCTCTGAAATCCAGATTGTTGAGCTGTCAGGTGACCTTACCTATAATATCTAGATTGTTGAACTGTAGGGTGACCTTACCTATAATATCTAGATTGTTGAACTGTAGGGTGATCTTACCTATAATATCTAGATTGCTAAACTGTCGAGTGACCTTACCTGTAATATCTAGATTGTTGAACTGTCGAGTGACCTTACCTATAATATCTAGATTGTTGAACTGTCGCGTGACCTTACCTATAATATCTAGATTGTGGAACTGTAGGGTGACCTAACCTCTGAAATCCAGATTGTTGAGCTGTCAGGTGACCTTACCTATAATATCTAGATTGTTGAACTGTCGAGTGACCTTACCTATAATATCTAGATTGTTGAACTGTCGCGTGACCTTACCTATAATATCTAGATTGTGGAACTGTAGGGTGACCTAACCTCTGAAATCCAGATTGTTGAGCTGTCAGGTGACCTTACCTATAATATCTAGATTGTTGAACTGTAGGGTGTTCTTACCTATAATATCTAGATTGTTGAACTGTCGAGTGACCTTACCTATAATATCTAGATTGTTGAACTGTCGTGTGACCTTACCTATAATATCTAGATTGTGGAACTGTAGGGTGACCTAACCTCTGAAATCCAGATTGTTGAGCTGTCAGGTGACCTAACCTCTGAAATCCAGATTGTTGAACTGTCGAGTGACCTTACCTATAATATCTAGATTGTTGAACTGTCGCGTGACCTTACCTATAATATCTAGATTGTGGAACTGTAGGGTGACCTAACCTCTGAAATCCAGATTGTTGAGCTGTCAGGTGACCTTACCTATAATATCTAGATTGTTGAACTGTAGGGTGTTCTTACCTATAATATCTAGATTGTTGAACTGTCGAGTGACCTTACCTATAATATCTAGATTGTTGAACTGTCGTGTGACCTTACCTATAATATCTAGATTGTGGAACTGTAGGGTGACCTAACCTCTGAAATCCAGATTGTTGAGCTGTCAGGTGACCTAACCTCTGAAATCCAGATTGTTGAGCTGTCAGGTGACCTTACCTATAATATCTAGATTGTTGAACTGTCGAGTGACCTTACCTATAATATCTAGGTTGTTGAACTGTAGAGTGGCTATCTGTAATGCCCCCTTCCCTGTAGTATTACTCGGTGAATTCTCATTAATGAGTTCGAGGTCGATTGATATAAGTGCTTCCTCCTCAACTGTCGGTATCAATTCTGCAGACTCATTATCATCAAGGTTCAGACCAAGAGTATGGGAGCCTGAAAAAACAGCACAACACATTTCATATAGAGACAAACAGCACAACATTTCATATAGAGACAGAGATAAAAACGTAATGAACCCATCAGAGTCAGGCTGATTATATTTACATTAATATCAATATCATTTCAAGTCATATTTTTTATCAAACATTTCAAAACAAAATTCTTCAATATATTAGAAGAATTCTGTTCTTAAACTAAAATGTAATTCTTTATTTTGAGAAACCAACGATGACAATTTAGTCAGAGATTATCCTCTGACTCCGGAAAAGTCAGCATGAATACTAATTTGATTCATTACCTAACAACAGTTGGCTTTATTGTGTAGTACCATATTGAAAAATTTGAAAAGTCCCTTTTTCCCAATGTCTTTTTTCCCTGAAAAACTCCATAATTTGGAATTTTTCTAATACTGTGAAATAAATCAACTGTAACCCTCATGATGCCCACTCTTTAGGATATCACTTTCCACACCTAACTGATATCGCAGTCAAACAGATTTTGAAATTTGCAATTTTGCAGTTGGTTTGATACTTCATGGATCAACAAAATACCATATTTAACAGATTTTTTTTGATAAGTAGAATTCTCAAATAAAACAGTTTCAAGTGATCATAAGAATTAGATGTGACTTGAATCAGCTCACCAGAGTTGACGAGGGCCTGGAAGGTTTTGGAGATTGCCTCCTGCACCACTTTCAGACTAGTACTGGATGCAGACTCATTCAGGGTCTCCATAGGGGAGTGTGGGGAAGTGGGGGACATTGGGGACCCAGGTGACACTGCCTCAGAGCCGCGGATACTTCCACTCCTACTGTCTAGTCTGATAAAACAAAGAAATACCCATATCACAGTCATGTATATGTGATACAAGGAAAATCTATTTAAACTTATTCTTAATGGTCCAATATCATTTATGAGATTAATTCAACATCAGCAATGGATGGATACACAAACTGTCTGCCATCATATCTCATTTTAGTAATTCTATTGGTACTTACGTGACATTTTTATGTGAAGCTACAAGCAATTCAAAGTCTGTTCCGTATGGTTGAAGGGCATCCACAACAAGGAGGCTATGTACTGTAAGGCCAACCTTTGTATCATAGGGACGTTTTGTCAGGTTTGCGTTCACCTTAGTCACCTGCAGCTCCACGATAGGACGACCTTAATTAACAATAAATGTGAAAGAGCCTTCAAATATTTGAATTAACAGCACAAGAACACTGATTGAGAAGGAGATCTTCTTCAATCAAGTCTGATAAATTAACAGTAATGTTGACCTGTTAACTTATACATCAATAAAAATAAAAACAGTTCAATGGTTATCTTCTTCCTTTACAGGTTACTCTGCCTATACTTAAAATTTGTATCATCAACTATAATCAGTGTTAACATTGAAGTTCCATGAACAGCGTAAGGAGATATAGAACAGGGGACAATGATGCCCATTTGTTGACCTATACCAAGCACCTACCTCCCAACTTAATTTACCAAGAAAAACAACAATACAGACTCAATACCTAAACTAATCCTTCAGTTCAATACATCTGGAATAAAATAAACTGTACTTCAAAAATTCTTTGTGTATTAATTAGCTCAACAATATTAATTGCTGTTCAGTAGAACTACTAAATAAAGTCATTTCATTTTCCAGTAAGAAGCCTATCACGGATTTTGAGACTGTACTTGTCTCATGGGCTTATTGCAAGATAAATTTGGTAATAGAAGTGAGTATTGATCAATAATGCTGACCTCTACTCTGGACCTCCAAGGTCATAGCATTGATGGTAAATTTTGCCAGCATTAGTCGAGAATCTTCTAATACTTCTTTCATCTTGTCACTCATCTTCTTCTCAGATGCAGAACTGTAACAGTGACAGAAAAAACATATCACATCCTACACAGCTGTATGAATGGCTATCTGCTATACTACATACATGTTCTTTAAGGTAAATACATGGTAGGTTATACGCTCGTACACCAAAATAAACTATGTAGGTAGGAACTTTTTTGACAACACACATTCTCAAATACCAGGCCAATTAACCCAAATCTGATTTATTCCTTTCAATAATTAAGATGATATGTAACATCAGTATTAAGTTCAAGTTTGGTTCCTTTTACTTTTGAAATATTTTTTTACAAATTTTGAGACTTTGACCAAATCAAAATTTAATACTGCTAAAAAACTGAAATAGTGACAATAACTATTATTAATTATGTACCAACCTCCCTTCTTAAATGGAGGTTAGGCGGGAGTGAAATTGTATTTAATAGTGTTTCATCTATTGAATAGATGCTGTTACTAAATCAGGGCCAATCCAAATCAAAAGCTGAAATAGTAATAAATCCCTGACGAAGTAACAACAGATGTACATACCTGGAGTTAAGTGACACATTGTTGCTATGAGAGCTGAGATCTACCCCTGACATGGACTCTGTCATGGACACGCCACTGCCAGAGGATGACAAGTCAGGGCCTAGCGCGGAGGAAGCAGACGTAGGCTGACTCAGGGTCTCCACACAGCGGTGAAGGGCAAGCATCTGTAGAAACAGTATCATCTCAGATTAATTATTTTCTACAATGTACATGGATCTAAAAGCATCTCACCATCTTTATATCATGTTAAAAGTTGTAATTAAAACATATCAATCTTCCAAAACTCATTTTGCAGCAGCACCAACTTCCATGATTAAATTTTCAGAAATCTCTATCAAAATTTGGTGAAGGACGAGTGCACATCAAAAGATCACGGTTAAATATTCACAATTCACAATAAAGGTATAAAGTCTATTTCAATAATGAAAAGATTGATCAATTATAGGTCACGCTCACCTTTTGTTCATTAATATGAAGAGTAAGACAAGGCATATTTCCACTTAGTGTTGTGGTCGGCCATTCTGGATCAGGAGTGTAGATCAGACGTCTGAAAATAAATGGCATAAATATCTAACTTCTACTTCTCTAGAACAATGAATCATTTATATATTTACTAGGTAAGATATTACTAACAGTGATTTACAGCATGTAATGCAACTAATCCTGGAATAACTTTAGTAATCAACCTTTATTACTTCTTAATATTTGCTTTGTTAGGTCATACTAGATGTACAGTTTGCAAATAAAACTTCAACTAGAATTTCTTTGATATCAGGAAACATACCTCTCAAACTGGAGGTTGAGACTGAGTTTGTCAATGACATGAAAGTGAGTGGAACTGCGACTCCCACGAGTATAGCGCCAGTTATCTGACATCTTTCCAACCATCACCTGGAGATCTGATAACTCCAAATTATATCTAAAATAATAGAACAGTGATAATAAATAATGTTATCAAGGTGAGATTTTCAACAAGGACACAAATGGAAAATTCATAAAAGATTAAAGACAATGTATGATCACATTTTCAGACTCTTTCTTTAAACCCGAAATTTTGATATTTTGACAGTGTTGACATTGAATTACTGATGAGAGTGGCTATAAATAAGATATAATATCAAGATGTTCACAAAATACAAAAAGATTATAAAAAAAGTAGTGTGGTCATATCAATTCATTGAAAGTGATAGAAAAAAAACATTGTGAATGTTGAATTAATATTAATAGATTCTGTCCTAATACTTCATTACCAGCTACCTACTTGTCATAAAGTTTCTCAAACAGCGCTGATTCTGACAAGCTATGGTCTAGAGGATTACACTCTGGTTTTGCCTCTTCTACCCCACCTTCCACTTCATTAGGAGGTGTTGATAAGGGAGTCTGAAACTCGTCTGTAAAACGGAAGGAATCAACTTTACCATATCAACCACCCCTACTCATTTTCCTCTTTTGGTGAAATTATTTATCGTGACTTCGTTTTTGTGAAAATAATTTGGATCTGAAATCTTGTGAAATAAATCATTACTAAAATGATTTTTATCATTTTATGATTTCTCTTCAAGTAACTAGCTGTCATTTTTCTTTGTGAAATAAATTGGAATTTCTTGTCCAGACTCACCATCATTTTCTTCTACTGGTTTCTGATCTTGCTGTTGTGGTGACGACAACTTTTTGTTATAGACGTGCAGATGTCCCAAATCTATAACAACTACACGAGTGTCAACATCCGCTAGATTTTCTGGCACAATGATTTGTGGGGCAGAAATGTCTAATTTTATGTCCCATCTCTTTGCTTGCAACTAAAATCAAACAAAAAATAACCATTAAAGCAGAGTTTTGACTTTTCTAATAAGATAAAAACTGAATTATCACAATTAAAAACCAAATAAAAATTAATTTTAAATCAACATTATCTTTAAATGAGAACAATTTCCTGAATACCTTTTCATCTCCTTCTAATATCTGGTCAAGAGTTTGTTTCAGTTCAGCTTTAGTTTGTTCTTTCAGGAACTCATATTGGCGTCTTGCAGCAGCTAAAACAGGAAAGGTAATCTTCAGTATGCTTGAAAAACATTACTTTTTGAAGGGGATTTATTTTCATCAATTCTGTAGGTACTCATAGTCTACAAATTTATATGTCTACTAGATTAGTATAAGTAGATTGACTGAACTATGCTTAGCAACAAAAGCTATTGTCTATGAAATAGTGATTTGTTGAAAAACCACGAAAATTGTGACCCCCAGAAGTCTATGATTTCAGAGTAATTCGAAGGTTTTGTACTACAACAACTCACTGACATTTCCTATATTGATGTTTATGAGTAATGGTTATCAGCAAAACTGATAATGCTATTTTTGCCAACCATATTTCTATGTTATTTACTTTTAAAAAATTTTGAAGATCAAAATAAACAAAAGATATTTGCTACAAATAAAGATAGGGACAATAAACAATGAATTTCACATAAACTTAATATTAGGGAAAGTAAACATATTTGTCTGTAATCTATTTAGTGAGAAGCTTTGGAACCTCAAAATGCTTAAACATACCTGTAAGTCGGAGCTGTGATGAACGAGAAGTTCCCATGTTTTTGGTAGAGAAAAATTCTCGTATTTTCCTGATAGTACTTGGATTATACACAATATCCAATGGTTTGGTTTCTATTTTAACTCTGCAAAACAATACAATATATTTATCCATAACTATGTAAATATTTATACAATGATGGAATGAATAATACTTGTCTGAGGTGATGCATTCAACTGTGTAAAGAATCAAGGATTCATACTGTAATCAAATGATGATGATTTTTCTGGTGGTACAGTGGTAAGTGCAAACCCCTGATGTGGTAGGTGCAAATCCCCTGATCAGATATGAGAAGGTGTGGTGTAATCTACCTGATCCAGACAGTTTTCCTAAGGTTCTCCTGTTTCCAAACACGGTGCACTTCAAAATTTGGCAAGAGTAGTTAATATTAACTATTTAGCTTGTTTGCAACTGTAATAAAATAAATGAGGTTTTTGTTTTTTTGGAGGGATGGGGACTTGAGAAACATCCTGCTCAGAGTATTGGCTATTAGATACCTGTAGTTTGCATTGGTATTAGCAGGGTTCTTCTCATACATCAGTTGAAATATTTTCTCCTCAGGAACACTAGCAGTCGGACCTCCCTCTGGTGACTTGGGGATATGTAGAGGAGGCAAGGAAAAGCTGGAGTTGGGTGATTTTGAATGGGAGGCTAAGCGATCCTACAAAGAAACAGCAGTAATGTTCATAATTTTCTTTTCCCCTGGAGTTCTAACAACTTTTGAGTTTACAGATTCCAGTAAAGAGGGTTAGTATTGAAGATAACAATGCATAATACCAGAAAAAATATCTTTTGCAAAATTTATGACAGATTTTAGACTATGATAAACTGAAACTAAATCAAGGATTGCTAATCTTAAACTATGTGTACCAGTAATAATATATATTTGAAAATATGTGGACCTCATTTTTAACAAACGTCAGAAATATATTGAATAAAAAAGACCAATTGTTCTATTTTGACATCTTCATTCCAAATCTTTTGAGCCAAATTTTTTATAATGTAACTCCAGTGCAGTCACTTGACAGATACTGAAAATGTTGGACTTGGGGTTAAATACAGTCGTACTTACCTTAACTTGTGGTGATATCATGTTAGGAAAGCTGGTGTTTGTGATCATTTTGTCCCGTAGATATAGACCAGAGACACTGGCACCAAATTTCATGGCCTGAGTTCGCGGCCTAGATTCAAACATCATGCTAATAGTAGTACATTCCAGCTCTAACAGTGTCACCAATGGACGGCCCTCTACAACAGTGACATAAATACTTTAAAAATACAGATTTGTTCATGTTGGTTACTTACAAATTTTCCATCTCTATGGCTTTTTCTATCACTAGCTGTTGTCTTATCAACAAACGTCAGTGTTCTATAGTTGTACTATTACCCGTATATACAGTAGTAAGTCCTTCCACATCTATTGTAATTTCTGAAGAAATCTCAAAATTGTCATGTAATAACCTCTGACCCCTTTTTGGCCTGTAGTCTGAATACCTGAATACTTATACAAATTATTTGACCTGTTAATGCGTTATAATTTTTGGTTCTGTGTTCTTATTTTTTCTTATATTCTTTTCAACAATTAAATTTTACAAACACAGTATTGCATTAACATCAAACTAGCTTATAATGTGCATGATCTCCTTTTAATTTACTTACCATCTGACCTTTGACCTAATATCCCATCAGGGTTTGGACAGAGAAGCTTGAAAGAACCAGAGTCGAGGTTGAAATTGAGTCTGGCAAACACTGTGTCTTTCTTTAGGAATGTCATGTTCTCTGATGTGTCCTGTATTACATCCATCAACTCTTGTTCTGAAAACAGGAAACAACATTTACCAATTAAAACAGAAAAAAGGAAACAATATTATCAATATCATACATCATTCATTTTAGTGACTATATACATGTAATTCTTCTAGTAGTTGCACCAGTCAATATTTCAGTATTTAAGGACACAAGACTGACCAGATAGATATTGTGACATCATAATTCAGACTGACTTTGAATAAAATAGAAATGAAAGTTTCCATCAAATACTCATTGGGATCTCTATTAATATCTTTTTTATTATTAGATTAGTCACTAGGCAGCCTCGACCGAAGGCGAAACTAGTAGACAATTTAGTAAAGTACCCACTAACTGGTGACACTTGTTCTTGTTGCGATTAATCTCTAAGGTCTCATATCTATTATTTCATTAATCGCCCTGCATACCTTTGGTATTCAAGCCCAAGTGAAGCACCCCACTGAAGAAACTACTTACCTGATTTTGACGTTGGCTCTATTTTTCTTATTTAAAAAAAAAAAAAATATATATATATATATATATATATATATACAAAAAAAAATTGAAAACAGACATTAAACATCTAATTTGTTCATACCTTTTGACAAAATGCCTTGCAAAAATCACATCTGATAGTAATTTTGTGTTATTTTACAAGATGATTTAGGAAAACTATCACGCATGATAAAATAATAAACGATCTGATTTAAAGTTCAGCCTGGTCAAACATATAAACCTCTATACATGGATTAGTAAATCTCATATACCAAATAACCATACCTAACTGAGATTCAGTTTTGGCTAAACTCTCTGTTGTCTTTGCCAGTTTGGAAGGAGGCTCTTCTGAGCTGTCATCCAAGTTTTCCTTTCTGTCTTGTGACTGGTTTGTATCTGCTTTAGCTGCTCCATCCTCAGCCCCAGGGTCTGAAGTTCCGTACCATCCGCCCCACCCTGGGAACCAACGCTGCAACACACCCTTCTGTTCTTGTGGTTTTTCTTCAGAGGTCACAACCACTGGGGCAGGACTCACCTCTTTTGCAACAACCACCTTAATATATAAATTTGAAAAAAATCTTAACTCTGTATTATGAATCTACTGCAATTACTAGTTTTGCTTCCAAGTTACTTGACACTAAACAGCAATTTTTCACTTGTTAATATCTGATGGTAAAAATTTGAAACTAAAATGCTTTAAGTGGAAACAACACTAAAAAACAAAAAGACTACAACCAACTTTAAGTGTAACAAAACCGTAAACATAGGGTCTATGGGAATTACTCTTATATTTCTAGACTGACTGATCAAGTATATAATCTATGTTTACTTAATTAATTGCCTGATTGATTTAAATGCCTCAAAGTTCCAATTTCATTTACTGTTAAGGCTGAATGACAAGGGGTCTGTTTATGTGGACAAACCAGTTCATAGTCACTATAATGTTACATTTCAGGCATAAACAAGGACGGAATCGCATATGTCCCCACCTTTGTCACATGGACCATGAAACAACATTACATTCTCTTGGCCCAATGATTTCTTCAGCTTATCTGGACTAGAAGCATTTTGAAAAAAAAATACAACAGGCATTTGTCAGACTTCAAAGAAATTAGATGTTGGCTTTATCAAATCAAGTTTTTATCATTAAAACAGTTTTAATACAATGCAAACCTGCTCAAGTTTTCCTTCTCTTTTAGCCCGCAGAAAGGTAACCTCTCTCAAAATCTTCAGTTCTTCATACGACCATTCTTCGTCCATCTTGCTTTTGTGTGTCTGAAAGATGTTGAAATTAGTTATTAACAGAGTAATTTTGAATGTGATATAGTTTAAAATATTTGTAATTAAAGGGAAAATTTGTATCGCAGGATGTGATCCATTTTATTTAAGAGTAACAGAAAACATACGAGATGATCAAGGTCCAGGATCTCTCCGGCCAGGAAGGACATATAAGCATGGTGATATTTGATCACATCCTTCACGCGTTGTATCAGGTATGCTTTGGTCTGGTGCTTGTTTCTTTCTTGAATAATGTGCAGGTTGACCTGGATGGCATAGTTCCACCACAGCTTACAACTGAAAGTTGACACCATATCAGTTATTAATCCTTTTTGAAAAATGAACAAATTTAATTGGTAATAAATGCAGCATATACAATACCTTTGCAGATATATTTCTAGTTACCCAGAGTACTGTTTCTATTCAAAACATTGGACAATATTGTAATGCCATGTTTATACAGCAGTAAACCAAGGGACGAACATACAAATTCTGATTCAAAGTTAAGAGATGGGCTTATAGCAGGACATTGAACAAAAAATTGTTATACAATTACAGAACATCATTAACTATGGGTGGGCTTATAATCAGGTGTGGACTTATTGCCAGATAATAAGGTAATTTTTAGCGCCGTTATGAGAAAAATCTGCATTGCTATATCATTAAAATTTGCTGATATTGTTGCCATAATATCACAATTCTTGTCAAATAAAATCTGGACGCAAAACTTTGAACCAATGTTCGGTTTTCAATACCAATTTAAGAATCTGATACACAACTGATGCTTGCTGTGACAACACTATCACTTTACCAGAATAAATATACATATTTTGAGGTGACATGGTTTGTTTTCCATGCCATAATAATGTCTGATAGATATTTAGCTGGCTTTTTTAATGTAGCTTAACCTAAACCTTGTCATCTGGGTGGGAGCATGCGGACATTACAATATCCTAATAACCTAATTTAACGACCATGTAACGGGGATATTTCTTAATCTATTTTTAAGACATACTATACTTTATTGAATGTTCCAAGACACAGATTTATGCATTAAACAAATTGAAAGGCCAGATGTAATCAGTATGAATTAATAAACAGATATTTTAATCCAGCCCTAGTGCTTATTTTGTCTATACTAAGCATATTTTTACCAAGAAATAGAACATTTATATTTATTGCTGGTGGTGATATCTCAAACCTGAAAATTTTCCATATCATTATCATCTTACGTCTGTAATCATGATTAACAATTGTCATGAAATCGTGACTGTGACACTTACTTGTTTTTGACCCCTACAACAGGGCGCCACTGTCTGTGCTTGAGTCGACGGTCGTGACGCTCTAGCTCTTTAAGCCATTGTATGACACATCTATACTGACTCTCACTGAGACAAAAGGCCATTTTCTCAAGATTCATGTCTAGGGCAATACGAGGCAGACTAGGTGAGCGCAGTGGCAGTACTGATGTATTTCTCTTCAGGCGAGTCTGGGCACTGATGGGTGCCAGAATGTATTCATGATCCTGTGAATGAGCATACATGATGAAAATAACATGAATTTGAGTGTATAATTATTTTCATTCCAGCTGTCATATCTAAACCTTTACAATTTTTGTTTTTTCTGTTATTTTAACATGGTTTATGTCAGAATGTTTTTCAAGATACATAAACATGATAACAGCTGATTTGCTACAAAAGACTTATTTCCTCGACACCATGTTGGTTTTTAAGAGAATATGACATTGCTTTATCCCATTGTTACATATAGTATCCTACCTTAAATAGGCCTGTTGAGTTGCTCATATACATGTCAGGGTGTAAGGCATCCTGTTGATATCAACAATCATAAAGATATTAACACCGATCAGACTAAATGAAGAATATCCTTGTCTAAACAGGATCTTTTAGACACAAGCTACAATGCAGTAAAAATCCAATAACATAGGGTATGTCTTAATCAGTATAACACCTATTTCCTCACTTGATGGGAGAATATTACGATATTTTACCGACTATTCCAGTAAAACTTCTATTTCAACCCAAGACTCCAGTTTTTTAAGCAGTACAACCCATAGAGTTTGATAAAAAAAAATCCATGTTATTGTAATTGCTGACAATTACGTTAACATATTTAATATTGTATCAACATATTTAATAAAATAGATCATTTTTGGAGTCCTATAAAAACTGCAATAGAGGCCTTTAAAAGACTACTTCTCTGAAATTTTTCTTAATCACATTAAGATTTGTTTCTTTAGAAATAAATATTTTTTAACAGTACCCAGTACATTAGATATAATAATTAAAATGGCTTTTTCAGAATTTAAAGATCAAAAACCAGCAAGAACTCACCGCCAGTTCAGAGATTGGAAGACTGCCAAGCATTTTAGCATCTGTATCAAGGTAGCAGGAGAAATTTTGTAGATCTACAAGTTTGTACACCATATCTGCCAAGCTGGTACTCACAAACTTAGGGGTCTATGGATACAAAATATTAAACTGACAACAAATTTGAACACTATATCTTCAAGTTTGGTACTCACAAACTTAGGGGTCTATGAATACAAAAAGCATTCAGTAAAAAGAAAAGGAAAATTGACAGTCAGATTTAAATAAAGGATAAAGATATGTTTACATTTGTGATGACCCTGTTTTGAGGGCAATATTTTTTACATGCAACAAAAACATAACATCCTTGTTCCATTAAACATTCAAAAACAATAAACATTGATAGGAATGAAATATGAATTATTGTGCATGTAAATATTCTAATATTGCTTTCATAAAACGTACCCCTTCTTCATCTGTACTCTGAGCACTCAAACTTTTAATGGTGACACCAAATGCAAATGGACAATTTGGTACCAGCTCATCATCTTCATAGCGGATATGTACATCTTTTATTTTCAACTAGAAAATAAATTGTGAGACAAATTTTCTGAAGTATTTAAAAAGAAAAGGAAAGCTTAATGGATTATTTTTTCAATCTTTAAAATTAGAGTTCTGATAAGATGGATTGATGATAAGGACTAGCATTTCAATATATATAATCCAGGGTCAAATGTACCATATTTATCAAGCAATAGGCCAATGCCAGGTAGTAAGCCTACCTACATTTTACAGTTTTAGTAAAATATTTCTAAAATGTTTTCACAATGCCAACAATTATCATCCTGAAAGCTCATCCCCTTCCTTTGAGTTAAAGGGTTTATTTTTGACCTCTGAGCTTATTAGGAGATACATCACACTCAACACTACCTGTAGGTTCTCCAGAATATTAGTGGCCAGTGACGTTCCGTAGGAGAACCAGGATGCACCATATCCTTCTGCTGCCTTCTCTACTTTTAGCACCTGTCAACATCATTAAAGGAAACCTGTTATCACTTCCACATATCGACATCATGCAATTTTTCTTATAAAACGTGACCCAATGAAATCACCTCTAATACCCCTGATATGTGAATAATGTAGACCTATGAAACCGTTAATATTTTCAACATACCCGGTAATCAGCTATTTATTGGACAAGAGGTTGATTTTGATAGCTTATTTGTTACTGTATTTTAAAATAAAATACAAATTTTATTTCTAACCCTGTTGGGAATAGTATTAATATCTTACCAGCCCCTGTGGCATATGGTCTTATCAGTCATGTGAATGGTTTAAACATTTTACCGGCCCATGACATATTAAAGTCATATTTTCTAATATTCAAGAATTTTTCTCACTCCTACCTGCCATTTTTTTTCTAAAGCTTCAAGCATGCTAGCCTTCTTGGCTTGTTCAGCTTTCTTGACTTTTTCTTCATCATACTTAAAGTAGAAAATAAAGACAATGATTTAAAAACACTGATACAGAGATACACATGGCAAAAATTTAGTCTTACAAAAATTACCAATCATCATAAAAATAGTATGAAAATCAGCATGTGTGGATTGCTGAATGTTTTCTTAATGAGTTCATACCTCTGATTGTTTCAAAGGACCAGCCAGCAGGTAAAGCTTTTCCATCGACACAACCCATGGCTCACTCCTCAGACGACTTATTGGTATCTGTAGTGTTATTTTACCAATGAAACCTGTAAATATTGCAATTTAAACCTGAACATGTTGTAACTTTTTTAAAATAAGTCCAAATTTTAGTCAAGCATGCCTTAGTGACCACCTGAATAATGCGACTTCCTGTCATATGTGACTTATATTTTACATCCAAATGTTAATTACTATATAAATAACCTGAATTAAGTGACAACCTATTTGATGCGACCAGTGACCATCTTTTCTGTGTCCCGAACACAAAAAAAAAACCAACCTTTTTCAGCAACTTTCTAAAAGTATCATGGTTTCCATAAACGTCAATACCATTTTCCTGTGCGAAACACTAAGATAATCACGTAATAACAATCTCATGTCCCGTAAGTTGTGCTACCCAAGCAGTTTATTTACAAATGAAATAATGTAATTTTTTAGTTCCTCTGTAAATGTATCAATCTGCATGGAAATATTGTATATCACAAATGCATCACTTCAAAACTGTTAAAATGCTTCTATTGTTTAATATCAGCAATAAGCCCATGTGTGATAACAGACCCACCCATATAATTTACCGTTAGAAAAACTACAGATTTATACTACCTGTACTTCCTTGTCTGTGCCTGTAATAATCCCATCCCTGACTTTAATTTTGAGGTAATATGTTGGCACATTGGGCCTACTGCAGGATAAATGTATGACAAAGCAGGTAAAATTCAAAAGAGATCATTTCTGTAACTAATAACACATAATTTTCTCACCAGATTTGACCTGAAGTGGGAGGTCAAAATTCTTTAATGCATCTTTTTTCAATGGAAGGTTCTCAAGTTCCACGGCACCTGAAAAAGAATTCATTATACTATTTCAAATACATCTGCATTTCTAATTAAGTATGATGTTAAATTTTTCTGATCCAGGAAGAAATAAGAAAACTGATATGTAAAGTACCACCCTGTAAAACAGTGGTGACCTTTTGATTGCATGAATGCTGAAATGAATATTTAAATTAAAGATATTTTACACAGATTTTTTGCAATATATTTTCTTTCAGTTGCTCAGTAAAATATATCACAGCCAGTTTTTAAAACTTTGACATTTCTCTGATAACACTGTCAGGAACGCAAATGTGTAGTCATCAAAATATCACACATCAATTTTTCACTGCTAGTAAAAACATTTAACTAACTATACTGTTAACTTACTATACTGTTATGAAGGTAACAGCAGTAGGGAAGTCATCAAAACATCTAATCAGTAACAAAAAGTTATCTAATCACATTGCCAATTCTAGGAAAATTGCTGATAATTTAAAAAGGAAATTTAATTAATTTATCAGTAGAGTATATCAAAAAACATAAATTATTTCAGTAAGAAACCCAATACCTGAAGTATACTTAGCCTCTATAATACATGAAGTCATGATGAGAATTTGATCTATATACTAATTTGAACACGGGATAATTTCACATTATCCTATATCTGAAAATACTCTAAAATCATACCCTGTAGGAGGCCAATAGACAGCTGTGTAGTGTTGAGGTTCTCCACATATTCCCCTATATAGGTATTCAATATCCATGCTGCTAAACCCTCAAGCATGGTGGTAGTTGGCTCTTCTTAATGGATCAATATGGTTTATCTGAAATGAATCTATGCTTAAGTAAAATGTATTTTGATGATAAATGTTGTATTTTTCTGACTTTTTGTAATACATGAGTTATCTGCTCTTGTGAGCAGGTATTGATTTCTGTCATTAGTTTGCACGAGAATAACATCATAAATTTGTGAAAAAAAAACATGTAATTTTCTAACACAAACCAATGGTGTAACAATCAATACCTGCTTACAGGAGCAGACAGCTACATTACCTGGTATGCTGAAACATGTTAACATGAAAGTCTGGTGAAGATCCTCCTCGGATGTTATTTGGTCATCAATACTTATTGCTATTAGATATGAATAAATTTTCACTACCTCAAATGATAATGACTTTTCTAGTACATCTAATTATTAAGAGTGTAGATGTTGAGAGTACAGGACACCTTACTAGCACTAACTAGTGGGAATGTTCCTTTAGATGAGCTATAGATTATCCAAAAACTGATTTGGTTACAGTTTTGGTTTTGTTGACCACTCCAAGGGTAGAAGCTAGAGGAGACTGAGATGCTTTTCTGGAGATATTGAATCGGGGTTGTTGGCTTTGAGGTCAAAGACTTGTGAAAGAGGGACTGAAGTATAAGTTGAAAGTACATGTCGCCACAAGGCTAGTAAGAATTTCCCTGAAGTCAAGCAATAGACTGTCCAGCTAGAGACCTAATGGTAGTAAGTTCAAACCCTAATGTTGGCAGGGTGATTTTCATTATTCCTTCCTGTGACAAGAGCATATGGGTGATTTTCATTATTCCTTCCTGTGACAAGAGCATATGGCCCTTTGCATTTGTTTTCTCTTTCTTTTTCCACATACCTGGTATGTGAACACATATCAACTTCATTCAGACTGTGGTTCAACTTATGACAATTTTGCAACTAAATTTTGTTGCTGTGATGATCATGAAAATATCATTTTATGAATAACACCTGAGATATTAGCATGAAATATCAAATTTTTGGTATCATTCTCTAGAATGACATAAAGAAATGAAGAAAAAATGATTATACTGGATGAACAGATTATATCCATGTTTCAATTTTAAATGTTGAATATGTTATTCATTAATATAGTTATATATAATCATAATGAATTTGAAGTTGAAGGTGTGTTCTAAGAGTTAATCTTCAAATAATTGCCATAAGTATAAATTCTGCCAGAATGTTCAGGTACCTTTCTTTTATCCAAAAAAGGATTAAATGATTTTGTATATATATAGATAATACAAGAGAAATATTACTAAAATTTAAACTCATTTTATAATTACAATATTTGACACATGTTTCAAATTAAAATTTTAACTTGTACTTAATATTCTGCCGGGTTGAGCTACTTTAATGTGTTAGCTTTCTACCCAAGAATCATCACATGTCGCATGGATTCGATAAACTGTGCCCATCGAGGATTACATATTATGTGAACAAGATAATATATTGATGATATGTTCCAGTATATATAAAAATAAAATAAATAAATAAATAAGTAAATAAACAAACAAACAAAAAACATATTACAATCACACGTAAAATACCGAGGTCAATCATTCATCATTGACAACCTGTCTTGGACAGTCTGTTGCGGAAGTCTTATACGTTAGTGTTCATCGGTAAAAAGTGCGAGTGCGACATATAGCTGCACCTGTGCAGTTTGCCTGAGGGAGTCTGGGTCGGCTACATACCCACCTGTGCTGCAGCAAGAATGAATATTTTTGACGGACATTTATCACAATTAATCAACCATTTCCGCAAAGTCTTAAACTAGTCATTCGTGAAAAGTGTAACTTACATTTATATTTCGTCATATTTGCTTGGCTGTCGTATACATGGTATCTACGCATGACCATTCATAGACTAGTGATCCATTTTCAGTTTGCACACACAACATGACCTTCCAAAATTTAAGGGGAAGTAATTGGTGCGATTCGTCACAACAAAACGTTCGAGCGACTGAATAAGAATTCCGGAAAAGAGAACGACAAACTTCAAAACGATTTTAAAACCATAGTCTGTCAAGATCACTCCCTTAGTAAGAGAAACGAAATAGACTGTGTTTTATTTGCCATGAAAGAACTTTTAAAAATATCACTAGACCTTTTTTCCATTCTGAGGAAATGGGTTTAAAATTGACGCAACAAGCTAAAATTTTTGTACCATGACTACATATTCTCTCTCATAAATCACCCATTTCCCACATAAATCCCTCCTTTCCCATGAAACCAAATGTCGACTGATCATAAATAACCTGGCGTAGTCCGGACTTGAGGTCCAGATTGACTTTCTTTCATAAAACTAGTATGAACATTTATCAGTATCAACTAGACGTTTGATGTCACAGGACAGACGATTTTTGTTTTCATGAAGTTGTTTTAACTCGAGGATGTAAATATGGAATGCCCCATCATTTCTCGGATTCAGAAAGTCATTCTCTATGAAACAAAAGCAGTAAGCAGACAATTAGCCTATCAAAATAAGTCTGACGGGCTTAGCATATCTGAGAAATTTGTATCAGTATCACATTTTAGGACTCAAACTGTCAAAAATATAACGTTTCCAATGCAACAAGCACTACATCAGGCAGATGTAGACCGAGTAGGCAATTATATGGAATTATGTATGCATAAATATTCAAGTAATATGAGAAAAAATTGAAAGGGTACCAATACAAGTAATTAGATAGATGCTGAAGTTACTAACACAATTATTGTTTTGTGAGGTTCCCTTACAGATCATCTCCGCACCATCATTTGATATAATCAGCACCATATGTACAACCACACATCTGAAGTACACGACAAGAAGTAGAGAAAACAGTCCGTGGATAATCAAAGTCATCAAAATCTCATCAAGAATGGAGTCAGATAATATCACAACTCACTTCCAGACAAAACGTTAACCTTTCCAGACATAACATGCAACATCATATGAAGTTTCTCAAACATGAAATACAAAAGCAAACCCAGAAAAGGTTTTTGGTCCTTTATCAAAAGTAGCAAAACAGAAATTATTGGCATTTTACCATTGCAAGTATCAAAATGGCACAATATATTACAGCCAATTCAACCTAGTGTCCATTATCATCACCACTACAATTTACTCATATTTGTGAACAGTCTACAAACCTTGAAATGCAAAAAGTAACTTGCCAAACATCACTTTCGCAGGATCTGGTATATTCAAACTTCACAACATTAACCAATCAAAGCAATACGCCTAGATAAAACTTCACGAAACTTGTTGGAACAAATTTACTGTGGCATACCTCCTATCAACATAGACATTTTCAACACCTTCACTACAAACAGGTTGTGTCCTTTCAGACTGGAGAACACATATTATTCCATGTACAAAAATGCACCAAAACAATCCTCAAAACTGCTTTAACTGTACATTCACTATATATTTTTGTTTTTTAATGTTTTGTTTTATAGAGGTTCTATGTTGTGGGTTCCAACAAGACAGAAACATGTTATCGTGTCTTAAAAGTGGACAGGACAGAGCCAAGAGAACTGGTCATTCAGGATGACAAGGTATATGTAAAAGGCTGCTGTTCTGTATATAGAGGTTTTGAATTTTGTTTAGTTTATTCCATATAAAAATAACACATTATATTACATGTGTTGCTAGATCATTACAAACTTATGAGGCTTTCAGGCCATGTCTTTTTCAAGTAGTTAAGATGATCTGAGAAGCTGTAAACTTTTTACATTGACTTTCTTCTCTGTTTAATGAATGTTTGGGGTAGAAAATCCAAAAGATGGAAGAATTTTTAAATGTATTTGAGTTTGTATAAAAGTTGGGGTTTTTTTTTGTCTTTTTTTGAAGGCGGAATATTCAATGGTCCAGATCCGTAATTTACTGACAATGATTAAACATGGAAACATTAACAAGGACTCTAAGCTCAAAGCTGGAGACTCACCTCTCGCCAAGTCAGTCTCCGCTTTTGGTATATTTGGTAAGTATAAATTAGAGTATGAATTACTTTTAGAATAATGATGACTATGAGATTTTTAAGAAAGGCCTTTGTAGTACTTCATCTCAGAAAAGGAATATCCTGGTGAAGGTATTATCTGTCAAGAATTAAAAAAAAAAAATTAAAGATATATATATATATAAAACAAGATAAGATATTTGTTGGCAAAATAAATTGGTCATGCTGCTCAATGATGCTTTAAAGCTGTTTTTGTGTCGACTGCAGAGCTGGGTGACACTTGGGGATCACTTTGTCCGTCGTTACGTGGTGTCCGTACAAAAATTTTCCGGACTTTGTTTGGTTATGCTTTGAGCTATCAAAATGAAATTTAGTATATGGCTTCTTGTTGGAAGGGTACAGAGTAAGTTTAATTTCCGGCTGTCTGTGACCCTTCTTGGCAGAGTAATGCCCCTTTGGACTTAGAAAATTCTCTGGGAATATTCTTTTCTGGACTTTCTTTGGTTATGATTTGAGTTATAGAAATGAGATTTGGTATATGGCTTCTTGTTGTGTCACCTGCAGAGCTGATGGACACTTAGGGATCACTTTGTCCGTCATTATGCGGCGGAGGCGGCAGAGTCTGTATGAAAGTTTTCCAGACTTTTTTCAGTGATGCTTTGAATTATCAAGTATATGGCTTCTTGTTGGATAGGTACAGATCAAGTTCGATTTCCGGCTGTCTGTGACCCTTCTTGGCAGAGCTATGCCCCTTTGAACTTAGAAAAGTTTTCAGGAATATTGCTTTGTGCAGTTTTCCCTTTATGCTTCGAGTTATAGAAATGAAATTTGGTATTACAACTTTATGGTTGAAGGTTGCACATCCAGTTTGATTTCTGGGTGACTGTGACACTTTATGCAGGCGACACATACAGTTCTGAGGAACTCTTGTTTACTAAAACATCATAGAAGACATACTGTTCTCCAAATACATGCATGTATTTTGATGAGTTAAAGAGAGAGCATGCACATGATTGTATGTAAATTTTATGAAAAAGGTTGCTTCTGTTTGAATGGAAATTTTCCTTGCAAGGGTTCATCATTGAGTAAATCAAATACAGAGAATGGTTTAATAATATGTGTACTAAATGTGAAAGGTGATTCCGATGTTCCTTGCTGATTTTGTATTTTAATAATTGGCTAGGTAATAAAATAATTGTATCTTTACAGGTTTCGTGCGATTTCTAGAAGGATACTACATCGTGTTGATAACAAAGCGTCGGAAGGCAGCAGTACTAGGCCCACACATCATTTATAAGATTGAAGATACAGCCATGATTTACATCCCAAACGATAACATGCGCTCGTCTAGTTATAGCTACTCAGAGGAACAAAGGTAAGTCTAGAAGGTTGTGAATAGTGTCAGAATTACACAACAGCATTATCATGTTAGTCTTCAGTTAAGTATTACCGTAATACAACCCACTTACATAAGGGGAGAAGGATATATAGTAATTACTTAATTACTATATCTGTATGTGTGCCTCCCTGATATCCGTGTGCACTAGATATCTCATGAACACTTAAACAGACATGGTTCATATTTATATCATAGCATCATATCACCAAGGTTAAATTTCAAGGGTAACTTTTGACCACTCTCACTTAGGGGTTGGGGTGGTGGTGGTAGGGTACAGTGGACCTACGATAATCTGGACGCTGATAGTCAGGAAAACTCCATTCCACATGGAAATGTTGGGGAACAGGGTTCTGGAATGTTATTAAATTTACTCACCAGTCTGGAAATTTGAATTCTGGCTCCGGAAATACTTTTTAGGAACAGAATGGACCTTTCATAGTTATATTCCTGCAGTAGTCTGGATATTTATTGTTACCACATGAAGAATATTTGTTGTGTTCAATCAGCTGTGCTAGAGGTGTATAGCATACCATTAGAAACTGTGTCATCAGAGGTACTGCTGCCACATCGTTGCCCAAGATGGTCACCAGTGGAACTTGTGTCAAAGTTAACAGTACTTCTATATAGGACAGAGTCAATTGATTGTAAAGAAAAAGTCTTGGTCTGGTTTAGTTTCCAATCATTTGGCAATTAATCTGGAATTATTTAATATTTCTGTACATGGCAATTTCTCTTTGGAAAGTATTTCATATGATGTTGAATATCATAGTAACCAGGATATAAAGTTATTTAAACATTATTTGTTTGTGAAATTATATAAAGAAAAATCTAACACTTGAGATATAAATGATAGAAATTCAATTTTATTAGACTATTATTAACATTGTGGCCATCATCCCTCTATTATTCTGCATATTTAATGTAGATTTTCATGTATTCAGCCGATTGATGCATATGAAGGTTAATTGAGAGAAAAACAATTTTTGTTCATTCTTCAAGTTACAGTATTTTGCGTTCAAATCAATGAGTCACTTGCGCACACATATATCTTTGTAGATATGGGTATGACGTTGTTAATTTTACCAACTCACTTCAACTTGATTCTAAAAATAGGAAGTTAAAATTTACTTATACAATGTAAGATACATGTTTTTGTAAATATTTGTATGCACAGTAAATGCAACATAGACATTCTAAAAGCAACCAATAGCATCATACTGACAACTTTATTGCCATATAATCAAGGGTGATAACTCCATGTATATTGTTTTCCTTTGGTTACATTGTATTACATTTGTTAGATTGTACAATATAATAGTAAATCAACTTTGTAAGATGAAGTATCTGTTGTCTCTTTTTTCAGATATTTGAAGATGTTTCAGAGCATTGACCTCTCAAGCAATTTTTACTTCAGGTTTGTTTAATCTTAATGAAGTTCCATTTTAGCCCATATTAAAGTACAATTTATAGTGAATCACAATTTTTTTCCTTTTAAAAACTTCATACTCAGTATTAGCATTTCATGCTGATGTACATGAAATTCTTATGTTAGGTTTAAATTAGATTAAATGAATGTAAATTTTAAAATGGTAACAGTTGGAGATAAGAAAATGTGCTGGTGAAATGAAAATATTTGTTTGAGTATTTTTGAAATCAGATAAGTTAATCTTAGACTAATTTTTTTTCCCGAGGGACTCATCCAAATTCTGAGAACCCACCCTATATCTTCAGACTGATAAAATTTTTGGAAATGTTGTTCTTGACTTGCTTGAAAAATCTTACAAAATTTGATAAGATAAAAAGTATAAAATTATGTATTCCAGTTATAGCTACGATCTGACCCACACACTTCAATATAATATGACCACTGTGATCGACCCCGTAACCTTAGGTCAACCAGATTGTAGTGAATCTACGCCGCCCTTGAAGGTATGGGGACAGTCTGGGTCAGAATCAGGTCAAACTTCAGCAGTAGAAGAGAAGGGCCCCCCTGGCACTGAGCAGTCTTCCAAGACAACAGTCACAGTTAAAAAACATGGTACGTGTTCATTGACTCTGCAAGCATTTCATTACAAGTACATTTATTGGTGTTAATATTAAATGCTCAAATTTATATTCAGAAGTTTCAACTGCATGATAATCAGTGACGATTCCTCAATACTGTAAAATTGTGTATTTTCATCATGGAGTTCGAATATCCTGGTTTTTCAAAAAAATACTTTTTTGTGGGAACTTATTTCATGGATGAATATAGCTCATTAAATCTACTTAAACTCTTATTTTCAAGGTTCAAGAAAATATGACTTAGTGGATTAAAAATTATCACAAAATCAATGAAAGTAAATCTCCCACAAAATTAATGATTTGGCAGTAAGTAATTGGATATGAATTGATCCAATATTGTGTGGTACTTTCACTTAGCTGAAACACTGCATTATACAGTACATTAAACTTCTTATTTTAGTTAAATGTCAAGGCATATTTGATCTTAGTTACAATAATTTTTACAATGTCAACTTCACTTTTGCAAAATTTTAAGTCCAAATCAATAGAGGAATTTTCATTTCAGTAAGTTTTGTTTACTTTATGATCAATTATTAGGTTTATTATATTAAATTAGCATTTATTTACAGATCAATACATAGTAATATTTTTCCCTATCATCAGAATGGTATTGAACACATGATTTCATATCGGGCATCCGCTGAATGCATGGTAGATGTTCAAAATGGAATTTTTGGGATGGAGGCAGGGTTGGGAGGGGGGTAGTTATTGCATTGCATACTTGCTTGATGATAGAATAAACACATAAAGATTTTTTTTCAAAGAAAAGGTAATCAGTTCAAGGAATCTTACATTTAAACATTTTGTTATTATACAAATATATTCATAGCCATTACTGAAATAATTTCTAATTCTTATCCCTTTTACAAAAGTGGTCTGTGGTGTGCGTGCTGTACCAGAGGAGAAATATGTTTGGAATCACTTCCTTCAGCGAAACTGTAAAGACACAATCCATAGAGACTGGATCATCCTTGTCACACATGGTTTTGTAGATCAGCGAAGTATCCTTTCTGAACTAAGTAAAACTAAGCTTATCTTGAGAAGAAAGTATTTCTACTTGTCACCTCTCATATCTAAATTCCTTACATATGGCAACAAGTCAGTTTTCATCTGATCAATAACTATATCCGAATTTTAACTTAAGGGTGAAAAATTGAAACAGATTCCTCTGTTGATTAAAGAGACCAAAATGTATCTTTCTCCTATAGCTTACTGACTAGAACAAATATGATCAGTTTTCAAAAGTATAAAGTATTAGTGTGTTCAAAACAGACTAAAATGACAGATGAACTTTTGGTTTGAATTTATGATTAGTGTTGTGTTTTTCCCGCTGTTAACCCAGATTGTTGGCATTTCTACTTGGGCATTTACATATGATAATAGAAGTTAGATGTAAATCTAGATGGTAGATGCATGTCTCATCTGGTGGGGGTTGGAAATGGAGCTTTGTTTGTGTTTGTTTGTTTATTTGTTTGTGCTAGTCTTGGTTTGTTTGCAAGGACTATCTTCCCTGAACAGCCAGAGGTCATTTTGAAATGAGGTCTCCTTTTCATACTTACATTTCCAGTGTGTATTCTCTGTACACACAAATGTAAGGTCTGGTGCATGGGAAACTGAACTGCTGTACAATTTGAGTAAAAATTTTTGCATTTTGTGAATTTATTTTATATAAACTAAAGACACTCAACACAATATGTGAATTGATATGTAATATTTAAAATGTCTTACTAATGAAAAGACAATGTTATTGTGGAACTGTTTTTGTTTACTTCCTGTAGTTGATATCTGTTCCTGCCACATAGGAATCAGCTGTTTTGTTTTTCAAAGTGTTGAGTTATTTTGTCAGTGCGTGTATCATCAAATATTATTTTGCTCAGCATAAATTAAAAGAAAAGGTTTTAAAATGATAAGAAAAGATTTTTTTTTTCTTCTCCTTTACTAGTATGTTAACTACATATTACATATTATATTTCAACATAACATGCTAATGCACATCACTTAAAATATCTAAAGAAAAGCAGTTTACATACCAGTAAATTTACGTCATTTAAAATATATCAATTATTTTTTAAGTCAATGTCGGCTACATCACCGAACATCTTGTGAAAGGTCTGCAATGATGTTATTTACCAACTGTGCTATCATTCATGGCCGCCCTCATGCTGATGTCATGGTCTGTAGTATGAAAATTAAAGTGACTGAAAGCTGTTCTCTCCTTCCATTTCGCAAATGTTCCTTAGGAATACCTCTTACACTTCCCAGCATGACGATACTTGCTTGTACAGCTGGGTAGACTGGAGATATCAAGGGGAAGTTTCTTGCTTAGTGACAACAGCTGAATGCTGCCAGTACTGCTTGAACATTTAACACAACCTTTCTTATGGGTTGTTTTTTTTATAGTAAAACCTTTCCTATTAGGCCTCTGATCTTAATGATATCAAGCTGAAAGTAAAACTGGAATCCATTGCTGCTAAAAAACATTAAGTAAAATCATATAAAATTGAGCCATAGTGTAATCCAAATTCATTGGATCATTCTTGTTGTCAGATTAGAAAGTTTTCCTTGTATGTATCAGTTTACTGTGGCCCTTGACGTTTCACCAGATATTTGTGTTTATGGCAAACCTTTATACCTGACCTTGATTGCCAGAAGGTCAAACCAATTTGCTGGAACAAGATTTTTAAAAAGAGGAGCTAATTGCATGGTACAGTTTAACATTTGACATTGATCTCATCCTGTTGATGGAGATGAGAAATATATTGTTCTGTTGCCATCGTAATGTATAGCTGTTTATTTTCATGGGTCAAAACTTCCACAATTTTCTTTTAAAACAATCAAATATTTTAAAGAATTAAAATTTCACAATCTGGATATGAAAGGACATCATAAATGTCTCAATAGTTCAAGGATTAAATATTTGCAATTAGATTAATATACATGTACTGAGAAAAAATGAAAGTATTATCCCCTCAAAACAACTGGCTGTACACTACTGAGTAATATTCATGTTAAAAGAGGAGAGAGAGAGGGGGGGGGGGAGCTGTGAAATTGTTCTCATAGATAAATGTTACAATTAACCTGTAAGATTTATGTCATTTGATTTTATCATTAAAGATATTCAAAATGACTTTAAGAGTATGACATACACATTTCTTATACTTTACATATATATCAGAATTTGCCTGTTCATATCTAAAAAAGAAAACATGGCGGTCAATCAATATATATGATTTTGTACTTTTGTAGGGAGAAGTAGCCAATGAGGTGGAGACAGAACAGATCCTCCATGATGCTTCCATCACTTTCCTAGAGAGAGCTAACATCACATCATTTGTCCAGATGAGGGGCTCTGTGCCCCTCTACTGGTCACAGGATGTGTCCAAGATGGTCCCCAAACCACCAATCATGAGTAAGTACACTCTATATTTACATTGTATGTAATAGAAATAATATTTGAGTTCATTTTTACACTTATGTCAAACTTGGAAAATAAAAAGAGGTTGAGGAATCCAACATCCTGTGAGTGGTACTAGTTGGTAGATGTATCGGTAGAAGAATCCTAGGTGGATCCGAAGGATTCTAGCAGAGCTCCATAGACGAGATAGGTACTAACCACTAAATAAAGGATGGAGCATCATGTCAAACTTCTGTGAGAGCTAGATTACTGATAATCCTGTGAGGAAGCTTATTTGTCTTTTATTGCAAATGAACATACTAAATACAATTTGTATTTTCTAGTTGACCAGATAGACCCCTACGCTGGTGTAGCAGGCAGACATTTTAATGAGGTACTGAAACGGTACGGAGCCCCTGTAATTGTCCTCAATCTAGTCAAGGTAAGTTGGGTTTAGTATTTTAGCATTGGCTTCTCAACTGAAAATGATCCAATAGAATCAACTCAGACATCTGCGTACACCACAGGATACTGCCAATCTTATTTTACATGATCTTCTGGCATCTTCATGAATCTTTTCAATTATTCACTTTTCCAATTTTAGGGATTTGTTTTTGAATGTATTGCAACATTTCACAGTAAAGCTGATATCAGTTTAGAATTTCAAAGTATTTACAAATATTATCTAAAGAAACATTTTTTTTTGTTTAAAAAAAAGTGTTTTGCAAATTCTGATATAGTTCTGCTATCTGTTAAATGTGGCTTGAGCTGTTAAAATTTTGTAGATTGCTAGAAACTGAGAGTACCTTCTTATTTTGTTCTGTGTAGAAAAAGGAGAAGAAGCGACATGAGAGCATCCTCACAGGAGAATATAAGAAGGCTGTCAATTATCTCAACCAGTTCCTGCCTCCAGAACATGCACTCAAATACATCAGTTTTGACATGGCTCACATTAGTAAAAAGTAAGGGATTTTCGTAAACTTACTTAAAAAAAAAAATACAACAAACAGTGATATTTATTTTATCCTTGGATAGGTCCATTGAAAGATGTTCCCGAGGTGATTGGTTGTAATTTTGTGGTGCGATTACGCAACAGATGATTATTTGTGAAAGTGATATCTATATTTTGTCCTGTAGTTTCTGTGATATAAACTGTGAATGAACCCTCTTTTCACATGTAATTTTACCTTGTTTTTTGTTTTGTATTGTTGTGATTGAAACAATTTTGTAAAATTTAAATCATGAATCAAGACAAGGATAACAAACCATGATTGTTTTATGTTCTGATATAGTCTGTTTCGGTAAAGTTATGCATCATGATTTTTAGGACAAGGATAATGAACATTGATTTTTTTGTGGTATGACATAGTCTGTTTTGCCAAAAATTGCAGTTGTGAACTTATTATGATGTTGAAATTGTGAAAGTCAGTAACTGCGAAAGAAAATTTGTTTGTGGTAGTCAATCTTCATTACTTTATTAAAGCTTACATAACCAGAAACTTTAAAAAAAAACCTGAAAATATCTGATTTGTTGCTGATTTCAAAATGACAAGGGGCGTACTGTGTCAGAAAAAAAAATCAAAACAGTTGGAACTTAGACCCACAAAGCAATTGGTGGAATTAAGTCTTAAAGTAGAAACTTCCCAATAATGCAGATGACATAAAACTGTAAATGTTTATCACGAATTCGTAACCATAGTTAAACTTTACGATAAAAGTTTTAATGAATTAAAAATCATTTAAACATGGTCTAGTGTATAAAAAAAATCTAATGCTTTCAATTAAGTGTGAAGAAGACATAATGTTCTCATGGTTTAAATTCATCATTTTAACAGTAAGGATGTGCTGCAACGGATGGTGAGCTTAGCAGGGAAGTGTGTGAAGCTGTGTGGATTGTTTGTACACAAGTCTAAGAAGGTTGGAGACGAGTTCTGGCAATCTAGTAGGTGAGGAAAAAGTTACTGGTCAATGTTAGCATTGCTCAGAATTCTATGATTTGTAGACTGATTTATTATATTTGGGACATGTAATGATAATTTTTTTAAGCCAAGGTCATTTTCCTTGTAATTATATGTAGGTGAAATGAATATATCTTATTAGTGTCAAGGTTACAATACTTAATTGTTTTCTAACATGAAGGTCTTGGTCATACATATATCATATTTATCTGGCAATGAGTTCACATTTGGTTTTAAGCCCACTGGGATCTATTTTATTTTACCAGAAATGCAGCAAAAGCTGTATCAAAGTTTTGCCCCAAAGGTTAATTGCAGGATAATCAGATAGCACATCCATGATTTTGGTCATACTTTCATTTGTTTTTAAGGATATGTTAGGTGAAATATGGGATTTAGAGAAGCATTATCTTAATCTGTAAGTCAAAATCGTGTAATTCATCATTTTTGTGTGATAAGGTTTATTGATTTTGTAGGTCAAGGTCATGATAGAATATATTTGAAAGTCAAGGACATACTACTGTGAAGATTTGCTAATTTTAAAGCTGGAATAAGGTCTTGTCAGAAGCTTAGGAAATATTCATACAAAAGAGCTCTCATTTTACTTCAGCTTGTTTATATTGTCTTCTTGTAATGTACGAATGGTTGTTTGTAGTTTGCGAGGATTACGAGGGCTAAAGACAGAATATGGCAGTAAACAGACTGGTGTGGCCCGCACCAACTGTGTGGATTGTCTTGACAGGACCAACACAGCACAGTTTGCCCTTGGAAAATATGCCCTAGCTTATCAGGTAAGATCTGATACATGACTTGTTCAGATTACTTCTTGACATTTCTGCTCCCATAGGGTCAAAAACATGATACACCTATTGTCACTCTATTCATCTGTTCATCTTGAACTGGCCCTTCACCTGTTCGTCTGTGATTAGTTGGTTGGCATATGGCTGTATCAGTCTTTTTCTATGGCTGCAATTTGATGAAATCTCACACAGTTGTAAAGACTTGAAACATCTCCCAATGCATTTGTTTTCCGAAAATACTTGAAACCAAGTTCAATTGCTAAAAATAATAGGAGGTGACTTATGATTGCTATATAGCTCACATTTCATGCAAATTTTTGTTTTTTTTTAATTTTTCATTAATTATGCTGATGTAAATCAGAATTAAAGATGTCATGAGTTCTAGTCACAGAGATCAAATTTTGTTTTGTTCTATAAATATATTTTGACTCAATTCTAATAGATGGTTACTGAATCTCTTATAAGTATTAAGTCGCAAAATTCTGAGGAAGTGATTGATATATGAGGTATTCGCATATGTAATGTACACAGTGCTAATCATTTGTGTCATTTGGCTACTTGATAACATTTTCAGACTGAGTCATGCATGTTGGTAGTATCTAATACACACACAAGCGGAAGTTTTGAAAAATATTGACATTATTTTCTTATTCTTTGACCAAAGAATATGGTGATTTTAAATGACTGAAATCTTTATTTAATTTATGAAATTTTTATTTTTCAGTGTAAACTTATGAATAATTATCAGTTGAAGTGTTGTGAAGTTTGCTCATAGGATTTAATTCTATTTTCAGCTTTACATTCTGGGAGTTTTGAAAGAACCTAAGTTAGAATTTGATACAATCTGTACGAGGTAAGTACTTGTATTTATTTTAAATACTGTAGTTGAAAGTAACACTTCAATACTAATGGTACAGGACAACTTTCATTCATTGGTTAATATTTTTGGAAACTCGGAGTCAAATCTTTCAAATCTTTTATTGGAAATATGTATAAATACCCCGGTAAGTCTTTATGATCTGAAATTATTGAGAGTAAGATATATTCAAAGCCCTTGGATTCTTGTTAAATCTGAATTTCTGGTACTTAAGCTTAAGTAGAAGTACAGTAAAATCTTTGTCTCAGGGAGTCAGACATGGTCTCTCTGGGTTTCAAAGCATAGTTATGATGGGTTTTTCTTCAAACTATAACTCTTGATGTCTCGAAATTCAAGTAATAAGTCAAACCTGAAGCAATTTAAGATACTAGTCAAACCCATAATTCTAAAAAAGTCACACACATAATTTTTGGGCTCAATTCTCAAGTCAAACCAATGGCACTGGAAAGCAATCCCTGAATTTTTGAAAGTCAAACACACATAACATTTGGTTTATGTTGAGGAGTCAATCTAGCACTATATATCTTGGAAACTAGTTTCTTTACATTTGTCAACAATGACTCATGAGTAACTGTTGATGCTACAGCCTTGCTCTTCTGTAGTAAAGTAGATTTGTTGTGTTACAGAATGTTAGAACAATTATATGAGGACCAGGGAGACACAATAGCTTTACAGTATGGAGGCTCTCAACTTGTCCATCGGATCGAGGGCTATCGGAAAACAGCTCCATGGACTTCTCATTCCAAAGACATAATGAACACTATTTCTCGTTATTATAGCAATACATTTGCAGGTAAGACTTACTGAAAGTTATGTATTGTATCCATATGTGGCACATATATCAAAGGGCAATTTTTTTCCATGATAAAGAAACATTATAGATTTACTATATGGTGGCTCACAACTGTCCATTGTATCGAGGACTATCATGAAGCAGCTCCATGAGCTACTTATTCTAAAGACATAGTGAACACTATTTAGCTGTATAATAGCAATTTTTGCTGGTAAGACTTACTGAAAGTTCCTTATTATATCTGTGTGTGGCAGATTTGAGTTAGGGCCAACACACATATTCTCTGTAATATATACAATTTTGAGATGTTAAGTGGAAATCTTAAAATAGTGAAATATTGATGTGACCACGCATATACACCATGAAGTGTAGCAATACACCGTTTATTTAACTGTAAAAATATCAGAGGTGTTTGACTGAGTAAGATATAGTATGATTATTATAGATATTTATGATTAATAACTTTGTTCTAGTATCTAAGCGAGAAAATGTAGTGGAGAATTTGTCAGTCTGATACCTTAAAGTTAAGTAATATTTTTATGTTTGTATTCCTGTTTGCTTCTTTTGTCTTCCTTGTTAGATCTTGAAAAACAGCAGGCCACCAATGTTTTCCTTGGTGTGTTTGAGCCAGTGGAAGGGAAACCAAACATCTGGGAATTACCAACAGATTTCTATCTCCACAATAAAGATTTTGGGGCCAAACTCACTCGGATAAGAAGGAGGTAGAATCTAACAGAATGATAAGACTATACTTAAAATAGCAAAAATGATAAGAACAATCTTCAGACATAGTATTACATTATTGTATATGATATCAATCTTGATAATAAACAAGGAGGAAGGAATTTGAATGATAGCAGATATATGTCTTTTTGTGCAGATTGTCTTTCTGAAGTTTTGTCAGATTCTTGATATGATGGTTGCAGAATGGTAAAATGTCATGTCATTTGAGACATTTCTGATTCTCCTAAATAATTCTCCTAAATAATTCTCCTAAATAAGGCAATTATTTTGATATTTAAAAAAAATGTTTATCTTTCTTGCTATTCAATCCTTAAAAATGTTATTTTATTAAGAATTTAAATTGTGTGCTTTGAGGTTAAATCAGATAATAAATAAGTACATATATGGCAATAAGCCCATGCATGATAATATGTCCACCCAGATCTATTGATTGCTGTTAAACAGAGTTACTTTTTTGTTGTCCTGTATTAAATCCACCTTTTTGTGTGTTAGGAGTAAGATTATTCTCAGAAATCAATTTCATTAATATCAGGTCACGCAACCATTCATGATGTCATAAACTCACACATCAAAAAGGACACAAAAGAGATTCACAACTTTCATTGTGTTAATTGTTCATAAAATATCATATTTTAACAAAATTATTGTTGTTATTACATTTGTATCATTTGTATGTGACTTTTCCAAATTATCTTAACAATATACAACCAGACATTGAAACTATGCAGTGGTGATTTGCTGTCAAATTATTGTGCATTACTCCGATTCCTGCTTGTTCAACATGTACTGATGCCATCTATAAATTTTATGTTGAGATCATCATGGTTATGTTTGCTAACTACTACAGTGATATATATTTTAAGTTTGACGTGTGAAAGTTATTTGACCTCAATCCTTGACATAATTTATGAAATCTTACACTGGTAAATTATTCATAATTTGAAAAATCCAGTTATCTAATGAAAGAGTATCATGATTTAAAGTGTTATGTTTTCAAAAGGAGATCTTTTGGCTTAAAGTTTTCAAAAAGTGCATACTCCACCCTTGAAAACTCCTGGAAAACTCCTTGAAAACGTTGGTAAATATGATTTTCCTTAAACTGGAACTTCAGTACAGTTATGATAATTTTGATTGACAGTTACTCTCAGTGGTGGGAGATGCCAGTTTACAGAAGTTTACCATTGCCATGGAAACAAGGTAATGGCTTTTTCCATGTTATTTGTCTACTATTTCCTACTATAAAAAGTCATGATTCAGAAGTTTAAGCAGGGATAAATGTAATACCTTTAAGGAATAATATTTTGTGGGACAAATACCAGTGTTTGAAAAAGTGTACACTTGTACTTTGTATCATTGCTATATGTTTCTGGCAGAAGCCCTTGTGTGGTAACCCTCATACATTTTAAACCACTCCTCCCAATTTATTGAGGAATCAATATTTATGAACAATTTTTTTTTCTCTTGTCCTATTATAATCCCTTTGGTTCAGAGTTTGTATGTTGGTCCCCTGGGGTTCTGAAATATGCCCACATCCTGACTTTAATTCAGAGTTTGTATGTTTGTCCCCTGGGGTTCTATAAAAAGCCCACATCCTGACTTTAATTCAGAGGTTGTATGTTGGTCCCCTGGGGTTCTGTAATAAGACCACATCCTGACTTTAATTCAGAGTTTGTATGTTTGTCCCCTGGGGTTCTATAAAAAGCCCACATCCTGACTTTAATTCAGAGGTTGTATGTTGGTCCCCTGGGGTTCTGTAATAAGACCACATCCTGACTTTAATTCAGAGTTTGTATGTTGGTCCCCTGGGGTTCTGTAATAAGACCTCATCCTGACTTTAATTCAGAGTTTGTATGTTGGTCCCCTGGGGTTCTGTAATAAGACCACATCCTGACTTTAATTCAGAGGTTGTATGTTGGTCCCCTGGGGTTCTGTAATAAGACCACATCCTGACTTTGGTTCAGAGTTTAGGTTTTGGTCCTCTGACTCCATTTTTTAATTGCAAAATAAATATGTTACTTGTAGTAGTTGTCTTGCTGAAGTCAGAGAATCCAGAATAGGAAGTAATTGTTGTCATTTAGTGCTATAGTGTTTTTTTTAATGTTTCTGTGATACTTGAGCTTTAATGTTCAATCTATGACTCAGCGTCCAAACCAAAGACATGTGAGATAGAGCATGTGGATGCGATGGAGGAAAAGGTGAACCTGTTCGAGGAATACTACCGTACAACAGAACTCACGTTCTTCCAAGATATCTTCACACATTCCCTCTATCCTACATTCTCCAAGTAAGTTAAATTTTTTGATGCCATGATTATTGTAAAAAAAAGATTCATACTGTAATATATATATTTTGTAGTACATTAATGTTCTACTTGATTCAAAATTTTTAAAAAAAAATAGTCGAAAACACTTTTTGTATACACAAATAATAGACAGCTTATGAGGAGACATTTTCTATTTGGGAAGGTTTCTTTTTTATCATTACTTTGTCAAAAAACAATTACTGATTAAAGGAATGGTAGCTGTTAACTGGCTACTGTGTAAATTATCTGTGTAAATTGTATGTATATTTTACAGGGATGTAAAGCCTCGGACAGCCAAGGTAGAGAGTCCCTTCACCAGGAGAGTTCAGCCTGACAGAGAGAATGCTGTGTAAGTTGGGATCCTAGTCTGATCATTGTTCATTTTCTCTTATAATATTTTCAAATTCGGTCAGGTGCATCGTTAGGTCATAAAAGTTCAACTGTAAAATCTTTGTTTTTACTGATGGAATAAAAGAGCCTCTGTTGGTGAAGAGTCGACGTAAATCATAAAGACCCTTTCGTTTCTGATTGTGTAAAATACTTTGTCCAAATTTGATAAAATTTACTTTAATAGAGAACTCACTGGAATGTACAAAGTTTTAACCAATTTGTTGAATACCGCGGAGCCAAAGGGCAATACTGGCAGTAGGGAATATATTGATTCAGTGTGGAGATTGACAGATTTATAAAGTACAGAATATGTGATGGATAGTGTTATGTCATTTATCATAATATTCCCACTGCACTGAAGTTAAAACTGTTATTTATCAAAAAAACAAAAATATCCTTTAATTGTTATAAAACTTGATGCATATATTTTTTATATTTTTGTTTTTAAATATGTTATTCAGACAAATATGACACAATTTTGTTTTAAAGGCAGACAAGAAGTATGTAAATGAATGCTTTTAACCTTCATTCACTGTAAACTATGATTTTATCATACACAAATTCACATTATTTTACATCATTCATAATGTCTAAATTAATAGAACTTGTTTCCTTTTCCTTTATTTTCTTGGATTTTTGTCATTTTTTGTAGACAATATCCTGTCGTCATTGTTAAAGTACAGATACATGCTTAAAATAGCACGATGTGTAAAATATTTTGTCTACAAAATATCAAGTGTTAGAAAACATTTCTATACTTTATTTAGACTTAGTAATGAGTCACTGTGAATCATCTCTACTTGCTGCTACAGCCAGGAAGCTAACCCCAATATCAGTGGGAAAGACTCCACTTCTTCCACCACCTCAACAGGATCCGAGTCAAGTGAAAGCAGTTCTGACGAGGTGGAGTTACTCAACATTGATATCTCCAGCTCGCAGTCTGACTCCTCTGCTGACTGTGATGATATTCTAGAGGGATCTCGTGTTAGTATCAAAACATGTGCTCTATTATTTTGTTTCACTAAAAACTCAGGAAAAAATGAATGTTTATATAAAATATAATTCTAACAAGGACTTAAGCAAAAAGAGCGTTTCAACACCTGAAGGCTGAACAGGCTAGTTTTTCCTGGAGCAAAGACTACTTGGAAACATAGAAATATATACCACATAGTAAAAAACTGCTAAATGATGCAGCCTCCATGATATGATTCTGTAAAATTCTATTAGCATCAATAATGTAAATCTTGCAAATATTTTTTAGTTTTTCTCACATAAGACTATGGCATTCTATTAGTTTCTGTCACATAATGTTGTGACAATCTTATAGCTTTTATATAAGGTTGTGACATTCCTTTAGTTTGTCTTGCATAATACTGTGACATTATATTTGCTTCTGTTTCTAAGGTCACAAAATTCTTTTAGCCTTCAGTACATATACTGTATTAGCATTCATGCCATAAGTTTGTAGTATTCTGTTAGCTTCAGTTACACAAGCTGTATGATTCTATAATCTTCTATCACACAAGCTGTATGATTCTATAATCTTCTATCACACAAGTTGTATGATTCTATAATCTTCTATCACACAAGCTGTGAGATTCTATAATCTTCTATCACACAAGTATGATTCTATAATCTTCTATCACACAAGCTGTATGATTCTATAATCTTCTATCACACAAGCTGTATGATTCTATAATCTTCTATCACACAAGCTGTGAGATTCTATAATCTTCTATCACACAAGTAAGATTCTATAATCTTCTATCACACAAGCTGTGAGATTCTATAATCTTCTATCACACAAGCTGTGAGATTCTATAATCTTCTATCACACAAGCTGATTCTATAATCTTCTATCACACAAGCTGTATGATTCTATAATCTTCTATCACACAAGCTGTATGATTCTATAATCTTCTATCACACAAGTTGTATGATTCTATAATCTTCTATCACACAAGCTGTATGATTCTATAATCTTCTATCACACAAGTTGTATGATTCTATAATCTTCTATCACACAAGTTGTATGATTCTATAATCTTCTATCACACAAGCTGTATGATTCTGTAATCTTCTATCACACAAGTATGATTCTATAATCTTCTATCACACAAGCTGTATGATTCTATAATCTTCTATCACACAAGCTGTGAGATTCTATAATCTTCTATCACACAAGTATGATTCTATAATCTTCTATCACACAAGTTGTAAGATTCTATAATCTTCTATCACACAAGCTGTATGATTCTATAATCTTCTATCACACAAGTTGTATGATTCTGTAATCTTCTATCACACAAGTTGTAAGATTCTATAATCTTCTATCACACAAGCTGTATGATTCTATAATCTTCTATCACACAAGCTGTAAGATTCTATAATCTTCTATCACACAAGTAAGATTCTGTAATCTTCTATCACACAAGCTGTATGATTCTATAATCTTCTATCACACAAGTTGTATGATTCTGTAATCTTCTATCACACAAGTTGTAATCTTCTATCACACAAGTATGATTCTATAATCTTCTATCACACAAGCTGTATGATTCTATAATCTTCTATCACACAAGCTGTGAGATTCTATAATCTTCTATCACACAAGCTGTATGATTCTATAATCTTCTATCACACAAGCTGTATGATTCTATAATCTTCTATCACACAAGTTGTAAGATTCTATAATCTTCTATCACACAAGTAAGATTCTATAATCTTCTATCACACAAGTTGTAAGATTCTATAATCTTCTATCACACAAGTTGTATGATTCTATAATCTTCTATCACACAAGCTCTATAATCTTCTATCACACAAGCTGTATGATTCTATAATCTTCTATCACACAAGTTGTAAGATTCTATAATCTTCTATCACACAAGTTGTAAGATTCTATACGCTTCAGTCACTTAAACTGTATAAGATTATATTGACTTAAGTCCGATAAGCTGTAAGATTATTTTAGCCTCAGTCACACAAACTGTAAGATTCTATAATATTTGGTCACACAAACTGTAAGATTCTATCAGATTTGGTCACACAAGCTGTAAGATTCTATCAGATTTGGTCACACAAGATTCAGGATTCTTTCAGATTTGGTCACACAAGCTGTAAGATTCTATCAGATTTGGTCACACGAGCTGTAAAATTTGATCAATTTGGTCACACAAGCTGTAAAATTTTATCAATTTGGTCATACAAGCTGTAAGATTTTATTATCATCAGTCATACAAGCTGTAAGATTTTATTATCATCAGTCATACAAGCTGTAAGATTTTATTATCATCAGTCATACAAGCTGTAAGATTTTATTATCATCAGTCATACAAGCTGTAAAATTTTATCAATTTGGTCATACAAGCTGTAAGATTTTATTATCATCAGTCATACAAGCTGTAAGATTTTATTATCATCAGTCATACAAGCTGTAAGATTTTATTATCATCAGTCATACAAGCTGTAAGATTTTATTATCATCAGTCATACAAGCTGTAAGATTTTATTATCATCAGTCATACAAGCTGTAAGATTTTATTATCATCAGTCATACAAGCTGTAAAATTTTATCAATTTGGTCATACAAGCTGTAAGATTTTATTATCATCAGTCATACAAGCTGTAAGATTCCATTACGTTTGGTCAAATAAGCTGTAAGATTCTTTAAATATCTAAGAAATAAAGCTTCTGTCACATGAGTTTCAATACTTTTCATTGCCTTGCATGCAAATTGAAAATAGTTTTGTTTTTAGACTTTAGGTTCATTTGTAATGTATAAGATGATGATCATTGTAGAAGCTGCAGGAGAAGCTCGGACAGGATACAAAAAGTGACTATGGGATCGATCTGGGAGAACCACGCACATATGACATGAATAAGTATAAAAGGTACTGGTATTGTTTTAGGAAAGAATGATTAAATATATACATGTAGTCTCCCATATACATGTATGAGGAAGTGCAAGTTGTATTTCTTAGAAATGACCTGGTATGACAGGGTAATGTCCTATGTAGGTAGATACAAGATATTTTGTTTACTGGCTGTATTCCTAATATAGCCAGGGTCATTATGGGATGGGGTCTACTTGTTGTGTCTGAAGGCTACCTTGCAAAAAAAAACATTTTAGATGTCTACCTCATAAAAATGTCGCCAGATCACTGAGGTTTGTTAATGAGAATACCCGGCAATGGAAGGAGTCACACAAACAGAAAACCTGTCAACCAACCAACCAAATACATCATACTACATAGAGTAACTGGGGTGAAGTGTCTTGCCCAAAAACACAACCATGACGGAACACAGGGCACTTGTTCTAGGCTTTCTGAGAAAGACACACCATTTCAAGACGAAATCAAGCCACCAACTTTGCACTGTCACCTGATGTTGCAGAGCCTGATACTCTACCAACTGAAATACAAGAGTAAGAAAAATATGAGAAAGCTTCGAATGTAATACTTTTGTTAAAAACAAGAAGAAGAAAAACTCCAGCCAGTTTGTTAACATAGATAATTTATCTTTTACTTATGCACACTATTATCACTCAGGAAGCTGAGAAACCAACCATTCGGTACTGTTGTTGTTTCCTTGGGCAAGACACTTTATTACAATTACTTTGGATGATGGTTGATTGGCATCTCATATCTTGTTCAAGGCAGTAGGCACCAGTAAATACAAGGAAACTTGGCCTCAATATGACCCATGCTGTTCACAGATCGATAAATCTAACAAATTGAAAATCCTAGAGCTCAATTTATCACTTTATAATTTAACATCATCCTGGTATAACAAAATACCATCAAGGTGCATTTTTGATTCATTAACAATATGGTCATTTTTTATTTTGCAACTTTGATAAGAGTTTAATGTATTCTTCCTGGCAGATATGTAAATCTTGGTCGTGCATGCTTGAGCAAAGCAGACCTGCTGGACACTGGCTACTGGAACAGGGACTGGACCAGTCAGTGTAACAGAGTTATGGACATGTAAGTTTTTATTGATGAGGATGTAGATATCTAAGTTTTATGTGATAGACAATGTCATCCACTTACTGTAAAATTGTTCATTTGGAGGGAATCTGTTTTTTGTTAATTTGGAAGTTGGAAGAAAATTGTGAAAAAAATTAGATTAAACTGCCCATATTGACAATAATTTGCATTGTTAACCTATAGGTTTTTGTTCACTGCTTTGGTGATTCTCCTATGTATATTAATTGTTTTGGAAATTTGATTTCAAATTCAAATAAAAAAATTCCTTGGTTATGTTTAAAAATACTCAGATGAACTAGAACAATGCCATGGCTGTATGATGTGTTATACAAACATTTTCCACATTGAATGGATCTTAAATGGAAACTAAGATTCTCTGCACAAGAAGTCAATGTTGATTAAACAGTTAGATGTTGATGGCTTTACGATCATCAATAAGAATTTTCACATATGCATTTACAAGGATTAATCAACACTTTTACTATAACCAACATCAAGGATATTAATTTGGTTAGTGTAAAGAGAAAACAAACCTGATTCTTGATAGACTGTGGAGGAAAATCCATCCCCTTTACTTTAAGATTTTGATGAAAACAGCAAAAATTTGAACTTTCTAAGCAACATTTATGATATTGTATCAGCATTATTTGGGCCTTCATTAATGATGTGTTTCCTGTCTTTGTGTAATTTGAAAAAAATGGTTAATTAAATTGATGAAAAAAAATTTGATCAATAGTAAGCATAATGATTTTCATTAACACCCCCAATGCTTAATTAGGGGGTAGTGGGCACATAGTGTTGTTCCTGTTTGTCTGTCACACTGTAAATTGTTACATATCAGTATGATCATGTCTTGAAAACCTCTAAACAGGCTTTGGTCATATTTACACCAAGGTATCATTACATCATGTTCTACACCTGATCAGAAGCTGATTTGCATAGGAGCTAGAGCATTCTCTTCTTACAGCATATTTTCTAATTTAATATGTATGTTTGAAGTGCTGTCACATGTTATCTTTGTTGATATAGAGACGTTGCCAGTGTGTTCAAGCTGGGAAGTAGTTATGAAGTGGAACCACCACCAGTGAACAAACAAGATCAGCTGCTGTATCAGAAATATGTCATGTGTGGAAAGAAGGGTGCAACAAATCCTTCAAAGGACCAACTGCGATTTTACAAACGTTACATTTCCAAGAATTTGCGATGAACCAGTCTTCAAAAATTCTTCATAATCACACTGCCAAGATTTTCATCAAAATTCAATACACTCAAATTACAGAAAAATGGGATTCATTATATACAGCAAACAGGTATATTTACCATATTAGGTAATAAGGTGATTGTTAATTGTTAGATTTTTTCATTCCATCATTTTTTCACAAACCATAAATGTTTGCAAAACTATTTTAAGAAATTTAACTCATCATTTGATTTCTGAAATATATTTAAAACTTTCAGTTTAGAAATTCTAGCACTTGAGCTTGAGGACTAGAACTGCATCAGATTTGATAGAAGATATCCATACCTTCATGATAATAATGTTCAGTTGCAGATCTAAGTTCGGAGAGAGGATGGACAATTTAAATCTAAATTGGAAATAAGAGGCATTTTTTCTGTCAAAATAAGAATTACGTGCTATGTGTTTTTTTCCACATGTACTTCTTGGTCACTTTAAGCTAAGTGAAGCATCTCTGTGATTTAGTGATGTCATCAGAAATGGAAATTCAGTCACATATCCGATACTCATGTCAATCATTTCAGGTGAGCGAATTTGAGGTCGGATTTGTGGATATTTCAAAGAAAATTACTGGTTTTTCACCGGTGAGTTTTTCTGTAGATCTTAGAGTATGAACACATTTCAAGCCTTCTATGTACTTGTTTGGTGACAGGTCATCAACATAGCATAGCTAGCGAAAAATTATTCTCAAGGGGTCCGAAACTAATGTGCCAAGGACATGCTGATCAAGAGCAAAATCATTTGATAAGGTGACCGAAAGTGTTTTCTTATTTAATTTAAGCATTTTTATTCATCTGTACATTCTATTTGATCTCAACATTATAATTCATCAAAACAATATGTGTTCAAGTTTCATACAAATATTTGTGGACCAAAATATTTGCTTGTTTGATTTATAAAATATATGAACTATTGTTGCTATTCTATGTCCGGTAAGTGATGATATAGTTAATCATTCTGATTGACAGATAATTGCCAATGGTAGCGTTTTCTTGTCATATGTAATTGTTTAATTCCAGCTTATTGCCAAATTTCAGCTAATTGTTTCTTGTGTTCATCATTGGGTGTACATCCTTTTTGATACAAATAACTAAAATGAACATAACTAGTATTCTGTTATTAATGAGAATGATATCTACTATAGAAACCAAGTATTAAAATTGTTTGATGTTCATCTTCAGAAAGAAGGATATAACTAATCTGCCCAACTACCAAGTTCAAATATTTTTTTTTATTTCTTTCCTACTGATCAAATCCATGAATGTCAACAACCCCAATAAAGGTTTTCCTTTCAAAATATACTTTTCATATTTGATTTTACGTGTATAATGATAAAATTTGAATTTTTACGATGAAATATATGCATTTGATATGTTAAAGTATAGCTTAATACTTCAGATTTTTATGGAGTAATACATAAACACTCCTAATTTTTCATGTCAGCATGTCTTTTGTTAGGACAGATGTTTCCTCATAGATTGCTGATATGTTGACTGAATATATGCCATGTTGTACCAATAATTTATTGTGTTGAGGGTTAAACAGAATGAACTGTTAACTGATACAAAATATATATTATTATGATATTATTTATAAAACTCCAATCAAACATTTTGACAGGCCACAGTATGATTCAGCATTGTTCCTCTGTCTGTCATAAAGTTTTATTTGTATGCAGATCTCCTCCAATGGTTAGACTTAATCACCAGGACATCAAGTTTGTTTTTAAAACTGCAGTTTGATTCAATTGTATTTAGAAGAGTTTTGATCCTTGTTTTAGGTCATACATAATGTTGTTCAGAGATCTCACTCAATCATTTTTCAAATTTGATTATGATTAGTTTTTAGAGGAGTTATTGCCCTTTGATTTTAGTTTTTCAGTTTTCAACCAGTTTATTTGAAACTTAGAGGGTTTTATTACAATGGCATGAAAATGTAGTTTTGACTGGCATTTGGCCTTGGGAAACATCTCAATGGAATGCTTCCAACACTTCTCTGAAATAGTTTTGCTATTTACTGATATGTCATGAAAGTACTGTATAATGGCTTTGGTATTGATAAATGATGTGTAACTAAATTATTGAAAGGGATCAGTGCAATGTGATTATTTAATATCTAAATGTTACATATTCCTGTATATTAAAACCCAAATGGGTGCTCTGCTGATAGTGAAAGATTGCTTATGTTGTAATTAAATAAACAACTCTTAAATATATACTAATCCAGAAGTCCCTTAAATTAAGACAAAGGTTGGTTTTGCTAAAAAATATTCTTTTATTGTTTAGGTATCTTAAAAAGACTGATGTTTAAGTGTAAAAATGTATATAAATGTTATAATGATCTCAGAAATGTGTACTAATATAATATTAGATGTATACATTGAATGCTGAATGACCCCCCACCCCCCACCCCCACCCCCAAGTCCATGCAGCTGCCCTCAAATCCCCAACCCCAAAACCGCTTGCTTCCCTTCCCACAGAAAGGTCAGTAGGCAATTTAAGGAGTATATATTTTCATCCCTTGTAACTGTCCCACTTGATTGATGACGGCGGACAAAAAAATGAAAAAAAATTTTTTTTTGAGAAAAGTTTTATATGTAAATGACAATGAATAAAAGCATACAATTATAGAAAGATGTTTTCTTCAAATTCTTTATCATCACATATATATCATTATACAAAAACAATAATTTACAAATGAATATTTCTGTAACAATGCATTTTCATTTTTGTTTTGATAAGAAATTTGCTTTAGTTTAACACATATTGAAAACCAACAAATATTTAAAATGTTGACGGAAATCTTCTGGAAAATATCAGTATATTTCATAAGGTGTACTAAAGCCACTTTGCCAAAGAAAGTTTTTTTCTCACATTTTAAAATATTACGATGGCAGATAATTATTTATTAACTTAATGGGATGAATAATAATTGAAAGTGTTACTTTTCTGTATCGACTTGCATTCAACAATTTATAACCTTGTACATTTAAAAAAAGAAAAAAAAATTAGCACATGCTTCAATTGACATGCAATCTTCAAAATGGGAAAGAGAAAAAAATAGTTTAAAGGCACTTTAGAGCTGTGAATTGTCCATCTATCAAACTGCAGTCAAATGAGAAGCTATTATTTACTTATAGAATTAAAAACGCCAAAATCACAGTCAAAGTTGTAAATGGGAGTTTTCGAAATTATTCTTGTAACTGATTAGAACAAAGTAACCACCTATATCATTGAAATAAACTGAAAAGGTGTCATGATTACTGAATAAACAAAAATACAATATAAAATAAGAAATTGATTAAAACAAGAGGCCCAGAGGGCCTGTATTGCTCACCTGGATCTTTATCACCAACTGTACAATATCTGTGCATATGTTCCACAGTAGATGCTTAAAGCGATATGATAAATTACTCAATATGGGTTCTGTCCCTTAGTGGTCAGCCCCCTCATCTGTGCAATGTTGAATTTAGACTTTCTTATGATGTTTCCAGTTAAATTTAATTGATAGCTTTCTTTGAAATCAAGGAAAGAAGATGGTCAAACAATATAGCAGAAAAACTCTTAGTTATAACTGGATGGATGACCCAGGACAGCAGAAGCTTACTTGCCCTTTAGATCATTGTTTACAAACACAGATACAACTCATTTTAGACTTGTACAAGTCAACAATATATAGCAACAATTAAATGTAAAGACAGGAAACATTAAACTACATTTGATTATTAACCATAATCCTAACTCAAAACCAATAATAAGGCCTTTCATGCATGTCATTAGTCAGTTAAGCCCTGCCCACTGGAGATCTACTGATAACAGTTTACTGTAGACCTATAAACACTGCATAGCAAATGACTTCAACTTAGAATTTCTACTATAATTATGAAGAATCTTACATCAAAACGAAGCTCTTGCAATTTCCTTTCCGATCATGTTTTCTTTATTTTAATGCCGTGAATAGAACATAAGCAATTGGCTCACATGTAATTTTTTCACTGTGTAACATTACTTATCCCAAGCATAGCATTACTTATCCCAAACCCTCCAGACCTCCAGTGGACGTGGCCCAATCTATTTTTTTGGGAACAGTGTGATGCCACTGTGAAAGGTCTTTATAATTTTGTACAAATCATGCCAAGAAAACTCCCAGCCAAATATGTCCCATTCATTAAGTCAGGAAGGTTCTACATATTTGTGTATATGCCTTTACTGTCAATATCACTATCCTAGATGTTTTGGATAATCTGAAAATTTCATTTAAAGGTTTAACACATTTGACCCCTGTGACCTTGACTATGGGTCAAGGTCATTTCTTTTTGCAAACTTTCTTGGACTTCATAAAAGGAACATACTGACCAAATATAATGATTCTAGGTGTTCCGGTATTTTGGAAGAAGTCGTTTAAATGTTTTAACACATTTGATAACTCTACGCTTTTCGGTATTTCAGAAGAAGTTGTTTAAATGAAAAGTTGACGGACACAGGACGGACAGACGACGGACAGGCAGACGACGGACACCACGCTATGGCATAAGCTCAATTGGCCCTTTGGTAAATCTTTTTTCACTGAAGAATCCAACAGATGGAAATTAAGGTCAATGCAGTACTCCAATGATACCTTTCTACTCTTACATTATAATTATCTAAAAAGAAATCCAAAAACCGTTTTTCCTTTGCTAAACATTAATCTGTGAATAAGGATTAGCAAATTTGATAATATGAAATATACCACAAATCACAATTTGATACAAAATTCTAAAAATTACTTACTGTAAACCGAAGCACATTATATGTACCAGATATGTATAAAAATACTTTAAATCATCATTTGCTGATTATTATGTGTTGCCTTTTGTTATTTATGTCCTATAATGAAGCTTATATGATACGCAAATCATCATTCGAACTAGTGATCAACTATATGCATACTAAAAAAATTGGAAACATGAACAAGTATGTGCACCATTTAAAGTACATTTTAAAAGATGAAAAGAGGAAAAAGGAGGAAGATTTTTGAACTTGTATGGAAACACGATGTCCCTAACATAGACAACACTTGTACTGGTATGGAAACACGATGTCCCTGACATAGACGACACTTGTACTGGTATGGAAACACGACGTCCCTGACATAGACGACACTTGTACTGGTATGGAAACACGATGTCCCTGACATAGACGACACTTGTACTGGTATGGAAACACGATGTCCCTGACATAGACGACACTTGTACTGGTATGGAAACACGATGTCCCTGACATAGACGACACTTGTACTGGTATGGACATAGAACACGATGTCCCTGACATAGACGACACTTGTACTGGTATGGAAACACGATGTCCCTGACATAGACGACACTTGTACTGGTATGGAAACACGATGTCCCTGACATAGACGACACTTGTACTGGTATGGAAACACGACGTCCCTGACATAGACGACACTTGTACTGGTATGGAAACACGACGTCCCTGACAAAGACGACACTTGTACTGGTATGGAAACACGACGTCCCTGACATAGACGACACTTGTACTGGTATGGAAACACGATGTCCCTGACATAGACGACACTTGTACTGGTATGGAAACACGACGTCCATGACATAGACGACACTTGTACTGGTATGGAAACACGATGTCCCTGACATAGACGACACTTGTACTGGTATGGAAACACGACATCCCTGACATAGACGACACTTGTACTTGTGATTCTGCGGTCATTCTGCGGTCATTCACTAGTTATTGGAAGGCATGATTCATCAGAATAGGAACAATATGTGTGAAACATTGTCTCTGATTTGTGACTTTCACTGTCTTCTTTAATGATGTAAATTCCTTTGTTTTTTTTCACAGATCTCCATCAGTCTGAACCGTGTCAGCTTGCACTTCCCATACGCTTCTTTATCAGGATAAAGCTCACATCTCTGAAGCTGCCTCTACTCAACCGCCTACTTGCCTTCCACAAAGGGGTGGGGTGGGGGTCAGTCAGCAGTATGTTTTTACATTCTGTAATCATCCCATCTGATTGATGCCAGATGGCAGTAATTGAAAACCATCATTTTGGGGAGAAAGTTTAATAATGATGACAATGGCAATTGCAGTGATGAATAAAAATACACGATTATTTTTCAAAAAATGTTTTGTTAAGGTTAGTTATAATGTATATATATATATATAATATGAATATTTCTGAAACAGTTGATTAATGATATGCAAAAAGCTTTAATGTAACACATGTTGAGAAATAACAAGATTTAAAAAATGTTGACAAAAATTACAAATAAGGTTAAATGGAGAGTAAGCTTACAATGATACTGTAGTGTACAATTAGTTCTATCAATCACTAAATTCTATGCGTTTCCTTGAGGCACGATATATATATTTCCCTAAATTACACAATTCTTTTACATTATTGGTGCTCAGTAGTATCGTTAACTCAAAAACATTTAGACTTCTGTGATAGAATTGTTTGATATATTTACGTCTCAGATTTTGGTAAAAAGGACATTTTAGGATAAAGTGAAATTCGTCCTCTACATCACCAGAGGTATAACGAGTACATGATCTCTTTTGACGAAAAACATTTTTCCGTCTACCGACTTCAATATTCAAATTATGTGACGACAATCTGAAACAAATAATAGGACGTTTGTACTTTGTTTCTATAGATTTACATAAATTAAAATGGATACAAAAATTATCAACAAGGTGCTGATACAAAAAACCCTTAGGTGACCTTGGTATATTTGCTAACATGCTCTGTCTACAATTGTCAAAAAATCTTTGTTCTATAATTTTAAAAGCAACATTAACAGGTAAATTGTTTTCAAACATATATTCCAACCCAAGACCAGATAATTCCTGTTTGATATTAGCAACCCAGACATCGCTTAGATTAACACACTCATCATAACATGATTTTAATATACAGTTTTCACTCTGTTTCAACTTCAACCAGAATTTAAGAATCTGTAATTTTTCCGAACTCCTAACAACTTTTTACAAAAATTAGGGTGTACTTTTTCTACATCGGGTGATTTGTGAAATCCCCTAATCTCAGAAGCATAACATAAAATGCTTTTTACATACGAGTCAAAAACAGCACATTGGGTTTCAATATTTAAACAATGGTTACGCAATTTTGACATCAAAGAAAACAAAGCTTT